TTTCTCTGTAATGGGCGGGTACATGTCTCTCACCTTTGGACGGGTGCAGTTTATAAACCACTTCAATGTGGGTGAAAAGCAGGGAGGGAGGCAAAGGGGAGCAGGCTGGGCCCCCGCTCTTGGGACTGCAGAATCGCTGGGCTGGCGGACCAGGGGAGGGGACCCCTCGTTCAGCTGGGTGACTGAGGCCCTCACTCCCGTTCATTTGGGGGACCACTCTGGGCTTTCTCTGCCCAGGGAGACCGCGTGCTGGGTGGGTGTACTCACAGGCTTTCCCTGATGCGGCACTGGGACCGACCAGTTCTGTGTAAGCCAACAAGCAGCTGATGCGTTGCACAGATCTCTCAATGACTTTGAGTCTGAAGAACATAGAAACAGGAAAGGCAAACTTTTATGTTGCTGAAAATCAAAGGTCCGCACGGCTTGTATTTCCTTTGATGCCAGGAAGCCCACGCTGCCCTGTTCTGTGCGGGTGGCGACTCCGCCGGTGATGGCTGGCCTTGGGGGGGCCAAGTCTCCCATGTTGCCCAGGGGGCTCCCAGACTCATGGGTCTTCAGCACATGCCAAGCAAACCTGCGTTGAGAAGAGACGTCCAAGCCCAGGTAGAATTCAGTCCCAGTCACAAATCATGTTCATTCTGTCCTCAACTCCTGGTGACTCCAGCAAACATCCGGGGCTCAGTCCGGGCCAGGGAGTCCCATGCGCTCCCCGAGAACATTCCACACCCACTCCGTGTGGAGGGGGCCTCGGTCCCCTTTCACAGGTGGGATTTGAAGTGGAAACAGGAGAGTGACCCACCAGGTCACAATGACAGTGAGCAGCTCCCGAGTCCCGCTGCGTTTCCCAGCCAGGGCTCTGGGCTCTAAAATCATCATAAATATTACTGAGACGCACTAGGTTTGGGACCGATGTTCAAAACCCATCGAGGGCCTGGTGGGAAGCGGCTCCTGAGCAAATGGAAGGTCTGATCTCAGAGGGCTGGGCACTTACGGTTCCTCCTGAGAGAAACCTGCGAAGGGATGCTGAACACACCTGTAGAAAAATGCTTGGAAGATGCTCTGCAATTTAAAACAAACAAACAAACAAACAAACAGCCTATCTCATGGTCCCAGTGACGTAGAATGGGAACATGGCAGAGAAAGGTTGGAAAGCAAATGTGCCAGAGAAAAAATAAAGGGAATTGTTGGAGGGCCCTGGTTATTTTACTCTTAATAGTAAACCTCTCCTCTCTTTATGGGAATAATAATTTTAGCCACTAAGCCCTGAGAAAATCTGGTGCCACAAAGGGCATACAAAGTGTGAGACTCGGTTAAGAAGATGAAAAGAACTGGGGGAGCTCTGTGTGGGCGGGCACAGCCCGAGGTGCAGCGGCTTTTTTGAGGCTGTCTGGGGCGAGCAGAGTGTCGCACGAGGGGGGAGACTGGGAGCAGGCACCTCGTGGGACAGTCATTTCCAGAGCGGCTGAGTGAGATCGAGCAGCCGCTGTCTGGCCCGTCCCCCGGGGGCGGACCACAACCTCTTCCCAGACACTTCCTGCTCTGCTGGGCGGGGGACGCCGGCCGACCCACTTCCATGCAGCGGGGCTCTCAGGCCTGCTTCCCCGGGGGCACGAGAATGGGTCAGCCCCGTGGGTGTGCTTTCTGCAAACGTGGGGGACGCTGCCTGCAGAGCTGCGCAGGGGGACCGCTCCTGACCCCGGGCAGGTGCCTCCGGGTGTCTGGTCCTCAGTGTCCTCCAGTGGACAAAACGGGCTTCTTCCCGAGGCACCCAGGCACCGTCCTGCCCACGACTCAGTCCCAGCTGGCTGTCAGCAGGCGTGAGCACACGCTGAGTAAACACTGTCTGGCTCTGAGCAGAGTGAGGAGGGAGGCGGATTCACACCTTTGCTTCCTTTCCTCTCTCGGGTGTTCCGTGGGCTCCTGCTGGGGGGGGCCTCCTCATCACCGAGTCTGGGGGCCCGGTGGGGGCACGGGGTGTTCAGGGCCTCCTGCAGGCCACTTGGCCGAGGCTAGGAGCAGTCCAGAGCCCCCACTGTCCCCCAGAGTGACGGGGCTGAGTCATATCACCGGTGCAGCCCTGCCAACCCTGCCAGCCACTGAGTTCCCCAGATCACTCATAACCCTGGGACTGGGTTCCCACAGTGTGCCCTGAGAGGGAGCCTCGGGGTCAGGGGGGCAACAAGAAAGCCCAGAATTAGTCACAAGCACCGAGTCAGAAATACCCGTGCCCGGGTGCCCGGGGGCTGACCTCTCAGCACCCAGCTCAGCCCCGCCCGGCGGCTCCTCTCTTCTGGCGACGACAGAGATGCCGGGGCCTGGGACCGCGAGGCTCTTCCTGAACTGCCTTGAGGAGTACAAGGCTTGTAGAACACACCAAGGATGAAGAAGCGGGAGTGGAAAAGGGTTCTGCTCTCGCTCTTGCCCGTGTCCTGTGCCCTTTTAGAAAACACACACAGAACGCGGCATCCAGTCCCCGTCACCTTGTGGCGTAGCATTTCCCACAGCGACACGGCCTTCCCCATCGTCCCTTCCCCAGCTGCTGCCGTGTGCGGGGACACAGGGTGGGATAAGACAACGCCCCTGTGCTCGGGGACCTCAGGTTCTGCCCGGAGACGGACACTAAACCAGGCAGTGAAGCAGCCGGTCAGTGCCCGGGGCCCCTGGGGACGGGCAGGAGGCACGTTTCGGCCACTTCCGAGTGCTCCGCGGCACTCCCAAACCAAAGTAACCGTTACTTTACGTTCCTGAAGTGTGTGGGTGCCGAACAGGATTTGGTGACCTTTTAAAATTTATCATCACAGAGTACCGCGGTTCGATTCCCAGTCAGGGCACATGCCTGGGTTGCAGGCCAGTTCCCGGCAGCGGACACACGAGAGGCAACCACACATTGATATTTCTCTCCCCCTCCCCTTCCCTTTCCCTCTAAAGATAAGTAAATAAAATCTTAAAAAAATATTATCATCAATGTTTTTCAGTCTCTCTCGAAGCAATACCATAAAATTTTCGGAACCTTCTGTAATAAGGATGTGCTGAGGTACAGAATCCTTCAAGAACCTGAAGTCCAGCACTTGGGAGGGTGGGGGAGTGGGGACCGGGTAAGACTAGTCCTCAGGCTCTGGCTGCAGACCGACCGACTCCTTTCTGGAGACTCTGCCCTTTGCCCTCTGCCAGCCCCTGGTGTGGGGCTGCTCACTCAGCCTGCTCCTCGCTGAGCGGGGCTCACCTCCCCAGGACCAGGACGGGGCGGCTTGCTCAGGGACCCACCCAATGAAGGGAGGGAACTTTCTGTCCACGTTGGAGGGAAACTCCGAGTTTCAGTAATGGCTGGGGGTGGGGTGGGGGGTGGGGCCATGAAAGCCCCCCTGGGCACAGAGAAAGTCCTGGTCTGGCTTCAGGGGGACAAGTAGGAAGTGGGTAGAAGCTGCAGGGGACTGAGTAACTCAACCCGCACAACCTAGTGAGGGCCTGTTCTGGAAGCTGAGATCCACCCCCCCCCCCCCCCGGGGGGAAATAATCACCTCTTGCTTCAGAGAGCCACCAGGACAGCAGAGAGGGCCCAGGGGGGCTGGGCTCTCCGACAGGACAGGAAAGTGGAGTTTGTCCTGCCATGGGCCTGGGGGCAGAATTCCTGAGCTCCTTCCTCTAACTGACTGAATTCCTTTATGGCAAATCTGCTTAAAGCAAAATAAAAGGCCTAAGTGAAAAGCAACAAGAATTTACTTGAGATAAAAAAAAAAGAAAAAAGCTGTTCTGAATGCGCTGATCTGATCGGGCAGAAACCCAGAGAGCACTGGAATTAGGAGACAAAGGCGGGGGGCGGCGGGAGGGGGGGTATTTATGAGAAGGGAAGGGGACGGTGACCACCGGAGAAACTTGGTGACGCTGGTTCTAAACAACGTTTTCCTTTTCAGCCTGGCAGCCACGGTAGCTGCTCCCCTGAGACCCCGGCACACAGCTCTCTGGGTGGTGCTGCCATGGGCTGTCCAGAGGTCACTCCGCCGGTTTTAACGTCCAGGGTTGGAGGCGGAAGACGGGCAAGGGGGCTCCGACTGCGTCCCCAAGTGGCTCGGTGTGCACAGATAAGTAAATATTCCAGATACACATTGTATGTGCACCTGGCAGTGTGCATTATATATACTATTTAAATAGTATATTATATATATATACATACACACACACACAGAGACACACACATATCAGTACAAATACTGAATTTCCGGCCCCCAGAACCCTCAGAGGCAGGCCACGGAGCCACAACACGAGCACTGTCCTGAACTCTTGGGCTGAGTGGCCTCAGAAAAGACGGCAGAAAGGCCCCATGGGCAGCTGAAAACCACAAGGACACGTGTCCTCTTTGAGGTGGCCCCTGGCTGCCAGCGGCCCTTCCACCTTTGTCCTTCTCTCCATGGCCTACGGGACAGGACACGCTCTGTAAACTCGCGAGAAGAACCCGTTGGTGGCTTTCCCGCGGGACGGCCTTGCCCGTGGGGCTGCCGCCAACGCCCCCCCCAAACCCCGACCACCCCGAGGTTGGCCCCAGCTACCGAGCTGGGTTCTGTCTGGCCCAGGCTCAGTTCCCGCCTCACACTCGTCTCACACCCACGCTCGTGTGAGGAAGGACACCCGGTCGTGCTCGGGGCAGCAGCTGCATTTATTGAGAAAGGAGAACTTGCACAGAACGTTCTGGTGTTGCCGGCTGCATGACAGAGGGTCCCACTGCCTGCGGAGGGAGTCCCGGTTCCCCTCTTTCAGGGAAGGGCCTGGGGAACTGCCAGGTGAGCGCCACGGCTCTGAGGATCAGGGAGAAGTTGTCCACCCAGGGCAGCCCTCTGGGAAATCGCTGGGTGAATACACCGGGCAGCTCGCGCGGGGGCTGGTTCCCAGGGCTTTGGTGAACCTTGAAACTGAAAATCTGAACTGATGTGCCTATCGCACACTGCAAAGGCTGTGAAGGCGACGTGCAGGAGGGCTGTCCATTCCCACAGTCTGCTGAGCGTTTTGGAGCAAGAGAAGCCCGCGGTCGGACTTGGAGAAGGTGTTTCTCAGGACTCGGTGGCTCTCGAAGGCACCATGGTTGGAGACGGCAGCTTTGGAGTTTGGATATTGTGGCCCGTGCTGCTGATGGCAGTGAAGAAGCCCACTCCCCTCTCCTGTACCTGGGGGGCCCGTGGGCATCCCAGCACAGCCTAGAGGGAGTCGGCCCAGGCGGCCACTGGGCTGAGACCGCTGACCCTGCCGCCTGGCTGGGGGAGCTCAAGAAGCCCTGAGGTCTGGGAAAGGCGACGATGGAGGAGTCCCAGGTGCCGGCCCAGCTGCGTGCTGCCAACAGGGAAGAAGCGTTTGGGGGATCCAGCCGCCGCCCTGGGCCTCCGTCAGGCTGGGGCTGCTATGGGCCTGCGGCGGCTGGGCTCTCCGTTTGCGCTCGTCCCCAGCTTTCGGCCGGGCTCTGGACCTCGGCGCTGGGGTCCCCGGAGGGGGAGGACGCCGAGCTGATCCCGTGGGCCAGGCGCCAGGCCCGGACTCGGAACGAGCGGTCCAGCAGCAGGTAGATGAGGGGGTTGGCGCAGCTGTGGCCGAAGGCCAAGCAAGTGGCGATGGTGAGGCCCCAGCGCAGCGCCTGCACCAGGCGGCACGGCAGAGGCACCGCCCCGAGGCGCGCCAGGTGGAGGACGATGCGCAGGACGCTGAAGGGCAGCCAGGAGCCCACGAAGGCGCCCTCGACCGCGCAGATGATGCGTAGCGGGGCGGTGGGGATGCGGCCCAGGCGCCGCGGCCGGCGAAGACGGCGTGCCAGGCGGCAGTAGCAGAAGAGGGTGGCGCCCAGGGGCAGCGCGCAGGTGAGCAGCAGCAGCAGCAGCCCAAGGGCCTGGAAGGCGTCGGAGGGCCGCTCCCCGCACTGACTGCCCGGGCCTTCGGGCAACGGCTGCAGGTCTCGGGAAACCAGGGCGGGCAGGCCCACCAGCAGCGCCGCGGCCCAGGCGCCCCGGCACAGGGCGCGCACGCACCGCGGGGAGCGCAGCGGGCGCGCTCCGAGCCGCCGGGCCACCGCCAGGTAGCGGTCAGCGGCCAGGCCCGCCAGCAGCAGCGCGCCTGCGCAGCGCGAGGCGGCCAGCGTGAAGCCGCTCAGCTTGCACAGCGCGAGGCCGAAGGGCCAGCGGTCGCCCCACGCCGCCGCCGCGGCCCACAGAGGGAGCGTCAGCACCAGACCCAGGTCGGCGGCCGCCAGGTGCAGCACGAAGGTGTCCGCCAGACGCCGCGGGGCGCGCCGCCGGGCCAGCAGCCGCAGCACCAGGCCATTGCCCAGCAGGCCGACGGCGAAGGCTGCCAGGTAGAGCGTGGGGACGAAGGCGCGGGCGTAGGGCAGCTCCCAGGACGCGCACAGCTCCAGCTCCTCCTCCAGGGCGCCGGACCCCGACCCCGAGTAGTCCCAGGGCACCGTCCCCCCCGGGCTGGGGCTCCAGGGCTGGTTGGGCGGCATGGCCGGGCCAGAGCCTGTGCGCACCGACGACGCAGCGCGCGCAGGTGGCGGCAGCGGCTTTGCAGGCGGGTGCCCAGCACCTCCCTTCCTGCAACCCAGGCCCAGGGGATGGGTGGGCAGGAAGGTGGAGGAGGGGAGGAGAGTGTGGGGGAGGGGCTGCTTCCCTGGTGCAGGATGGTGGCCTGCGACTTGGGGTTGCACAGGGGAAGGGAAGGGAGAGGGACAAGACACAGGACCTCCGTTCCTGGGTCCCTGGAGGAAAAGTCTTCAGTGCCTGGAGACCCGCCTGGCCCCCCGCTGGGAGCAGCCTGAGGTCAGCCCGAGGTGTGGGTGCCCTGGAGCCCTTCTGTGCTCCGCCCCCTCCCTGCCCCCCAGGCTCTGGGCAGCGGCGTACTCTGGTTTCAGAGGGGAGGAGGGAGACCCGCAGGAGGGTTTCCTCTGGGCGGTAGGGCCTCGTGCCCACCCACCTGCATTCCCGGAAGAAGTTCTGCCTCCCTGGGCCTGTGGGTGTGTGGGGAGCCCGCCCCTGGGGCCCTGACTCCAGCCACCAGAGCTCACCAGCCGGTGTGAGCGTCTCAGGACACTGGGCGAAGGTCTGACCATACAGAGCTGCTTTTCCGACCTGATCGGGTCCTTGGGAAGCCGCGTGGGGGAGTTCCGGCCGAGGACCCAGAGGTGGCATTCCCCAGACAAAAGGAGCAGGGCCTGGGGCTCAAATCCAAGCTCTTCCCCACCTCCCTCCATTTGGCAAAACCTGCCTCTCAGGCCAGACACAGAGAGAAGCTCAGCACAGCTCAGATGGCACTCAGCGAGGTCCAGGGCAGCGGTCCTAAGTCAGGGGTTGGGGGCTCAGAGGAGGGAGGGAGTCAGGGGAGGCGAGGGTGGGTGAGGGGAGCCGCGCCCTGTCTCCAGGTGGGGCGCAGCGGGGGTTCTGGGAGATGCTGGTGAGGCTGACCTCCCTCCCGCGAGACACCAAGCTGGAGCTCAGGTCCCCGTGTGTGCGCCTTCCCAGGGCCCACCCTGCCGGCACCAGGGATGACTGACAACCTGGGGGGAGATGGGGTGTCAGACCTCCGGGGAAGGACCAGAGCGTTTACCCCAGTCACCAACAGTGACGGGCGTTGTCCCTGGCACTGCAAGGGAGGCGGCTGTGGCCTTCCAGGTTCACGGTCGAGGCCAGGCACAGACATGTGCGGCCAAGTGGTGTCTCCTTGCCCCTGCCCCGAGCAGAGTCACACTATGGAGGCTGGACACAAGGTCCTCCCGGTGGAGGGAGGCGCTGACTGGCGGTGCAGGAGGTGCAGCTGGGGCAGGTCCAGGAAGGAGCCGAGCCTAAGCCAAGGGGGAGCAGGGGTCACTGGGCCCAGGGTGACCACACTGGGCCGGGGGACGGTGCGTGGGGCTCAGGGGGAGAGGAAGGAAGTGGCAAGCTTGCATTTCCTTCTGTCGGTGGTGAGGAGCCCCAGCCATTTTTTAGTAGGACACACACCCATCTTTGGCTGGGCTGGACGGGGACAGACTCGGGCCAGGGGACCCCACCGTGGGCTCCGGTCACTTATGTCAGGGGTAGGGAGGTCTGGCAGTGGGACAGCAGGGAGAGGGTCTACTCAAGAGAGAAGTGGTCTCAGCAGAGAGGAGTCACGGACAGGCCTGGGTGTTCTGCTGGGGATTCTGTGTGTGTGTTTCCCGGTCCCCTGAGGCTGGGGCCCTGGAGAGGCCTCTGTGTGTATTGGGTTTGGTGTTGATCTCTCAGAGGGTGATGAAGGCATTTGTTTATGATTCAAACCAAGGCACCTCCGGGAGCCTAAGAGCTGTGTCCTCACCTGGCGCCAGGGGACGGAAGGCTTCCAGCTGGAGGTCCCTCCAGTGCACGAAAACCCCAGGGAGCTGGGGACTCACAGGGAGAGTGGGCTCTGGCTGGTCCCCTCCCAGGCCAAGGAGGGCATTCCAGCCCCAGGCATGGGTCCCCCCCACCTCCAAAGACCCCACACCCTGAGGGCAGACACCTGAGGGGCTGCTGGAGATTCAGAGAAGTCCTTCTAGTGTCTGACCCCCTGGGTGCTGGTGAGTGGCACCCACAGCCTGTGGCTGAGGGCCTGCAGGGCAGGCCTGCTGGCCAGGCCCAGAGCTCCACAGACGGCTGTCCCCCCAGCACCCTGTGTCTGTGGCACCAGGCCTGTGGCTCTGAAACAGAGAGGGATGGCGGCAAAACGGTAGGTGAGTGAGGAGACGGGGTGAGCGGCCCGAAGGGGCATGGGTGGGGCTGGCGAGTGGAACTGGGTTGTTTATGAGAAACGCAGGCTCTTGCTTCCTGGGCTGTGACCTCGCACCAGGGGAAGTCTGTGGCCCAGGGCACACGGAGGCTTCTCCCTGCAGGGCCTGAGCCCCGTGGGCCTTTCTGACCGAGTCTGCACAGGCAGGAGCAGCAAAGGCCCGAGCCAGGAACCTAGCCGCCCACCTGGTTCTGTGACCCAGGCCCGCTGCACCAGTCTGCTGCCCACAGGAGGAGGTGGTCCTGGCCACCTGCTGACAGGGGTCCACTGGGCACAGTGGGCAGGGGCCCGCTCACTCTGTCCGTCCTGGTGACTGGCATGGGCCTGGGGCACAGGCGGTCCCTGAGCCGTGGACGCCCGCCTTGCACTAGCAAACTCTCAGCAGCAGGTTCCATTTCTGCCCCTTCGTGGGCCCCTGCCATGTGCCCCCCAATTTCTGTGTTTCTGTGCAAGCAACCTGAGCCTTGGGGGAAGGGCTAAGAATCACGCTCGCCTTTTCCGTCATGAACGAGAAGGCCAGTCAGGTCCTGGTGACCTGGGGAACTGGCTGCCGACCGGCGAGGGCATTTTCAGAAGGGGACAGTTTCTTTGATCACCCCGCTGCTCTTGGGATTTTCTGTGCTTTCACATTCTGTTTCAGACACTCCCCGCAAGTTTTTGTGCATCACCGGGTCCAGTCCCGTTTGTGATCGATTAGCAGGTGAATGCCGAGCCACCTCACATGTTGGGGGTTGGCTTAATTTTCTAATTCCTCAATTTTGGACATTTAGGTTCTGTCCAGTATTTCTGCTGTTGCAGGAATGCGCAATGACTGCACTCAGGACCCGTTTGCCTACGTGGGTGCGGTTTTCATGGTGGGGATCCCTCGTGCGGGTCAAAGACTGCGAAGAGCTCAGGGCTGAGTGACCGTGTGGCGTCGTCCAAGGGGACTGGGCGAGGTACGATCGCTGCCAACGTCCGTCGGTAAAGCCTGTTTTTTCCACTTCTACAGGAAATGCGGCGAGGAGGCGCCTTTTTTTTTTTTTTCCAATTTGCATTCTTCCAGTGCAAAGAAGATGGGAAGTGTTTGCCCGTTCGACTCCCCCGTGGGGCTGGTGCCATCATGTCCTGCACGCAGGTCTCTGGCGTGACCGTGTGCATCAGGGCATTGCCGTGGCAACGCTGGATCCAGGTCTTTTCCCAGGCTTTGTTCTTAGCGATTTCTCATTGTTCTGAGTTTTACATGTTCCCATCGTCCCATTTGTTGTCCTTAGCCACGTCAGAGCTTAACCTTTCTCACCCCGGCTGGCGGGCTGGTGGGGGGAGCGTAGCCCCAGGATCGGGAAGGTCGCGGGTTCGAGCACCGGTCTGGACGTGCGAGAGGCAGCCGTGGGTGCTTCTGTCCCGCCTCCCTCCCCCGCCTTGTTTGAGAGCTCGTCCTCGGGTGCGGGTTTAAAAAACTTACTTTCCCTTTGATGATCTAGAAACATTCAATCTGTTCTTGTTAAAAATCAGTTTGTCTTTTTCTCCCATCCACTCAGAGTGCGATCTTTTTTTTTTTTTAGATTTCTGTTGAACTTTCCCAAAACTGTGAAACTGACAGCAGAGATTTTACTCAAAACCACTGTGAAGTCACATCGAGTCCCAGCTGTAACGGAGAAAGAGAAGACCTGGTGGAGCTGCCCCTGCCTGTGCACCCCCATGCGCTGGGGGAGCACTGAGCTGTGTGTGTGTGTGTGTGTGTGTGTGTGTGTATGTGTGTGTGTGTGAAGGCTCGTGGGCACACAGGGGAAATGGCCCCCTGCCCCTGGTGCCTGAGGCCTTGAGGGCTGTGTCCAGTGCTCAGTTATTTCAGAAACGTCCAGTCCCACCTGGGACCGCCGCGCACTATGACCACCTGGGGCGGCTGGCACGGCCTGTGTCTCCGCCGCACGCAGGGCTCCCGCCCCCGGGGTGACTCAGCATGAGAGCCTGTGGCCTGCAGGTGCGCTGGGGCTCCTCCTGGTGACTCCTCTGTGGCCCTTGGGGGCACAGTGCGGGGAAGACGGGCCTTCAAGGAAAGCAGGGCCCCCGTCTCTCCCCACGTCTGAGGGTCTCACAGGTAAAACCGGCCCAGGCTGCTGGGCCGGGCGACAGGGAAGTCCCTCAGCACCAAAAGGCCAGGAACCCGTCTGGGGAGGGCGGGCCCTCCTCTCCACAGTCACCCCCCCCCCCCGGCCACGAAGCTGCTCCACCGGACGCGCCCAGCTGCCTGGCGATGTCTTTCACAGCAGGGGGACTGGGCAAGGCCCCCCTGCCCTGGTGGGGCCACCCCAGGCAGTGCTGTCACTCTGCTGTCCCTGAGTGATGGAGCCAGGTCCTGGGTGGCCTGTCCCATAGGGTCCGACTTTGAATTTTGGGCCAGGATCCCTTTGCTGGACAAGTTTGTATTGAGTCCCTGTGGTGAGGAAGCTGGTAAGGCTACTGCCCAGCATGTCCCCCTCACGGGGACGTGGAGCTGGGGGGCTCCGGGCTTTGATTTGACTGCAGGTAAGACGGCACCCCAAAAGCACGGATGCCGGGGGGGGGGCGTCCGTGCTGCGGAGACACAGCAACACTCCAAGCCACCTCCCTCATACCCCTGCCCTCAGTCTGGCCGGCCTTCCCGCACCTCACACACTCTGTCCAGGCAGGTCACGGCCCCTCCTCTGCCCGGCTGAACCCTGTGGGCCACAGCAGGGGACCCGCCGGCAGCGGGTGTGGGCGTCAGGTTGTGGACTCCCCTCTCGTACGGCGGAGTCTCATGGGGAAACGTGTGTGGGATGGAAAATGAAAGCACTCACCGCCCATCGCGGCGGGCGGAGGGACGAAGGCAGGTGTGTTTGGGCATGGTGATGTGGGAAGATTGTTTTTTTTTTGTTTCGTCGTTCTTTGTTTTTTAATCGGTCTGGTCTCAGTGGGGATGACTGGAAAAGTCCCAGTAACCCCTGAGAACCCCAGTGGAGAACGGACCTCGTGCGGCTGGCACGCAGGCCCGAGAGTCTGCCGGCCACTCGGTTCCGTCGTGTTTGTTCAGGCTCAGTCTCGCTGCGGGCGGAGCCAGCGGGCAAGGCTGCGGACCGTGGGTGGGCGCTTGCCCCCCACCATGAGGACTGAGCTCAACGCAGGGCGTCACAGACAAGCCTGCTGTTGGTGAGGTGCCCCTCCTGCAGGCAGGTCGTGACCTTGACACAGGGTCACGACCCAGGAGCGCCCTGCGATCAGGTCGCCTTGGCCCGAACAGGGTCACAACAACAACAAAAACAACAACAACGTGCCTTACTCGGCAGCAGGTCGTCTGGGGCGACCCCATGGTGCCCAGGCACCCCAGGCCACGCCGCCCAGCAGTGTCTGCGAAACCAGGGGAGAGGCTGCGTTTGGCTTCAAACGGCCGAAGGAAAACCCTTGACAGTCACCGAGATGGACTGAAATGCCGTGTCGAGGGGCGGCTGTGCCGCGTGTCGGCGACTGTCACCCACCAATGGTCCCTGACCTCTGACCCCGAGGACGCAGCACCGAGTGTCAGTGAGGCTCTTTGAGAACCGCCTGGCTCCCCGGGACAGCATCCTTCTCGTCCGTGTGGCTTTTCTTTTAAATTTACTTATCTCTAGAGGGGGAGGGAAGGAGAGAGGGAGAGAAACATCAGTGTGTGGCTGCCTCTCGTGTGTCCCCTGCTGGGAACTGGCCTGCAGGGAACTGGCTTGCAACCCAGGAATGTGCCCTGACTGGGAATCCTACCTTGGTCCTTTGGTTTGCAGGCCACGCTGAATCCACTGAGCTACACCAGGCACAGTGTCATTTGTGTGATTTCTAAAACGGAGGTTTTTTTTAAATAGCTGCCCCATAACGACCCTGCAGGCCCACAGAAGCACACTGGCCAGTCCGGCTGCAGCAGCCCCTGCCTGGGGCGGGCCGGTCACCGCCGGGCTCCAGACTTGGGGGCAGCCCTGCGCCGCCTCCCCGCTCGCTCCCCTGGCTCGCTGTCCCTCGGTGAGGCCGGCTGCCGAGGAGCACGGAGAAGACTGCGCGGGTGCGGGAGACGCGGTGCAGGGGAGGGACCTCGGCGTGTGAGGTGCTGACGGCCTTCTGACGCTGCACACCACCTTTCAGGGGGACTCGCTGTTTCCGGTCTTCCCTGCGAACGCCATCAAACTACCGCCTCCTGGCGGGATGGAAAGGAGAGGCGCAGCGTGCGATTCCCGGTTTTAATGTTCGTACACTATATACACCGTATGTATACACTGAAAGGACAGGAGTTACACAGCCTGGTCTCTCACATGCAAACAGCAGGTCACAAAGAGTTTTGAGCTACACATGTATCTTGCACAGATATTGGAAAAGAATCTGTGACTGTTTTTACAGTTTTAACAAATATACATAAATATAAGAACATAAGTTACAGTAAAGCAGCAACAGCGTCTGAGGCCGTCGGAGCTCGGGTGCCGGAGGCCAGCCAGCCCTGTGACGCAGGACGGAATGCCCGGGCTCCACTCGGTGTGGAGCCGGGGCGCGTCCCAGCAGGCACTGGCTGCTTCCCTACCCTGAGTGGGGGAGGCCCGCACTCCGGCCTCTGCTTCCCACCAAAGGGAACCGGCAGGGCACCTCGCATGTGACGCAATACTGACGCCCCTAAGTCACACGGGGTCACAACACTGACACAGGACAGTCACGCGATCGCTCGAGTCTTTTCCTGAGAACGGAGGTGCGCCCGCCGGCCCTCCACGCACGCCCGCGAAGGGGCTGCGAGGGTGCTGGACTGCGCCGCTCTTGCAGGGGACGGGACGAGAACTCGATGTGAGTGAAGGGATGGGACGCTGCTTTAAAATTAAAGTGTAGCCCTTCGCACATGTTTAAAAACTCTAACTATAATTCCGTATCAGTTACAAACACGGGGGAAAGACGGCGAGACTGGCAGGACACCTCTGCCTTCAGGACGGTGTCCCTCCCAGGCCCTCGCCCCACTGCTCCAAGCAGCTCCCGCTGAGCGAGGCAGCCCCGTGCGCGCTCGGAGCCACTCCCGGCGGCGAGTGGTGCAGAACAGCACTGACCGAGTCAGCCGCGCCTTCCTGCCACGCCTGGTTAAGCTCACGTGGTTTAAAGCCAATCTGCTAGCAGCTCTTCACGACACCCCCTCAGTTCACCGAGAAGAGTTAATACTTGCATGAGTAATAAATACGTCCACGGCGGAGAACGCCGAGCGGGGTTCCGACACCATGGACACTCGGGGCTCCTCCGGACACCCCGGGCGGGCGCGCGCCCCCCTCACACCATCTCCACGCAAAACAAAACCCTAAAGTGCGGTAGGATGAGCCCATGGACAGGAAGGACAAGACAAACCCTCGGGAGACAGCACATACATGAAAAGTTAAAAAAAAGCAACAGATAAACCCCTAATTTGTAACCTCAGCCATATTCCCACCGTTAGTCCGACCAGTGTGTGACAGTGAGGGCCTCGCCCCCAGCGCCTGGCAGGCGCCCCAGGGACACTGCCCCTGTTCCGTCTCCACAGGGCGCGCTGGCTGCCCTGCGGCGGGGCCTGGCGACCACAGGTCTCGTTGGCAATCACACGGGTGCTCTCCAGGTGGGGAGCGGAAGGGCGCGTGTGCCCCGCAGCTCGGGGGCGGCCGCGGCCAGCCCTACGCCTTCGAGGGCAGCAGCTTCTTGGGCGTCACGGGTCTCTTGGTCTGCCACAGGTGACTGTGGATGGTGATGGCGTCGACGCTGGCGGACAAGGTCTTGGCGGGGATGTGGCTGAACTGCTTCCTGTCCGAGTTGTACTTGTACAGCCCCTCGATCATCTTCTTGCTGATGGCCTTGGGGCCGATCCCCGTCAGCTTGGAGATGTCCTCCGTCTCGGGACAGTAAGTGTACAGGGACCGGAACTGGCAGCCCGAGTCCCTGAACAGGATCAGGAAGTTGTTGGCGTCCGACTTCTCCATTTCCTTCAGAGTCAGCAATAAACAAACGAGAAAGAAACCCAGAGAAACCCGTAAACATTCTGCTGAGTAACCGTGTTACTGTCTGGGTCGCACCTGGTGACATGTGAAACTCGGGTCCTCGTTAGCCAGAACGGCACGCAGGCCGCCAGGGCGGAGCACACTTCCACCGGAAGGGCAGGCAGGCGCCTCTGGCTGCGGCTCAGCTCTTCCCACCCTGACCCGCGGGAAGCCCGCAGATGGGGTGTGGCTGCAAAGCCCTGGCCCCAGGGGCTCTGCCTGCCCTCCACTCCCAGAGGCCCCGCTGTCCTGCCTTCCCTGGGAGCTTTGCTCTGAAAAGGGCCCCGCACGCCACCCGCATTCACGAGACGTGAACAAATCGACCAGAGCGAGAAAGTTCTCGGCTCCCTACCAGCAGCAAGGCCGGCCTCACACTCGCAGGCGGAGGGGGAGTCGGGGTGGGGGGCGGGTGTCTCTGTAATGGGAGCCCTCGCCTCGGAGCTGACGGAGGGGGAGGCCCGCACGCTCAGAGCTGGCCTGGCACGCAGGTGGCGCCCTCACCTCCAGGATCTTCCTCTTCTGGCCCTCGTTCACCTTGCCGGCCAGGCAGCAGTGCGCCAGCGCGTTCTGTATGATGTGCTTGTTGGACTTGGCGCTGGGCTCCTTGTACAGCTTTGGTCCTGTGGCGACAGTCACGGGGCAGTGACGGCCTGCCCAGGGCAGCAGCCCTGCCCCCGACGGCCCTCGGAGCTCGCGGCAGAACGGGGCCGCGGGCCTGCGGGCCCCAACAGCTGTGACGCAGCCAAGGGGAAGCTTCGTGTCTCCCCTCCCCCACAGCGCTGGGTGTGCAGTGGGCTCCATCATCGCCTGCCCGTCCACCCAAAGCCCCAGAAGCACCTTCGCGTTTTCCTGCCACGCTCCTGCCAAGAGCAGGATGCAGACAGACCAGCCTCCCACGCTGCACCCCCACTGCACTCTGTCCTGAACGTGGGGGCTGCGCCTCCCCCCACAGCAGTGCACTGACCAGGGCTTTGGGGGGCAAGGTCCAAACCTCACCCTGACTTGCAGCATTTCCCCATTTACGTGCTGTGGGTGGCCCCTGCCATGGTGGACCTCCAGTGACCAGCTGTCCTGTGGTCGGCGCACTTCCCGCCAGCTGTCGGAGCAGGCCTAAGGTGGCCACTCTGCAGCCCCAGGTCACAGCCCCCATGATGCACACTGACCGGCAGGGCCGGCAGCTGTGCTGACGGCTGGGGGCAGCGCACACCGGCACCAGCAGCTCCGACCTCACGCCTTCCCAGTGCCCCACAGCGGGTCCCAGGGGGACAGAGTGCTGCTGCCCACCCCCTGCCTTCCCGCTCCCTGGCACCTTTCTTCTCCCGTTAGCTGGCAGGGTTCTTCCCCACACCCCGCTCTCCCGTTCGCTCACGCCATCAACGCTCACCCGCCCAAGGCTGGAGAGGGCCTGGGGGGACACAGGAGGGCGATGCCCTCTGGCCCCCAGTGCGTCTGAGCTCCTAGTCGAGCAGCAGCATCACTGGTGAAGCCGCCCAATTCCAAACGCTGAGAACGTCTTCAGACCCAAACCAAGACACCGAGGGGCCAGGGCCAGAGCAGCACGAGGCAGGTCTCTCAGAGAAGCAGCTCAGCCGGCCCTGGACAGGTCCCGCCCCCGGATCCCCAGAGGGCCCACCTGTGAGCAGCACCGCCGTCTGCGGACTCCGACCGGAGGGAGCCAGAGCAGCTGTCTCTGGTGGAACCCACTCCCACTCCCCCGCGTTCAGCTGCAGTGTTTCCCCCAGAAGGCGCAGGAGCGAACCTGTGTACTCCGTCCCCGAGGCCACCGAGGACGTGGTCGAGGCGTTCTCCCAGTCCTTCTCCCCGTTCCGGCTGCCGCAGCGGCTGGGCGACAAGAAGCCCTCCACGGACTCCGACCTAGGCAGCGAGCGGGGCGCTTCAGGGCTCCCACAGAGGAAGAGGACTGGGGGTGCCGAGGGGGTGGGGCAGGGCAGGGGCCGAAGTCAACCCCGAGCCTTCGACCGCACACGGTGGCAGCTCACGGCCGTGCCACCCGCACCCAGAGCGGGGCCCCACGGGCTGACAAGGTCCCCGGGGCGTCAGAAGGAAGGCAGAGAGACACTGAGCCTCCTCCCAGCCTGTGCTCTGCAGGGGCGGACACAAGAGAGGCCCCCCTCAGGCACAGGCGGCCGCTCTGGGGTCGCTCTCCCGGGCACACTGTGTTGGTGGGAGATCAACTCAGGGGGCACCCTTCCCGCGTCTGCGCCCCACCACCACCGTGTCCACAGTCGTTGCTAAGGCTGCAGTTTACAGAGTCTCACCCACGTTGGTGAGGCCGAAACTCCGAACCAGTGCAAGGTGAGCGGACCACCACGTGTGCGGATGCCCCTGAACCACTGCAGTCGACGCGACTTACCAACGGCCGTGACCAGGGCTCACTCACTCATTCCAGAAGGGAGAACAAGGGAGGGCCCAGACACGCCCCTGGTTCTAGAAGGGAGGATGGGGGCAGACCGCCCCCAGCCCCACGGTGGCGGGACGGGTTACCTGGGGGTCCTCTTGCCAGAGTGCACGCTCTCGCTGTCGCCCGTGGTCAGTGACGCCAGGGAAAGGCTGGAGACTGAAAGCACACAGCACAGTCACCTCCCGAGCGAGAGACAAGCCAGGCAGCCCCTGGGAGTGACTCTGCGTTGGGGGGCGGGGGGAGCCCGGCCTCTGGGCGCTGCTGCTGGTCTTGACTCTGTTGGCCCACAATGTGCTGCCCACTTGTAGCCACAAGTTATTAACGGGAAGAGGGCCTCTTCCAGAAAAAAGCAAAGCTCGGTGCTGACACATGCTTTGTAAAAGGAGCACGTGAGCCATGACACAGGGACCATGTGAAAAAAGTGAACACGAAAGACATGAAAAAATAAACCATTTTACGTGAAAAATCCATCGATTCACTTTAGCCAATACTGAGCACCAACAAGTCTCGTTGGCCGGAAAAGGCAGTTGTTTCCTTCCTTGGTTTTAGAATAATCTGGGAATTCTCTGACATGTTCAATGGCTTTCACTTTCAACAAGGTAAACACCGCCTTACAGAGTGACTGTGCGTTGAATTTTAGAAAAAATACACCCTATTGACTCCGAAGGCTATAAACTGGGGCTTCTGAGCACGTCTCGGCCAGAGGCGGCCTGGCCTGTGCCAGCCCCGGACCCAGGGAAGGGAGGGCCTCTCACAGCGGTGCGCGCCCAACAGCTCCGTGCACACACGCCCTCTAGCACACGCAGTGCCCCACGGCCTCGGAGCCGCCCTTGTTCCCTCCAGTCTCCAGACCCGGACGTGCCTGCTCCCAGGCCAGCCTCCCCCGGGGCTGACAACCAGGCCGGCGTTTCCATGCCTGAGCTGCGTTACCTGGAGGCCCCTGGGTGGGCGTCCTGGGGGACTCCACGTGGTCTCTGTGGATGGACTTGGGGCGCGGCTTCTTCTGCCTGGCGGCCGGGGCCCGGGGCTTGAGCACCGTGTCCATGTCCTCCATGAGCTTCAGCTGCTTTCGCCGCAGGTACTCCTGCCGGATGAACTCCCTGCGCGCCCGCTCGTCCTCCTTCCTCTGGCGCTCCTCCTCCGTCTTCCGCCTGAAAGACCGCTGGGTCAGGGCCCGGTCTGCGCCCGCGGAGGGCGCGGTCCCCACAGAGGGCGTGTGCCCGGAGAGGGTGAGGCTGTCATGTTTCAGTACCATGGGGGACACGGTTCACTGAAAACCTACTTCAGATAGTTGAGGTCATTACAATCTACATGAGGCACCACCAACACAAAGTGTGTGTGTGTGTGTGTGTGTGTGCACATGTATAAAATCCAGTGAAGTTAAATTCTTGTGGTTTCTGGAGAACCTGACTTTGAAATGGCCTCAAACGTAGATAAAAACATACAACCAAGTAATATGGGAAAACAAAAGTAGTTTTGGGAAGACAAAATTAACCAAAAATCTGCCTGAATTCAGCGGCCTGGGCACCGCAAATGTCTGGAGATCTGTGACCAGTCGGGGGAGAGCAGCGCGGCCACGCGCTCACACGCCCACGCGCTCACACGCCCACGCGCTCACCTGGTCTCCTCCTTCCTGTGCTCCAGCTCCGCCTCCAGCTGCTGCTTGCGCAGCTGCGTCTCCTGCTCCCTGCGGAGCCGCTTCTCCAGCAGGGCCGCCCGCTTCAGCGCCATGTCGTCCTCCGCCTTCTGGTCGTCCTGAGGACAGAGTCCACGGGGAAGAGGGGCTTTAGGCACAAACGCTCTCATTTTCCGCTCTCGTGACCGAGAATCTGAAACATCTGTTCAACCTCATTCCAACCACGCCCCGTAGCGAGGTGCTCCGGAGACTGCGGAGGAAGAAAGGCCTTAGAGTGCTGCGTCCTGTCAAGTGACGAGGGACACAAACTGCGTCACCACTTTCCAGACCCGGGGAGTCAGCAAAGGACAGTCAGCCACAAAGAGGTAAAAAAAGGACAGAGGGTTTTTTTGGACCCTAATAAATAAGTGGGGAGTTCCCCCCCAGTTTTTAAAATTGTATTTAAATGAAGCCCTGGCCGGTGTAGCTCAGTGGATTGAGCGCGGGCCTGCGAACCAGACAATCGCGGTTCGATTCCCAGTCAGGACACATGCCAGGGTTGCAGGCAGGTTCCCTGCAGGCCAGTTCCCAGCAGGGGATGCATGAAAGGCAACCATACATTGATGTTCCTCTCCCTCTCTCCTTCCCTTCCCCTCTAAAGATAAATAAATAAAATCTTTAAAAAAATTGTATTTAAACGGTATGCAAAATATATGCTCAATAAAGGAAATTTGAGTCGAAGCACCAAAAAATACTTCCCCAAAGCGACATCCCCCAAATGAAACCATCACTGCGGGTTTCTAAGCGGAGGCTCTGGACCACGCGGAAGGCTTCCTTCCCGCGGCAGAGAAGGCGGCCTAACCCCGCCACCTGGAGGCCTGGGGGGGTGGGCAGCAGCCTCCTGCTCTGCCAGGCTCCGCCTGTGCAGAGCCCGCATCTCTGCCTGCGTCCGTGGGGCAGCCCGCTCTAGGCGGCCTCAACACGCTGCCGGGCTCAGGGAGCTGCAGGCGGCCGGAGGGCCCACCGTCTTAAGGACCCTGTGACGCCTGGCCCCACAGGCCACCTGGGCCTGTCGCACAGGCTCCGTGAAGGGCCGGGCCCAACTACAGACACCTGAGAAACACCCTCGGGGGCCCGGGGCAGAGGCAGAGAGAGGAGCTCTGCTGGGGCACAGCGGGAGAGCACACGCGGACGTCGCCGACACACCCTGCGCACACGGCATGCGCGGTGACGGGCCGGTGCGTGTGGGGCTGCAGGCGTGCACGCCACGGCCGCAGGCACTCCGAGCAGTGCGCCTGGGTGGACGGGAACAGACGCGGCGGGGGTGGTGGCTCTGGAACCGAGCCAGACTTCGGCAGACAGGGAAGCTCGGGCCGGTCCTGAGGAACGGTCCCAGAGGGAGGTCATAGGGACGAGGGGCGGCCGCACAGGCTGGTGGGTCTGGGAAAGACCCCGAGTGCGATGCTCAGGGTCTCGAACTTGATTCCACGGGCAGCTCTGAGTCTTCGGATCAGGGGGACCCACAGCTGGGGCGCGTCTCCTGCACCACAATCCGGGGCAGCCTCTGGAGGCCGGACGGGCTCGGCTGAGGCCCAGGGCCGGTGGGGGGCCAGGGCAGGGCAAGGACCACACGGGAGGGCGGCAACCACCTTCTGCCCGACAGGAGGGAGGGCCCTGAGGACGTGCACGTGGCCTGCACAGGACTCACCAGCCACGGAACAGGCCCAGAGGCCTGGCCTGCTCTGCCCCCTGTGCCCCCTGTGCCCCCTTCTCTGTGAGGCCTCAACCCTGGAGGACAGGCTCGCTTGCCGGAGTCCGCAGCAGCACTCTCTGGGAGAGTCGCAGTTCTGCCTGGTCACCCAGAACACGACCCCCTCAAACTCGGACCCCTAGAGAGCGCACAGGGCACGCGCCCGAGGCCAGTTCTAACAGAGGGTTCGAGTTCACGCCCCACCTTGCAGCACCCACAGCGAAACCGCCGTGGCAAGCGCTCCGGCGTTTGCGGGTGGTGCGCAGGCAGGGCCGCCGTGCGCCTCTGCGCAGATCTAAACCCGCTGTGGCCTCTCCCGCCCACACTGCACACCAGCCACAGGGGACCTGCTTCCGCCCCTCTGTTTTTGTTTTTGAAAACAAAAACAAGTAATAAACACCTGTTTTGATGATTAACGAAACCCATGCTCCTCCCTACGGGACCCATACTACAGGTAATTTGGAAAACACAGAAAAACATTAAAACGAAGAAAGTGAATGAAAACTGGAATAAAAGTTTAAAAATGCCAGGCTTTTCTTGTCTTGTGAATATCTATGAAAAACACCAACACCCCGCCATGAAGCAGTGACACCACTTGGGGCTTGTGCAGGTGGCCACGGTGCTGTTTGAGGGTGACGGCCTGCAGCACACGGAGCCCGGGCGGGGGCCAGACCCCCACAGGCTCTTCCAGCAGCGACCACAGTGTCTGCGAAGGAGGCACACGAGCCTGTCAGCCGGCCACCCGCAGGCGCCCGTGTGGTCAGCTTTTAAAGAGCGAAGAAACACGAGAGGGAAGACGTTCACAGTTTTGGAAAGGCCCGAACGTCCTTATGCACAAGGCGTGAGCTCCTGACCACCTGGCACCTGAATCGTCTGCGGAGGAGCCCTGGGCAGCTGCGTCTAAAGGCTTTTGTGGAGGAAACAGGCGGAGGGGCAGCGCGTTCCCCCCACGTCCCCCCGACCTGCGCGTGCCTGCGGGGGCCGCTCCCCACACCAGGGGCTTGCGGCAGGCGGGCAACCAGGGCCCCGCGAGCCGCCGCAGGTGGCGTCAGGTGGACACCTGAGCCCGCGCGTGCCGGCGTACCTTAAAGAAGAAGCCGCAGCACACCTTCTGGTCCTCGTCCACCTGCTCTCTGTCGCTTTCCCCGTCCCCTTTCTCGGCGGACACATCCGCCCTCACGGGGGGCTTCAGGTCCGAGAGGGAGACTTCGATGAGACTGGCGTTCTTGGGCGCGGCAGGGGGGAAGGCGGGCCGGGGAGGGGGCTCTGCAGGTCGGCTTGGCGGGCCCTCGTTTGGGGTCAGACACACGGTCTCCGTGACGGGCTGCGACAGGACCTCGGAAACGGTCGACTCCAGGGGTCTCACCTCCTTCTCTCCCGAGGGCGGGGCGTGCCGCTCCGGGGCCTCCCCCGGGTCCGAGGCCTCCTTCCTGGCCTCCTCCTTGGGCCCGGGCCCCCTCGGCTGCGGCTCCCCGTCGTCCCCGAAACACACGAACGAGCGGGTCTGAATGGGCACCTGGCTCGGGGAGAACCTCCTCAGCCGAGGGAGGCTGTCCACGGAGCGCGGGGGGGCCAGCGTGCGGGTCAGGGGCGCGATCTTCAGCTCGTTGGGCCGGGGAGTCCTCTGGTTCTTGGCGGAGGGCGGAGGGCCCTTCCTGTGGGAAGGCTGGGGGGACGGGTGGGCAGGGCGCGGGGGCTCTGAGAAGGCCGCGCCGCCCGGGGGCCTGGGCTCCCGGCCCGGCCTGAGCGGGGAGGGCTGGGGCGGCGCGATGACCCAGGACCGCTGCTCCCGCATCTGCATCAGCACCTCCTGCTGCAGCGACAGGCGCTGCATCTCCTGCTGCAGGAAGTGCAGGGACGCGTTCAGCTTCTCAATGGAGCGTGTGTACTCCAGCACCTCCCCCTCGCCCGCTGCCTCCTCCGCGGGGCTCGCCGGGCCCCACTGCTTCTCCGGCTCCACCGGCGTCGTGGGTGACTTGGGCCACGGGGCAGGGGGGCCCTCGGCACTCTCCTTGATGTCCGCCAGCGACCGGCTCCGCTGCCCGCCGGCCCTCGGCGGCTCCTTCTCCCTGGCGTGGTCGCTGTACACCTTCTCGTCCTCCGCCCCGGCCGCTTCCTCTCGCAGCGGGGCCGCCCCGTCCCCCCGCTTCTTCACCACGGTGAGGAAGGCCGTCCTGCCCATCTTCTGCCTCTGCCTGGTGAAAGCCGCCTCCACCTTCTTCTTCTGGGCCTCGATGGCCCGCCGCTTCTCCTCCAGCCTCATGCGCAGCTGCAGCATCTCGGAGGCCAGCAGCTGCGTGCTGTCCCGCGGCTGTGGGGGACCGGCCTCCTCCGGGGTCTGGGCCCAGGCGACCACGTGGGGGATGTTCAGTTCCGAGCCCTCGGGGGTCGTCTTCTGCGAGCTGCTCCCGCTGCTCTTCCCGTCGGTGTGATTCAACTTCCGGAACTTCTGCTCCGCGAAGCTGGTCATCTTGACCCCGGAGCTGGAGGACGCGCTGCTACCGGGCTGAGACCTGGTGCTCACGGTGCTGGGACAGGGGCTGGAGGCCTCGCGGGGGCCGCCGGCATGCAGGTCGTAGTCCTGGAGGAGCTTCGAGGTGTCGTCCATGTCCGAGTCCAGGCTGACCGTGTAGTCCCGCAGCGACGACTCCTCGTCCACGGTCTCGGGGATGTCCTCGGAGGGAACGTGGATGCCGGTGTCCACCTCCGTGTCGTCAGTGACAGGACTCAAGGCGCCGCCGGTGTCGGTGATGGGGTCGGGGCCGGTCTGGGGCAGCCGCAGGTTCGCGCTGAGGACGCTCAGCTCCTGGCCGTGGAGGAAGAAGCCGCCGGCCCGCGGCTCCAGCGGCAGCCCGTGCGGGGTCTGCTCAGTGTCGTGGATGATCTGCAGCGCCTCCTCGATGCTCGGGGTCTCGGTCTGGTGGCCCAGCTCGTCCAGGAGGGCTCTGCTCCGCAAGGCTCCGTTCGGGAGCCTGCAGTAGGCCTTCTCGTCGGGGCTCAGTGTGTCCACAGCAAGGGGCACGTGGACCTGGAGGTCCCTGTGCGAGTCCACGCCCAGCTCCTCCTCAATGCTCTCTGCCTCCTCTTCTCCACTCACCGGCCTGAAGGTCGGGTTCCTCCGGATGTTTTTAGGAACACGGTTGTTGTTGAGAGAAAGCCCTTCGTTACTAAGAGAGCGAGTGATCCCTTGGTTTGGAGTGAGTCTCTGTACAGTGTTTTCTTTATCAAAAGAAATATCAAATGAAACTCCGTGCACTGACGATCTAAAAAGATTCAGACAAAAAAGCATAAATACTTCCCAACGAGAAACGGCCGCGTGTCCCCAACAGCAACTACGTAGAACTCGAGCCGCCCTTGGCGTCTGTGGAGGCCCCGCAGTCCCCGGACGCCCCAGCGCCTGCACAGACGCCGTTGCACTCCTGCAGCGCGCACACCTGGCCGGGACCCCAGCCCCTCCCCAGACACGTGGGGCAGCCGCCACAACGCGACGCCGTGTCGGCAGGACACTGTCTGCTCTTGGCACAGGTGCAAGCACAGGCGTGACTCCACGGGACACACCAGTGACAGGTGATGCTCGCTCTCAGAACACCTTCAGTCTGTGGTGGGCTGAGCTCGCAGGCGTGGACGTGGACGACCGATCACTCCGTCGCACAGCCCGCTGGGTCCGGCCGGCACTGCCAGGCCACCTTCTGCCGGGAGCCCCCGGGCCCTCTCACCTGCCCACGGTGCCCCTTTCAAGGTCAGGTACTAAGTCACATCATTACAACCCGGCTAACAACACGAGGGCCTGAATCAGCATTACTGGATGATGTGAATATACGGGTGTAGTTCTCCTTACCTTTTCTCTTTGGGCCACGTCCCTATGAAGCCATCAACATAAGACATAGATGAAGATCTCCTAATTCCTCCTACAAATATAAAAAAAAATTACTGAAATTGTGTAAAGAGTTTAACTTACAGCAACTGAACAGATTTCACACATTCACTCATTAATGGCACTAAAAGTGTGTAGGTACACGCAGGGAAAGAGAGGTCATTTCGCTAAGAGAAGCAAGCGAAGACGCACCGGTCACCCTCCTGGTGCGTTCACTGTATTTCCCAGAGGACGAGACTGGGTTCTGCGCTTGCCTCCACTCGCCCCCACCGCCCCAGCCACCGCCCCCCCCCACACGTTACCTGAGGCTGCCGCCCGAGCGTGGGGGCGGGACTGTCTAGACAGCAGGTGCCGGGAGTGTGGGGGCGCCGCCCCTTCCCCGCTGCAACGAAAAGCAATGGGCACATCTCGGCCGGTGTATTCCGCTCGCCCGGCCCTTACGGAGGGCGGCCGACACTGCACACGGCACTGCCACCCCGACTCCACCCCAAACTTCAGAACCAAAGCCACTCAGGGACACGGTGCGTCGTTTGAGCCCACAAGCAGTCGGAAGGCCCGGAAGGCCCCGTGCACAGCCCGTGTCCTGCAGAGCAGACGCAGCCGCTTGGAAGTGAGGCGGTTGAATGTGAGTCGCCGCCAGTCTGCACCCTCTGGGCATCCTGGGCCTGGCGCCCAGGCAGCCCCTGCATGCGGGTCTCGCTGGTCAGGGCAGGATGGTCTGGGGACCGGCTACGTCCCTGCTGGTCACTCAGTCTGCTCACAAAGGGGATGAGACAGACTTACGTCTCCAGTCCAACATCTGGCCAGATTCTGCTCCTACCCCCCCCCCCCCGCCCCAGGTCTTAAGTCTGCTTTGGCTCGCAGTGGCGTCGGGCCAAGAACTCAGGCATCCTACCCCGGCCTGCTGAGAATAAATCGGGCCAGGTGGCAGTGACGTCAGTGGCCGCCTCACCCCATGGCGTCTCCATGACACCACCAACCAGTCGGGGAAGTCACGCAGGCAGAGGAAGACAAACCCGGCGTGGACTCACTGGCATATGCCATCGGGGAACAGAACGAAAACACGACACCAAAGGGACACTTGTGGAAGGGAGGGGTTGGGAGTGGGTACAAGGGGCAGGAGCGCTCGGTCCGTGATGCTGTGATGTGTCCCTGCAGTGACAGATGACTGCTAGACTTGGTGGATGGTCACGTTGTGAGGCACAGAAATGTCAAATCACCATGTGTACACCTGACACTAATGTCACTAATACAAGACTGTGCACCAACTACACCTAAATAAAAAAGTAAAAAGTTCTGCCGAAGCCCCGAGGGTCACCTGCCGTCCAAACCGTCCTCGATGAAGAGTGAGTTGTGTAAAGAAGGGCCGGGCCTGGGCCGCCTTCGGGCCTTAGCACACACCTCCCGCCCCCCGGTGACTCATCCCAGCGGCCGCGTTTCGGTTCCCTGGGCAAGCAGACGGGACGGCCTACCTGGCGCCATGGGCAGAGTGGGGGCAGCTGTCCGAGGGGCTCCCTGGGGCCGCTGCAGGCAGGTCGTGCGCAGGGTCGGCTGCAAGATTTGAAAGCCCCGAGTTACAGCCCTGGCACACTTCCAACGTCGTTTCCAGACTTTGAGACACGAGCAGACTTAACCTCAGTTTCCCTTCTAACAGAGTGAATCAGGGCACATTGAAAATTATTCTTAAGTAATTTTCACAGGGTAGAATTTTCTTTAAATTCTTCTCCAAGTGTCCCTCTGGCTTAAGAAACTGCAGTTCAGGCTAACTGGGGCCGCAGGCCACACGAAGGTGTTTAGAACACAAGCAGCTCCGAGCGTCTGACTCTGCGCAGCTGGCGCAGAGCTTCAGTCGAGTGGGTCCTGTCTGCTTCCGTGTGGGACTGCGGGTGTTCGGGAACCGGTTGGGGAGAGAAGCTCGTGGGCGAGGACGCAAACTCCCGGTGCGGTTCACACCCCGGTAAACTCCCCTGGGGAAGGTCAACTCCCTTCTTGCCTCGGAGACCTAGCGCACCAGCTGCCGCACGTCCCGGGCAGTGGGCCTCGCAAATGAAGCCGCAGGCGGCGGCGCAGGGGAAACCTGACTCTGCTCCCTGGCCTGGGGGCCGGTGGCAGCTGCGGCGCCAGCACTCGGTGGCATGTGGGCTCCATGCTCAATCTGCCTCCCCTTCCTGGTCTCTCTCTCGTCTCTCCGTGACTGTTGGGGAGAAGACAGGGCCGGGGTGGAGGACCGAGAAGACCACACCCGGAGCCCAACCTGCAGAGCTGCGTGGGCGCCGCCGTGGAGAGGACCCGCCTCGCAACCCGGGGGCGTCTCCCCCCCATGAAAACAGGCCTCCGTCGTGCACTGGGGCCGACGGGAGGGCCGTGCTGCCTTAGAACCCGCACGGGGAGACGGCTGTTCTTTATCTCTAGGGATCCTCACAGTAACCCTTCGTTTCTCATTAGCTGTCACTACGGCAATCGGGCAACCGTAACGCTACAGTGATCACCACAAAACCCATCACGGTTCCCATCCATCTCCTCTTCACGGTTTAGTGGCAGATTCAAACAACAGGTTGGAGCCGAGCCACAGTCTGAGTGGATTCTGGGTCACGGCGCTAAAACCTCGGAATCCACTGGGGGACAAGAGCTCGGGATGCGGTGGGAGATGCAGACAGAGGGCAGTGAACCAACAGGTGTGACGCAGGCCGCAGAGTCTCGGCCGGTCTCTCCACTTTCTCTGCTCTCCCAACCCCCCACCCCCCACCCCGGTCTCTCGCAGAGAACTCAGCGGCTTTAAGCAACTGAACGGTCAGGACTGATCGAGGGTGGGGGCTGGGAAGGAACAGCGGCTCGAAGGGCACTACCTCCGTGCGGGCGGACGACGCGAGGCTGCACGAAGGACGGCTTCACCACCTCGAACCACCAGAACAGCTCCGCCATGAACACCAGGTAGTTGCTCTGCAGGAGAGGGCGGGAGAAGGGGCGTCAGTGAGGACAGCCGGCCCCGGAGGTGGTGGTGACTGCCTATGGAAACACAGGGCTAGAGCTCGCTGTCCGTTGAAGTTCTGCGCGTGCAAACTGGCGCAGCCGTGAGGGCAGACAGTGTGGAGGCTGCCCCATGACCCAGCACGCCCTTTGCTGGTCTTCACCCACAAGAAACAGAAAGGGGACCCGGGGGAGAAGCCTGCACCCCACGTCCGCTGCTCACGAGAGCCACGGCAGGGGCCCCGCGCACCCGTCAGCAAACACGGGTGAGCAGGTAGAGACGAGGTGTGTGCACGCACTCGGACGTCAGCCACAAGGAAGGAGACAGGGACAGACCTCGAGAAACTAAGTCAGAGAAGGACCGGTGCTGCGTGACCTCACTCACGGGCAGGTCTAAGAGCCGGACTCTGGGAAGTGGTGCACAGGCGGTTTCCGTGACAGGGACGTGGGGTGGCGGGGAGGTGCTGGTGAAGGGAGAGCCCCCAGTTGTGAGAGAGTAAGTTTGGGAGCACCAATGACCGCCGTCGATGGCACTGCGTTACACATCTTAACGGTCCCAGCACAGAACAGAAGTGACCCCGCGTCTGACAGAAGGGTCGGTTAGTGCCACGGTGGTGACCACTCTGCACACCTCCAACTCACACGGCGTTTTATGTCAACTGTATCCTGACAGGCGCGTTCAGCACGGGGCAGGCTGACTGTCCTCAGCGACTGTGCCGTGCTTGGCCACCAGATGGCAGCACAGCAAGAAATCACCCCCTAAATCCTGAATACAACCGGAGAGGACCGCTTCCCGGAACCGAGGGCGGTAACCAGGGCACGCTGTCCCCTCATCCTGGCAGGGACCCGAACCGGTCTCACTGCCAGATCTGCCCCAGCGCACAGCCTGGCAGCTGCGGCGACGCTCAGGGCCGGAGGCGCGCAGACGCGCAGCAGAGGCGGCAGAAGCATGCCCGGCCGCCTCCCCTGGCTCCAGCGGCTGCGCATTCAGAAGAAACCACCGTCAGGCTTCGTGTGCGAGTTTCCGGGCCCTTTCCCCACGCATCCGTGTGCGCGTCCACATGGGCACGCGGCACAGGAGGGGTCTCTGAGCACCGCCGGGCCCACGTCACGTGACACACACAGCGTGTGCTGCCTGTTTCCCACTGACGCCGTCCCTCCCCCGAAACGGCCCAGCGGAGGCACAAAACGTCTCCCGTGTCCCCAGAGAGAGGCCCAGCCCCTGCGCCTGCTAGAGACCCCGGCAGCTCACCGCAGGGGCGGGGAGGATGATGAGCTTGAGCTCGGGGCACATTCCCAGTTGCGGTGGGGGGAGGGGAGGGGCTGAAAGTGGCCGCGAGGGGCCCTTATCGGGGGCCGCGCAGCCTCCTGAGGCTGGATGTCATGAAATGTCCACGTCAGGCCTCAGCTGCACGTCTCATGGTGAGCAAGGAACGCGGCCAGTGAGCACAGCCCTGTGGAGAATGCGCCTGCCCCAAGGCGCCCGAGCGAGGAGCGCCTCCCTCTGGGTCACGCGGGGCCGAGGCAGCCGCAGCATCAGCCTGCCGTGGTTGCAGGCACGCCCAGCCCTTACAGCCTCACACACACCTCTTGTATTTCCTGAGGCCATCAGAGGCAGGACTGGAACTTTTAACAGGCAAGTGCCAGGAAAGGCAATAATAGGACATATGTGGAAATAACATTTCCCGATTCCCATCTGGGTAAAAAGGGCGGGCGGGGCCTTCCGCGGTGAGGGTGCCACGGACCGTGCGCTATGGCGGTCAGTGTGGCTTTGCGGTTGGGAGAGGCCGGGAGCCAGCCGGGTGTGCAGAAAAGATGAGACAAGCAGAGAGCTGTGAGCCCGCGCACAGAGGGTCGTGAGCCCGCACAGAGAGGCCCCCCGGCCGCGAGGCAGGTGGCGCGAGCGCTCGGGCCCACCTTGATGGAGGTCGCGGCGTAGAGCATGTCCTCCAGGGCGAAGTGGCAGCACCGCGCCAGGTGCTCGCGGCAGAACTGCTGCACCAGCTGCAGGTTGTACAGGCTGTCGGCCAAGGACATGGTCTCCTTCAGACAGACGTCTTCAAACGGAAGAGAGTGGGCGGTGACTGGGGTGGCCCTCACCCCCGTGCCAGGCCCCGCGCAGCGACCTGGCACCGAGCACCCTGCGGGCTGTTCCGCGAACCGAGGGACGGGGGAACGAGAGCCGCCTCGCGGTCCCCACCCCCGGCTCGCACACCCACGTGCACTCACCCTCCAGCCTGACGACCCCAGGGCAGTAGAAGTGGATGAGGGCGGCCAGCGCGCAGCCGTCCGCGCCATCCTTCAGCAGGTTCTCCACCAGCGGGATGCAGGGCAGCTGCTTCAGCAGCGCTTGCTCTTTCCTGTAACGAGCCTGGGACGTCGGAGGGGAAAGAACGTGAGGAGGTGCCAAGGACACCCGGGGAAGAGCCGGCACTGTCGGGTGTCCCCCCAGGGCGGCACCACACCCCGCACGAGAAGCTAGGGCTGCCCACACTGTCTCTCTCCCACGTCACACACACCGCAGCACCGGGGCCCGCGCTCACCGCCACTGCTCCTGTACAAAGCAGCAGCGGACAGATTCTGAGGGCTCTGCACCCCACCATCAGTCCGCTCCCCTGCAGGGCATGCGACCCCAGACTTCAATGGGGGCTCCCCCTCCGTGGGCGGTCCTTCCCTGGCAAGGCCCAAGCACCCCTGGGGCAGAAAGGCCTGCCAGCGCGGTCTACACTGGGGCAGGGAGGGACACACGGCCCTCGGGGAGGCCTGTGGGCAGGAGCAGCTCCCCGAGGGCCTTCGGTAGCATCACGAGAGACGCTGGCTTGTCGTCTGAATGGTGAGGGGGCAAGAATAAAGCATGACAACTCCAACATGGGAAAAGCCGCCCCCGCTGGGGCCACATTGGCCAGGCAGAGAGCAAGCCCGAGGGCTTCTGCATCCCCTGAAAAACGGAGAAGCCCTGGTCAGGGGAAGACTGGGTATGGGTTTGTAGGGCAGTTCTTTGAACACGAGGCCTGCCTTGAAGCGTGGGGGTTAAGGACAAGCTCTTGAATCAGATGAGCCAGGTTCAAGTCCTGGTCTGGCCACTCACTGGCCTTATATCTCTGCTGCCCAGAAATAAAGGCACCCAGCTTCCCAAGGCCACACATACTGATCCTGGAGGATCGAACAAGACGCCACAAAGTGCTACACAGGCTGCTGGGCATGTGGCAGGCGCCGACTCCAGCCACAGCCCCCTGAAGCCAGGAAACCTGACATGGGGGGGGGGCGGGGGGGCGGCGTCAGAAAAATGTGAGCGCAGGTACTTCATCAGCAAAACCCATGGTTATACTGGTTATTGCTACTCAGAGAGTTTTTAAAAATAAAACTTTTTTCTTCCAATTCATCTAATCTCTTGTCTGTATATTTGATAGTTAAAGTATGGTTATGAGATAAAATACCTTTGTCAGAATAAAACGGACACGTAACGTCCTGAAAGAGCACAGTGTGGCCGCACGCCCTTCGGAGGGCGTGGCCCCAGCAGAGCAAGCGCGTCCTCGCGGGAGGCGCTGTCCCCTCCCCCTCCCGCTGGTACCCAGTGCCTGTCCTCGCCACCCAGAGCTGGCAGGCCCGAGCTCACAGAGGACGACACCCAGAAAGACACCCCGTGCGTGCACCGCACACGGCCTCCGTGGATCGCTGACTTCACAGCCCTCAGAAAACTGCCTCCACCGACAGTTCGTGAACCGACCCTGAAAAGGGGCGAGTGGGTGGGTGGGGGGGTGGGAGGAGGAGACCCACCCGGAGCCTCGGCCTCGGGCCCGCTCGGCACGGGCCAGGGCCTCCCCCTCCCAGGGAGAGACAGAGCAGCCTCCTCTGGGAAGGCCTCCCAACTGCCCACTCGCCCCACTTCCCAGGCCAGCTGACCGCCCAGGGTCAAGGACAAAGAACCGGCGTGTGCGCCTGGTCCTCCTGTGCTCTGCCGGGCAGCACCTCTGCACCAGGGACACACGTGCATGGACTCACACGCACACACACAGGGGTGCACGAACAGACGCATGCACGGGCATGCACGCACGCACATGAGCACAATGCACGCAGCCGTCTGCACGGGGGCTGCAACAGCGAGCGCGCCGCTCGGGCTGGACGGGCAGTGGCGTGTGGGCAGCGGCCACGTGCCCGGAATGGCCTGCACCCCCCCCCCCCCCCACGGGGCCGGATGGTCTGCCCTCCGAGCCAGTATCGGTGAGGGTACAGAGGGCGCCACCTGTCTGTCACACAAGGTGACCCCTACGATTCAGGCTGGACCGGAAATGATACTTTCAAAAACATGATTTTGAAATACAAATAATTGCCCTGGCTGGTGTAGCTCAGTGGATTGGGCACGGGCCTGTGAAGCAAAAGGTTGCCGGTTCAATTCCCAGTCAGGGTACATGCTTGGGTTGCAGGCCAGGTCCCCAGTAGGGGACACATGAAAGGCAACCACACATTGATGTTTCTCTCCCACTCCTTTCCTTCCTCTCTCTCTAAAAATAAATAAAATATTTTTAAAAAACACAAAGAGTTTACACATGCAACTCATACTCACTTTTACTAATGCTGTTAAGACTAATCAGTCTATGTTCATGCTTTTTCAACCCCGTTACCGACGGTCTGTGACTGCCAGCAAGAGGCTTCTGTGTCAAATGACTTTTACAGCGTCTGCCCCAGACCTCGCTGGTTTTCTAAACCTTCCGATCTCACATGGGAGCGAACACCTGAGAACCCAACCTAGGCAGGACTGACGGGCCCCCACGGAATGAGGGCAGCAGCCAGACACAAGAGCCATGCCATGGTCGCAGGTCTAGAGGGCAGGCGGGAGTCGCGGGGCACACTTACAGGAACCAGTTTCCAAAACCATTTGGAAGGAGACTTCAGAGGAAGCAGCGGAAACAAAGGGAAAGGGGAAAGTCGTCAGAATTACTTCGGCTAAGTCAGTCAGCTTTCTGAGGGCAGGGCTCCACGTTCGTAGTTCCCGCGGCCTTTGAAATGCCAACCGACGTTAGCTCAAAATACAGGTCTATCGGAAAAATAAAAACACGGGGACAGAAGTAGACTGCGACCCATCGAGTAAGACTTCGCCGGTTCCCAGGAACGACGAAGAGATGACAGGTGGGGGCAGACTGCAGTGAACGCAGAAGCCAGGACGCTGTGAGAAAGCCGCCCCTCGTCGGCGCCACGGTCACGCTGGCTCGGGCAGGCGCCGCCAGCAAGCAGCCCCGGCAGAGGGGCCGCTGCAGCAGGCAGACCTCTGGCAGAGCCAACGCTCGTCTCTTTAGGCCCGACCCTCTGCACAGAATACGGCTTGGAGAAAAAACCATGTAACCACCTCTGAATTTTTAAAGTGCTCAACACCCAGGCTCCTGGCTGAGCTGCACCGAGTTGACCATGAAACAAGGACGCGGCTCAGGCCAGTGCCATGCTACCTGTAAAGGCAACAGTGTCCGGAAAGAAAGTAACGAGCGTTGACCACCAACGCCCACGCTCGATCAACTGCAACTACAGAACCTCAGGGGCAGAACCCCAAACAGAAGCTGCCTATGTCCGGCAGGTCAAGTCCTCACAACCGCTTCACTGAAATAACGGTGAGAAAAAGGAACCCGAGGTCAACCTAGGGGTCACACCAAGCGATGCATCTGAGAAGGAGTCACCGTACCAGACCTCCAGTGTTCGCGCTCTGCTCTATAAACGTGTGACACAGACGACCGAATCAGTTACGGCGTTGCAGGTTAGAAGTCAGAGTTTCCCAAAGACAGTCTGAAGGGCGCTAAGTCCTTGGGATGTCAGCCCATGCCCTTCATAAGAGGTCAAAGGTCCAATGCATTCGGGGAAGAGATGGACAGGCGTCCCAGCTGGGCCCCGTCTTCCCTGAGAGGGGCTGGGACAATTCGAAAGGGGCCCAGGCAGGGCGGCCTGTCCCCAGCAGGGTGGACGCCAGAGCCCTGACTGGAAGGTGTCTCGGGTACCGTCTGAAGAAGCAGAGTTGCACGAGAGGGCGGGTGCGGGGCCCAGCCGCTGGGGCGCTCTGGTCCGAGCGGAAACCCGCCTGGGCTGTGCGGGCTCTGCACAGCATTCGCCGCCCTCGTGCCGGGGACAGCGTGCGCGACTTTGAGGCGGACCCTTCAAAGGAAAAGCAGTTGCAGCTGGGAAATGCGCTTCCCCACGCGGAGCTCGCCCGTCCAGCACCCAGCCCCACAGAACCCCCCCCCCACTCTGTGAAGAGGGCAGGGCGCCGTGGCACACGCACACGCATCTCTGCGGCTCCGAGAGCGCGCACCGTGCACTGAAGAACACACACCCGCATGTGTAGCTCCCTCAGAAGTGTCCGAAGGGCCTGCTGGCCAGCCCCCACTGGACACCCACACTCCTGTGTCCCCGTGACCTAGTGCCCTACTTTGCCACCAGCACCGGGAGCCCTGCCGGGGGTCTGCATGTGGGCGTCCACAGAGCCAGCCTACAGCGTCCACGAGCCTTGCCTCAGGGTGCCGAACGCTCACGAACACAGTGTGGGGAACTTGGAGAATCGCTCTAGTCACAGAGTTTAGGGGCCATCTGATCCAACCTGCAAATTTTCCCAGATAAAGGAAACCGGGCCCAGAGGGTTCCAGTGCCTCCCGTGGGTCGGGACGCTCAGCAGCGGGGAACCGCTCTCTTTGTCAGCCTAGCCCTCTCTGCTCGGCCACCTTTGGGGACTGAACGGTGGGCCTCGCGTCGCTGGTGCAACCTTGAGACATCTTTAAAGCAGGGTTGCCAGGTTCAGCAAACAGGAAATACAAGGTACTCAAAAAACTCATACCAAAAATTACTTGTTGTTGATCTGAAATTCAAATTGAACTAGGTCTCCTACTTCAGAATCAAAAGGAGTACCAGAAGCAAAAGGAGCAATTTGAAAAAAAAACAGAGAAAACCACATTAGTAAACTGGATTTTCCTCAACGTGACGCTTCTCACCACCCCACCTCTGAGGATGCGGCCTGAGCCACCCTCGGAAACACGCTGCCCAGGGGTCTCGCCGGTTTGGGACACAGACAACACTCCATCCCCGCGGAGCAATGCTCATCGGGCCCTTGGCTCACAACCCATGGGCCACACTGTGGAGTCTGACCCTTCTGCAGTGTGTGTGACAGCGTCCTGGGAGAAGGCCACTAGTGACAACTCGGGGACACCTTCTTCTCCTCATTCCTGATCAGAGCCAGGAGAAAACTGGGGGGCAGGGCTACACCCATCTCTAAGGCACAGGTCCACCTGCCCCAGATGGGAGGGAGGGACTCATGAGGAAGGCCTGGGGAAGGGGGGGAGGGGGCGGGACCACGCTGAAGGCGGAGACAGGGGGAGCGGTGAGGTCTGGGTGGTGGGAGGGGCCATGTCCACTCTGATTTAACTTCCGGGGAAAGGACCTGGAGCCCACCCAGGACTCGTGGAGTTGAGTCCGCAAGCTAAGCCAGGACCATCGCTGCGACGCCCAAACATCCAGCTCAGACCGGTCCGGGGGCCTTGCGCACGGCGCTCTCGCCGAGGCTGGCCGAGCCGGCAGCTTTGCCTCCCCTCCTGCCCACCCCTCCCCTCAGCAGCAGCACCCCCGACTGTGGCCCAGAGGAGCACAAGGACCGGGTGATGGTGCAGAGGCTAAAGTCGTTCCGACCTGAGGCGAAGTCTGAACACTTGGTTCCTTACGCCTCAGGTCCAACACTCCGGCACATGTTTAAAGGGCACCCGTCACACGCATGTTGGCGGGTGGAAAGGTGCGCTGTGCCACAGAAAACGCCTCTGGTCTCAGGACAAACACAGACTTGCGTGCAGAGCTCTAAACGCCGTGCACCCCTTTGACAGACTGTGCGTCAGCCTCCCTTCTCTCCCTACAGAACAGTCACGTGGACGGCGGCCACCCTGGACTGCAGCTGTAACATCTGGTCTGACCACACGGCGGGGCACAGCTGTTTTCTCGGTTCATAGGTTTTACCGAGAGAACCTCAGAAAACAGCTCCAGCCATCAACAGCTTTTCCTGACGCCACCGTCCAGTCCGCCTTCCCGCTGTACTTCTCGCCTGGTCTTCACTGCCGGGCCGTCTGCCCTGGGCAAAGGCACCGCCACCGAGAGCGGCCAAGGGAGGGCGGCACGGACCCGTCCTGAAACACTGCCCCGAAACACTGGTGCCCGGGCCGCAGGACGGGCGGCCCTGCCTCCCCTCTGAGACACATACCTTCTGCCCTCCCGGTGCCTCCGCAGGGTGGGGCTCTTTCAGTTTCTGTTCCTGTTCGATGATGTCTTTCAAGTGTTCGTTCACCTTAAAACACAAAAACATTCCCTTGAGTTCATGTTCAAATACACGACTAAAATAACGTGCAACTCAAAAGGCTGTGGTCAGGTCTCTGCTGCCAGATATCGACGGCACTTACATGAAGAGCATGTCGTTGCCCCAGCCAGAGACACAGCGTTTCCCGGGGGCTACATTTGAAACCTGCAATCGGCTCTTTAACTTAGTGACTGCTACTGGACGCCCCTGTATGTCAGGAAGGGGCCGGAGTGGGGAGGAAGCACAGGTGCTCGGGGTCCCGTTCTGATGCTCAGGAAGCCGCAGGACGTCTGTTCAGTGAAAACTGCACAGCCTCTTTCAGGACTGGGAGTGAAAATCCACGTGGTCAGTCCTTTAGCTGCGAGGCAGATGCGCCCCGACCGCAGCGGGTTTGGCGTGTGGGCGGGAGGGAAAGCCACGCTGAAGTGTGTGCAGCACACACACAGGACTCTTCCAGGTCAACTTATTTTCTAGCAGATTTTTCAAATGGCCCCAAACCCAATGCAGGTGACAGACAGTCTAGCTAGTACATAAAGTGCTTATTGAGAATATTTAGACAGTTTTGGGTTTTGAGCTAATGACTTTAAGGTCATTCTAGTAATAACAAAAGTTAAAGTTAGTTAATAATGGCACTCTAGAAAATACTAGTGTGGCTATCATCCACTTAACTTAAATCAATAATTTTCAGAATTGTCCAATTACCTAAAATTCAGTTCAGTGGCTAAAAACATGGGGAATTTTAATTGATGGTCAATTGAATTAATGATAGACTTCACACCTCCACTCACAAGCCGTGACCTCTGTAATTCCTTGACACCTGTGAGCCTCAGCTGCTAGTGTGAACAGAACCTACTTTGTAAAGTGGCTGGTTTGGATAATGTGGTCCCCATGGGTCCCGGGAGTGTGAACGGGACTAAGGGGCCGCCGGGCTGCGTCTGTGCCCTCTGTGAGTTCACATGTGTGAGTTCACGTGCGATCTCCCTCCTGCCCGCAGATGCTCCCACTGGTGTCAATGGATCAGCCGCCCCACAGGGCGCTGAGGGCGGCCTCTGGCCCACGGCCAGCCCTGCTGAGCTAACACCAACACCATGTGAGCTGGCCGGCAGGTCCCCCCACAGTCAGACTGCCGGTGAACTGGCAGCACTGAGACGGTGAGAGTGACAGAGGCAATGAAGGTGTGCCGTCCTGGGCGGCTGAGCTTGGGCTCGTCACTACACCGCCAGAACCAGGAGTGAGAGACACACAAGAAGTATTCGACCCTCCTCGAAACCTGTCCAGCTGATGTGCTGGCAAAAGTTGCCCCAAACCCAGCATCACAGTTGTAGGAGACTCACACGGCGATTGCCCCCCGTGTGAGCAACCTCACGACGAGGCCAGGAGGCCCCCAAAGAGGTCAGTGAAGTGACTGTGACCTTCCACCCAGTGCCCAGGCGCCGGCTGGGAGCTCTGCCCACCACTGAACCAGGACGCCCCTGCGCAGGCAGCTCGGGGCACAGGGCTGGCCTCCCTTGCGCCTGCGAGACCAGGCGACCGCGGACGGCAGTGCGGCAGACAGCTCCAGCCTGGCCACAGGGACGCTCATTTTTAAACAGCCATTAACTCTAAATCAGATGCTCGCTTTCATTTCATTTGTCCTCATTTTGACGCACAACAGTAACGTGTCCCCCTGGCCTAGTGGACGTCTGAGGCCAGTCAGTGTTTCCCTTTTTCCTGAGCAGCACCAGACCCCGGCCAGGCTTTGCTCCGACGCCCCTGCCCTGCCCCGCCCCGGGGGCTTTACCCAGAGCTGCAGCCCCTCCCCCAGGGCCTCAGAGGTGGACGCACTCGCAGCCCCGCGCCCCGCTCTCTTCCCCATCCCGCCCCACGTCCCATGCGACCCGGGCGCCCCAGGCCCCAGGGTCTTCCCGCTGCAGCACAGGCGCCTCCCCACCTTGTTCATCCAGTACGTGACGGCGTCCTCGATGTCATAGGGCAGGTCGGTGGCCTGGAAGAAGGCCGAGTACCGCTGGGCGCACGCCACCACCTTCTCCACGCTGACCATCTCCACGGTGTAGGCCATCATCAGAGTGTCCACCATCGCCAAGTGGGCGCTCTGGAACGAGGGGGGCGAGGGCAGGGCGTCACCCTCGGGCTCTGGCGAGTCTGCACGTGTGTGCAGAACGCCAGCCACGGCCCCTGGCGGCCGCAGCGGGACACGCAGGCCTCGGAGCCGAGGCTGCATGGGCGGTACAAAGGGCACGTGCTCAGGACGAGAGCCGCACCCGCGTCGCCGGTCCCTCAGAACGTCCCTCCTGGGACGTGCTCGGGACGCTCATCTGCTCCTTGAGGGATGTTCCTGTCCCGCTTTTTCCTACCTGGGGCAATGCCATGGCCACGACCACGACCAGGTGACATGATTCACACCCCACCAGTCATCTTGCTCTGCCCTCAGCCCACGCGTCCCAGTCACGCAGACCTATGTGGCGTCTTCCTCCACACCGTCACCGCCACGGCCCCGCCCGCGACCGCCACACTCCCCACGCCTGGAGGCAATAGTCCTCCCATGGCCCTCCTGCCTGCAGCCCCCGGCCGCTCACGCACGCAGGACATCCGGCCTTTCCTGGTGGGTTTACGGTTTTCAGTGCGTGAGCGGCAGGCGCACAGCGGCTCCCCACTGGGCCAGCGCCACGGAGCCTGTGAGGAGGGAAGGGCTCCTGGGTTTTCATGCAAGCTCAGTGCACACCAGGCACAGGCACGTGGGGTGCTTCTGCCTCCCTGGCACCACTAATGACGCCCAAGCTGAGGGACACCTGCTCAAGTGCCAATCAATAGCAGGGGAACTTGACCTCAGGGGTCGCTCGGCCGCCCCAGCTCCATCTCCCCGGCTTGTTGTGTGTGGGCACCGCTCACCCCGGGCCTCGCACAGACCAGCCGAGCCCTGTGTCGGAGCCCTGTGTCGGAGCCGTGTGTCTAGGAGCTCTCTGTGACACGGATGGCCGGTGTTTCACGGCTTCAGGCTCTCTGCAGTCAGTGTGTGACCACGGGCTAGCCTACAGGGCAGTGAGCCATCTGAAGGTCCCCTCTTCACTGTCACGGGGACCACCACGCTGCATCAGTGATGACTGAGGGGACCGAACCGCACGGTGCCCCAGGCACGGCCTCTGCGGGCCGGCCGCTGACAGCGGAGCTGCCCCAGAGGCGTCAGGGACTTGAACACAGGAGCAGCGCCGCCGAGGAGATGACACTCGACTGTGAGGACATGGCACGTGTTCTCTGGTGCACCAGCCGCGGTGGCCTGAGCAAGCCTGACCGTGGTGGCCTTCCCCGTGGCGCTGAGGCCTGCCCGCCCCCTCGCCGTGGCTGCTGTGCCCCCGTGCCAACGGGGCAGAAAACGGCCATGCCTGTCACCCGCTGGCGGCGGAGACCTTCCTGGGTGGCCTTGCCCGAAAAAGATCTGATTAAATCATAAACATCAGCTCGTAGTCACATACGAAAGTCTCCATCTCATTTCATATCACACACACTATATACCCACACACTTGCTTAAATCACTGAGTTTTATAAATGTCCACTCTCATTTCCTATGCTGGCAAAAGTTGTTTGCGGTTTTTACTTCATGAAACACAGTTTTCACTCGTACTCCAGGAAATTTTTTCACACAGGCCTTAGAAAAACAGTAATTCTACCAATCAATATCCCAGCAGTTGGAAGCTTTAAGTCGAATTATGAAGAAAACCAAGAGCATGCAACTGAAAGGAGCTCAGCAACTGAGAGGCTGCAGCGGGCAAGACGCCGTGGCCGCCACGCTGGAGCCCGAGCCGGGGGAGCCGGCTCCATGCCCCCGGAAGGGTGCTGCCAGCACAGGCTGAGACGTGCCCCGGCCATCGGCGGCTCAGTGGTGTGGGAGACACTGGAGCGGTGCCGCGAGCATCTGCAGCGCCACACGCACGGGTCGGTGTCCCGGGTGAGCTGCTCCCGTTAGACGGTCAGCAGGTTATCTGACGCACGTCTCCCGGCACACGAACACGCAGGTGCTGGGCCGCCTGTGAGCGGCGCCTAGTGCAGGGTTCCCGGGAGGGGCTGGGACCGAGAGCCGCTGTTGTCCCTGGAGCCGGCCAGCTGTCCGCACGTGGGATGGCCCGGGAAGCACGTCCCCAACAATCAGAGGGAGAGCGTGGGCGAAGCCGGAGCCGTTGCTGCAAGCTACCTGCTCACAGACACTTAGTTACCCTTAATAACTCCGTTATAAATCTGTAACCAAGTCACCACCTAAATTCTTCTCAAGACATTAGTCTCTATTTTTTGCAAGTAATAAATCGGGTTGTTCAAAAGAAAAATAGGCCCTGGTGGTGTGGCTCAGTGGACTGAGTGTGTCAGCCTGCGAACCAAAGGGTCGCCAGTTCAATTCCCAGTCAGGGCACATGCCTGGGTTGTGGGCCAGGTCCCCAGTAGGGGGCATGCGAGAGGCAACCACACACTGATGTTTCTCTCTCTCTTTCTCCCTCCCTTCTCCTTTCTGAAAATAAATGGATGAAATCTTTTTTTTTTTTTTTAAAGAAGAAAAATAGGCAGCAAAGTAGGTCATCGCCTCATCAAGGGCCAGGCTGCGGGACCGACGCTGTCCGCCCTTCTGTGGGCTCCTAGTCTCACGCGTCTCCTGGCGTGTTCTCCTACACACACCTGCTCCTACGTAGGGCGGTCTCGCAGGGGAGTGGGGCTTCACCAAACTCGCAGACCCTTGTCCTTCCTAACACCGCTCCAAGGATGCCCAGCCCTCGGAAAACCGAAGCTGCAGTGGGACAGGAGCCTGGAGCGGCCAGCGGCTGACCTACACACGGCTCTGTCCACAGAGATGGTCCTGCGAGGCCCCCGCCAGCCATCCTCTGGCCGCTCCAAGTCCGTCACTGGGAGTGCCCTGCAGGGGGAGCTCCGCTCATTAAAGGCACTGATACACCGGCTACGCAGAAACTCACCAGCATAGTTGGTGCAACCCTAACCCTCAAGCTCGTGACACAGTGCCGCCCATGCCCAAGGGCACGCCCTGCTGACCCAGTGACCCCGAGACAGGACTCACCATCTGAATGGGCTTCTTCTGGAGGTCTCGTTCGGTCACCAACCGCTCCTGGTCGGTGACGTAAAGGCCCTTCTGGGCCAGCGCCTGGATCACCGCATCGTGGCCCAGGAGTGGTTTGGCAGCATCGCTCTTGAGAATGAGGCTCCCCGCCCGGCAGTACAGCTCGGCCGACAGAAGCAGATGCACCACAGGAGGCTTCACGTGCTCCTGGTCGTACTGGTCCGTGTAGAAGGGCTCACGCAGGTCCTCCGGCACATTCTCTGCAGAGAGCGAGAGGGAGAAGCTCTTACGGGCTCTTCACAGAAGAGACAGTGTATTCAGTGGTTACCACACATGCCGCAGGAGTTACGGCTCTTTCTCGAAGCAACCGTAGTCCTTTAACGAGAAGGTGGCTCACGAGAACGTGACAGCTAATCTGAAATGAGGGCGAAGCTCCTGGACAGAAGACCCCGCGCTGAGCGTGACCTAAGAGGGACCACGGGGCAGGCGCGGAGACGGGCTCCAGCCCCCGGCTCGGGGCAGTTACCCACATGCACACTGAGTGCTCAGAGTGGGTGAGAGACTCTGACAGCGAACGTCAGTGACGTCCCTCGCATCCAGGCGGTCAACCGGGAGATGCAGTGTGACAGGTATTTCAGGAGACAGCTGGCCTGGCCACCTCTGAATGCAAAGTCCCTTGAACTCCCAAGAACTCCTCCTGAATCCCCTTGCCCTGCACCCCTCGGCATCTGCACCTTCCAGGAGCCACACGCCACCCAACGGAGACCCAGAAATCACACCTGGGACCTGACAGAGAGACCAGATGCCCCTCCCCTTCCCAGAGCCCCCTTTCCACTGGCACTTGAAGAAGAACACCGCCCCACACTCCCAAGGCCACTTCCAAATCTGCCTCAGGGGCTACCTTTTCACCTGCCGCAGCAAGACCACCACACAAGCAAGACATGGCCGGCATGGACCACCGTTTTCTCAGTGTTCTTACCCTTCCCCCCATCCCTAACTGGGGCACCGTGCTTTCAATCAAAGCTTGGACGAGACTCAGGTCTGTCCCCACAAGCAAGGGTGGGCCTGGGTCCGAGGGAACAGGGGGCCGCACTCAGCCTGCCCCCCCTGGAGTGCGAGGCCCAGCGGCCACCGCGTGTCACTGGCAGCGGGCTCTCCTGAACAGGCAGCTCTGATGTGAGATTGGTGATGCGCAGGGCTGATCAAGGCCGGCATTTCCAAACAGACACACGCAAAGAATCAGTGAAGTCTTTAGCGACGTTCATCTTACAGTTCTGTGAGATCTCTCTCTCAGAACAACTCGTCATCGAACAGTATAAGAGTACGCGTTGCACGGTCCCTCCCTGTATCACTGGCGTGGCTCTGGGGACCCACAGACTAGAAATGACCCCTGGCCCCGAGGAGTTGACGGTGTAGGGATGTCCAGAACGATGGGTCAAGTCCAGCCACTCAGAAACTGGAGACGACATGAAGCAATACGTGATTAAGCAGCCAACGAAGAAAATGAACAATTAAGTCCTTGGTTCCCAGAAAGAAGCCTCAGCGGCAGGCTGGCGTGACTCATCTCGAGGCAGCAGAATAGGGGGAACAGGCAGAATTTGATTCATCAGGAGGAAGAGGCGTCTCAGCAGCAGGGGGAGGGGAGGGAGACACCCAACTGCAGGCGTGGGTGGGAAAGTGGGGGGCCTTCGGTCGGAAAGTGGGGGCCGTGAGAGGCGGAGCTGGGAGGGGAGGCAGGGGCTCTGCCGTACATGGGAGGCCTTCACACAGCAGCCGAAGGGAAACCGCTGACTGTTCCAAAGGACAGAGTGACTCAGGAAGAGTGATGTCCGGGGACATCAGTCCGGCACACAGTAGTGGCAGTGGTGACAATCAGAGCAGGAGGAGGGGACGCAGGCAGAAGGCACAGAGGAGTGAAGTGACAGCAGAAGAATCCACGTGGAAACAGCCACGCGGCAGTGTGGGGCAGGGGGCGCACAGGACTCTGGACAGGGGTCGAGGGGAGACGCGGGGACCTGGGGGCTGGGTGACGTCTACAAACACCACCCTTGTCTAAGAACCAAGAACGCTCCCCTTCCAGCCAGGCCCCATGGACCGGCGGAGAGCTGCCTCAGCCTCACGGCCGCCACCGGGAGACACGCAGGCTGGGCCGTGCACCGCGCTGTGGAGCCCGGCGCAGGGCTCGCCTCGACGCCGGTCAGTTTCCCAGGGACCACACTAAAAGGGAACTTGTTTGCTGTCAAGATGGTCATTATAAAACACCTGCTGATGGGTCATTTCCTGGTATCCGGCATGAGCCGAGCCCAGAGAGGCCGGCCCACTGGCAGGATCGGGCCCCTCCGTCCTGCCCGCACACCCACCAAGGATTGAGTCACTGCCTCCGCACCACCCCCGGCGGGTCGGATCTCGTGCAGACAGCCCGGAGGAAGGCTCCAGCTCTCACCGAGGCTCCTCTCTGCGCCAGACACTTCCCCAAACTGGCACCCAGTCTTCCCGTTCTGTTCCACGGAGGAGGAACCCGAGAAAGGCCACTGCCCAAGGGCACACAGCTGACAAATGCAGAACCCCAGCTCTAAACCTCCCCGCCAAACGCGTCCAAAAATGACAATGGCTTAGCAAGGTCGCGAGGCTGGAAGGTGGGGGGCGGACGCTCCGCACGCCCTCCCCCTTCATTGCGAAGACTCACAGACCCAGGTTATGAGAGCAGAGCTTCGGAGAGACCCCAGCACAAGGAGGGGAGAGGCTCCCCAGCAGGTCAGGGAAGGTGTCAGGGACACGGCAGATTTTCCACCCCCCCAAGAATGCAAAACTGCCTGGGGAATATTACAAAGTAGGTCACTTCTGAAGACGAGTCTTTGCTTAAGGGAAGACTTTGAAGATGCCCACCGTGTCCACCAGCAGCGCAAGGCGGTCACTTGGTCAGCAGCAGCGTGGACTTGCATCACACTTGGAAACAAATGAGCCGAAACGGCGCATCAGAAGATAAACAGGCAAAATCAAAGATAAGAGGTTTCGCCCTCCCCCTAATCTCGGGCGCCCGAGATAAGAAATCAGCACTCGGGGAGCAGGGTGTGGACACCGCTGGCAGGGGTTCTGGGGCACCTGGCCTTCCCCAGGAGCCGCCCCGACTGTGTCACTGCGAACCCCGACTAGGTGGCAGGCCTGACGCCTGGACTGCCGGTGGAGGGTCGCGCCCGCCTGGGGGACGCTGCTGGTGCCGCCACTGTTCCCCTCAAGGCCGAGCCTTTGGTCCATTAACTCACGTTCGCTCCAGAGAAGGAAGCATGACACCGTGGAACAACCGGGGCCCTGGATTTAAAAGAGGGTCTGTACTCGCCCCGTACTTGATGTGGGGCCGTGAGGGCAATGATTAACTTCTCTGGGTTCCCGTTTTCCTGATTCCAAGAGGGGCCTACGCGCCGCCGTCCGCGCCTTCCCCGCCCACCACCATCCCCTGCCCCTGTTGTGGTCCAGATGCCGGCCTCCTTCTGGGGCCACAACATGCTGCGTTGGCGCCATGTGCTCTGCACACACTGGCTGTTCCCTCTGCCTGTCACGCCCCCCAACCCTCACAAGGCTGCCTCCCCAGTTGGACCTCGGTTACTGGTCACCTCCTCAGATACACCCCCCCGACCACCCAGTCCACTGCCCGGCCCTAGTTCTCCGTGATGTGTGGGCGTGTGCACTCCTGCCTCCTCCTGCTGGAATGGAACCTCGAGGACAGCAGGACGCTTCTCTGTCCGGTGCCACCACACCCAGAACAGTGCCCACGCCCCAGCAGGTACTCAACACCCACCCTGGGAAGGTGACGCTCTGAGACACACAGCTTGGCCTTCCTCCCCGCACTTGTCAGAGGCCCAGCATTGCTGAGCTTAAACCCCCGCCACCCTCGCGCTGCCCCATGACCCCCGGGGCCTCTCAGGAGCCCGGGTCCCTGGGAGCTGCCAGCTCGTCACTTCACCCGGAGGGTCTCAATCTCAGTGACAGAGGGAGACAAACAAGGGAGGGGCACAGACCTGGACGGCCCCTGTGGGGGACAGGAATGGGGAGTGTCTGCAGGGCCACCTGGCATGTCACGGCCAGAGGGGGAGAGAGACGCAGCTGTGCGTCGTCAGCTGCGGAGAGACCTGGTCCCCCAGCCCCAGCCCCGTGAGCACGGCACCCCCACTGGGTCTCCGGTGCCCTTCCCACAAACAGGGACCAAGGGTCCTCACGAAATGGCTGTTGCCAGGCCTGGCCCAGGAGAAGCTCAAGATGAGCTACGAATATGCGTGTAGCTCCCTTCCCAACTCTGCCCCCTTTCCCTCGGGGTCCCCCCAAAAGTGTTCTAAGTGTTCACCCCCCTAGATTCTGCCTACACTGCCTTGTCTCCTTCTCTGGTCTCATCTATGTCCAATGTCAATGACACTGCACACAGAAGACTCCAAACTGCTGTTTCTGGCCTCCGCTTCTCTATCATAACGCACACCTGCATTTATAGCCGACGACTTGGTTGCATTTCTCAGATGTCTGGCCAACACGTCATGTTCCAGGTTCCCAAACACAAAGGCGACCTGCCGTTCCAACTCGCCACGCTTTCCCTCCGCCCATGGCGTCACTTGTTCTCCAGGTCACTGTGTCTCAAGAGCTCAGGTGACCTCACCCTGCACACAGCCTGCAACTCAAATCACCCCCATGTGCCCCAGTGCGGCCATTTAAAAATACCAGGGTCACCTCCAGTACCTGATGCCTCTTTCCCATGAACTTGACTTCTGCCCACACAGGGTGCGCTCAGGAACCCAGAGCGAAGGCAGTTTAGTGGCTTTGGATGAGTCCCCAGCGCTCTGGGCTGCAGGCCCCTGGTTGGTACAGCAGAGCGGTGAACAGCTTCCAGCGTCTGAGCTGCCACGAGGATCCATGAGAGGAGCCAAGGAACAGCCTGACCCCGGAGGGTCAGCGCTCCCTCCTCCCCGACCCCCCTCCAGCCCTCAGGGAGGCTCGCTGACCCCTGGGGCGCCTTCCCCGCCTGCCCCGGCTGTGCGGCCCTCCCAGTGGCAGTGTCCCCAGCACCGAGGTCGCAGCCACCACCTGTGCATGCGACTCAGCTCTCAGGAGGGTTGGGGCTACAGCTCGTGCTGGGACATACGCAGAGATGTACCGAGGTGTGTTTGTAAGAGCAAATTCTTTCACGCAATGTTAAACCAAAGGGTATGAAAGGGAGAACACTTCTGGACAGAGCTAAAGTGACAAGCTAAAGTGACAAACTGACAAGAGGAAGTGCGCTGTAGAGCCCATGCCAAGACCTCTGTGTTCAAGAACTAGCAATCCCTGACTGGTGTGGCTCAGTGGGCTGGGCATCGTCTTGCAAAGCAAAAGGTCGCCGGTTCAATTCCCAGTCAGGGCACATGACTGGGTTGCAGGTTCGGTCCCTGGTTGGGGTGCAGCCTGTGCGAGAAGCCAACAATTGATGTTTCTTTCCCACATCAATGTTTCCCCTCTTTCTCCCCCTCTTCCCCTCTTTCTAATAAATAAATAAATAAATAAATAGATTTTTAAAAAAACCACTTGGGAAGGAACAGTGTCCTTAGAGGCTCTATGTCCACCATTTTCTCCCAAAAATTTAAGGGGCAGAACACTAGAAGCTGGGGGACATCACCGCTTGAGTGGCTAAGCTGGTCAGTAGAGAAAGCAGTTAACCTTCTTCCTCTCCGGCACTTTCCTTACGTCAGAGTCTTTCTTTACTAGTTACATGCATCTAAACAAACTATTCTCGATTTGGTCAAAACCGAATCTGCATTCTTCCAAAGATAAACTATTAAGATCTGGGCTATTTGGAGTGTCTTTACTGTAAAGACAAGAGTATGATTCAAAGCTTCTGACATCAAGACTTCAAATTAAGTGCACGCCCCATCTGCTTTCTAGGTACTACAAACTTACGCTTTATTTATTTTTTATGGCTCAGTAACTTCATTCTGTGTCCACAAAGTATTTCTAGCTATCATTTTAAATGACTTCTTTGTCACATGGTTTTCAAACTGACTACTTTAAAACATCCCAATAGTGAGAAAGTTTATCATGGAAAAGCACGGAATCCATGCCTGAAGACAGTCCCATCCGTTAAAGAAGTGGCTTTGGCAAATCAGAGCAGTGGGGCTAATTTTTGAAGGGTTACCATTACCATTACCATCTACTGTCACTGTCACCGTCACCATCTACTGTTGCCCACGACAGTCCCCACTAGGAAACAGCCTTTGAAACTGGTTCTCCGTTCACATTTGCTGCAGAACAGTATTTCCAGTACATGAAGAATATTGACACCAAAAGAAATAGAATGTTACTTTTTTTACATACACCGTATAAATTTGCACTTTGAAACATTGTTGACTAAAGAAGAAACAAAGTGTATACATAAAATTTTGTTACCGATGTGTCCATTTCTTGCTCCCATGTCACTCTAAGGTCTTTTAAGCTCATTTTTCATGATTTTTTAAATCCATTCTAACTGTCACCAAGGCAAATGTTACTAAGTACCAACAATATCCCCTTAAACCATCTGACAGTTAAGATCAGCCCACTCTTTAAAGGAAAAAAAAGACTCGAACACATACTATGTGCACGATTTTACACTGACAGCTGAAAAGATTACTCTGCAGAGTGAGGTAAAGAGCGAGGCTTTCAGGAGTCAGAAAGACCTGAGCTGGCGCGCAGAACCCACCACTGGCCAGATGTTCCGGCTTGAGCAGAGCCACCTCCCACCTCCGAGCCGCCCCCTCACTGCTAACAGAGGACAGTATGGAGAGGGCGGAAGAAACCAAGCAATTTGCTCAAAGGACTGGGGACCCACAGGCGTGCGCTGCTGGCCGCCACGCCACACTCTGGAGTCCGTCACATCCAAACTCACTGCTGCCCTTACCAAGGGGCAATGGTGGGGGAGGCCGTGGGAGGGGTCTGCACTAGCGCTGCTTTTTTACAACGCGGAGCATAGACCCTACATCTCGGAGCTGCTGGGAGTCCAGAACGGACGACGTGGTCACAGCTTGGAGCACGGACCAGAGATGCCCCTGGCAGGAGACTGCTCTCCCTTCCTAACTCCCTCCCTGCAGTGTCCCTCCTGCAGTGCCCCTCCTGCGTGCGCTCCAGAGCCGGGGGAAGGACCTGAGAGTCGGACAGGAGGCGTTCCCCATCCTGGGCCTTGGTGAGCCCAGGGCCACACGAGAACCTCTTCCCTCTGGGTGCTTTCAGGAGGAGAGAGATGCTGCGGACGGCCCCTCTGCCTCCCACCCTGCACACGCTGCTTTTCCACGCAGGCCACTCTGCACACGGTCCTGCTTCCCCCTTTTCTGAACACTTCAACAGCTTTCATTTCTCCTGCAGAAGGACTTGGGCTCCAGTGTGCTGCTTCAGCTCACACCAAAATACCCCTCTCGCTCTCACCGCTGGCATTAGTGGTGCCAGAAAACACAAACACACTTGTGCCCAGTGCCCCTTCCTGTGTCAGGCTGCCCCTTTAGCTCCAAAGAAATCTTTAAGATGAAAGTTATTTCCGAAGATGTTTTTATTACCTCTACTCCTGGTGCCAGTTTTAAATCACTCAACACCTCTTTCTACTTCAGTATCAAAACATAAGAACTCAAAATGAAAGCCATCCTAAATGTAAAATCAGGCTAATGCGAAGTTTCCCTCCAAACGAGTTCTAATCATTTCCCAAACGCAGCGATTCATTTTGCTAGTTAACTAAGGCCTGCAGTCTGGAAAATGTCCAACTGTGTATATTTAAGCAGTGAGAGCGAATTAAATCTTTACCCACAACCTCCCCCAAACTCTACTTAACATCTGGAGAAAAGTCTGTAAGTGCTAAGAAATTTCTCAACAAACACTTCGCACACCAGTTGATGAACCGGGGCACAGAAATCTAACAGAAAGATGCGAAGTTGTCGGGCGAGATCCCCGGTTCGGTCGGTCGGCGACTGGCGGCGCGGGCTCCCAGAGCGGCGGCTCCCAGAAATGACAGCGGGGCCTTTTCCTGTTGTTTCGCGAGGGCTGGATGCTGCGGGAGGGCCTAGCTGCCCATTTGGGTCAACAGCACAGGCCCTGAAAAAACGCTCTATTTAAAGAAAAAAAAAAAGCAAATCCCACGGTGGGAACTGCGGTTTCCCTCCACCTATAAAGCCATAACCCGTCCGGAGAGGAGTCGGTCTCGCTGGCGACAGAAAACGAAACCCGCAGCGGCTGCCCCGGCCCCCGGAGCGCGAGGGCAGCAGCCACCACTCCGAGCGCCAGCACCCCGGCGGTCCCGCCGGCCACCCGCGTCCCGCACGATGAAGACACCAGCCGGGACCTGCGGGCGCGGCCGGAAGCGGCAGCTCCGCGCAAAGCCACCGGGGTCGGAATGGGACCCCACGGGCCGCTGGAGACCAGCCGCTCCGCGATCCAGCCCGAGGAGCTTGACCAGCCCCCACCTGCGCCCCCCCCCCCGGGCGCGGGGCGCCGCCCAGCCCGGCGCGAGCCGGCGCTTTCCGGCCCTCCCGGTGTCCCGCCAGCTCCCGGGCCCGCGGGCGACCCCGCGGCCGGGCTGGATCGCCGGCTGGGCGCCCCGGCCGCGCGCCCCCCGAGGAGCAGGGCGTGGACGCCCCCGCCTACCTGAGCCGAAGGCCTTGGCCACCAGCCAGGCCAGGTTGCAGGCGACCTTGGCCCGCGCGAAGTCGTAGTGGTCGAAGGGCTTGATGGCGGGGACGATGAACGTCCTCCGCAGCTCCCGCGCGTCCGCGGCGTCCCCCATGGTCCCGGGGGCTCGGCGTCGCGCGCGGGCGCTCACATGGTGCGCGGCCCGGGGCGCGGGCGCGGGCGGCGGGGCGGCTGGGTGTCCGCGCGCGGGGAGCCCCCGCCTCCGGCCGCCGCCCGCGCCGCCCGCGCCGCCCGCGAGCGCGCGTGAGCGAGGCCGGTCCCCTTTGTCTGCGCTCCGCCGCGCGGCGGGGGCGGCGGCCTCAGGCGTCGGGGTACGGGGCTCAGCCCTGGCGTCGGGGCCCCGGGCCGGGCATCGCGAGGCGGCGCTCCCTCCGCGGGCCGCGGGCGCAGGGGCGCGGGCGGGGGCGGCCGCTGGCACGACGCTCAGGAAACGTCAAAATCACTGCGGCCGGCCCTCCCCCCGCGCCCCCCGCCGCCGCGCCCGCGTCCGCCTCCCCGCGGGCCGCCGCGAACTCCGGCTCCCGCCTGCCGCCTTATCAGTGACGCCCGCGGCGCTTTTCCCCTTCACGCCCGAACCCGCCGCTCCCCCTAGACCGCCGCCACCGCCGCCGCTGCGGTTTTCCGGCTGCGGCACTGGACCGAGGGAGCAGCTGCGGGCACTGAGCATGCGCCGTCGCGCGGCCCCGCCCCATACAGGCCCCGCCCCCTGCACCGCCCCAGACCCGCCTCCTCCCGGCTTTCCTCCACCCCCGGGAATCCCTGCCCACCTGTATAGGAGCTCTGAGCATGCCCAGCCTCGATTTCGCCTTGGCCACGCCCTTGGCCACACCCCTTTGTCCGCCCCCGACCGGCTTCCCTCAGTCGCTGGCATCTTGACCCGGGCGCACTGAGCATGCCCAGCCTCACTCCCGCCCAGGCCACGCCTAGACCACGCCCTGTCACGCCCTCAGCCACACCCCTGCTCCGCTATCCGCGTGCCTCAGGCAGCCGGCTCTCGGCCCCGAAGCTCGGCTCACGGAGCATGCGCCGTCCTCCCCAGCCCAGATTCCCGCGATCTGTGCGGCTGCTTCGTAAGCATCCCTTGGATGCCAGCCTGAGTGGACATCTTCCGCGTCCCTGCCGCTTAGCTGCTGCCGCTTGCACGGCTGGGAGAGGAAGGGGAAGGAAGGAAGGAAGGACGGAGGCCTGGTAGTGGCTCTCTTATGTGAGCTACATGCTGGGTAAGCAAAGAGACCTGGTATTATTAAAACGCTGGTTAGACACGCACTTTGCTGCGAACCTGGCGTGCACAATTCTAGTTAGTTCTCCAAGTAACCCAAAGAGGGTGGGTGTCCTCGCTGGCGGAAGTGGAGCGCGTGCATTTACTCACAGGTGCTTTAACCAGGTTTGAGGATCCCTGAAGCTCCAAGCCTGTATTTGTGACGTCAGGATACTCTCCTTACCTCGATGCTCTCCACTTCAACGTCCCCTCTGGGGGAGGGGCTCATCCGCCAGTGCCTCCCCCTTCCCATCACATAAGCATGAATTCTGTCACAGACCACACCGACACCCACCAAGATCTGGCACCTACATTACCTTGACGGCTTCGATTTTTGTCAGAGCCGCTCTCCATCTTCCCAAGGCACGTTGGGGTGCTTTCTCAGAGCTGCGCCCTTGCTGGGTGTGCCCCCTCTGTCCGCCTTGCTTACTCCTTGCTCCAGCAGCAAGCTGCTTCACGGTAATCACCTCCTCCAGGAAGCCTGATAGCTCCTGACACCTAGCCAAGGCTGTTGCATAGGCACCTGCCCCACTGCGTCCAGAGCACCCCGTTCTTATTTCTGTCATAGCACTGGCCGCACCACGTGCAGTCGGCAATTACTCCTCTGTCTTTCCCTCTGATGGGAGGGTCTTTCTCTAACAACACTATACTGTTTAGACCATAGTAGTTGCTCAATTAATGTTTAGGGACTAAGGATGGATATTATTGTAGTTAATGCTACCTCAGTTTCTTTAACTCACTGATTCTTTACAATATCTCATTTTAACACATTATCTAATTTTAATTATTATTAAGTCCTGTGCTATCGTCATTTCACAGATGAGAAAACTAAAGCTCAGAAAGATTCTCAGATCCGCCTGTACCACACAATTAGTAAACCAACCAGCAGACTCGGGATTTGAACGCAGGACTGTAGTGCTCCAAAGCCCATGTTGTCACTACCAGAGCCTCCCTGGAATTAATGCCCTTAAGGTAGAAGCAAGATACAGAAAGCACGAGGGGAGGGGTCTGTCTCCTCAGTGAAGGGCAGGTAGACTCTCCAGAATGCACGTCCCTTTGATCCTGTTTAATCCCCACAGATGCTCCACCCTGAACCTAGGAGACACTACAGGTAAGCCTTGCTAACGATGTGGGCAAGGAAAAGAATGCGAGAAGAATCATACACTGCAGGGCGGCTGTTGTCATTTTTAATAATTTAATGAATGCTATAGAGTATTTCTCATAGGCAAGGCCCTTTGCTAGAGCACATAGGACATGGTAAAGTTAACCGACGGACAGCAGTTCACAAAGTGGATTCATATGATAACCACGTAAATTCTCATATCCATTCAGTGACACCAGCACTATTATTATCTTCCAGTTCTAGACTCAGGACTGAGGGTTGTGGAGATCGAGCCGTGCGGCCAAGATTTCAGGGCTGACTCATCTCAGCGTCTGACTTCAAAAACAAGCCCCGGTCTGCTGGCTTGCCTCCTGGAGGGGACACCAGTCCCCCTGTCCATCCGCTTCCCAGATTATGGAGGCTGATGTGCACATTGGGTAACGCAGTGGAAAAGAGGTAAGCCCTGTGAGAGACAAAGTACAGGCGGAACGTGCGGGTGACGAGATTGGAAGGTTTCTTCGAGACTTCTAATGAACCCAGTTCACCCGCACCTGACTCTTAGAGCAGCAAGCCAAATTCAGGGGAACCTATAGCCTGGAAAAGTTGAAGAGAGATACTGAAACATTTCACCACTTATTATAATAACCTGCAAGCTGATGCAAGATTCTGAGGCCAGCAACCCTGTCCAATCAACTTCGGGTTGTGTGTGACCTGGCACAGTGGTGTACTCACAAAGGGTGCTGGGTAAATACTTGCTGAATTTTATTGAAAACTACTTCAACCTAAATAAACACAATAAGGAAGAGGAGGAAACAAAGGCAGTTGCTGTGACTTGTCCTTTGATTCAGTGGCAATGTGTTTAGTGCTGATGGCATGACTGTGACCCGGACTGGGGAGAAGTGTGTTGAGGGATAAGCAACAAAACGCTTCCACAAAGAGCATCTTTCACTTTCCGGGAGGCTGTGAGGCCTGGGGTCAGAGCAGGAGGCTCTTATTAACAGAGAAACACCCTGGGTACAAAGAAGGATTCATTTCCAGGGAGACAGACACTCTAATAGGGTGTTCTTTGTGACACCTTCAGAATGATCCCTTTCAGAAACTAGAAGTCTCTGCAGAATACCAGTCGAAAAGAAATGCCCTCCACTGCCTTCTTAAGATATCTGACTTTGTTAAAAGCAGAACCCGAACCCTGCAGTTCTTTGGGCCAGCTTGTTCCGTGGCACAGCCGTCCCTCTGTTTGTCTCCAGGCTGAGAATCTCGATCCATCAAACAACAGCTACACTTATTCCTGCGCATACGATCCCCCTTCTCACTGTTGTAAATGTGTCTCTCTATCCTAGAAAATCCACAATCTCAGCCAGACTTCCTTCCTGGTGGCCATCCTCCATCTCTCTGTCTTCCAATTCAGTCTTTAGCAAATACTGATTGAGTACCTGCCTGCTAAGGATGCGCTGTTGGACAAGACAGCTGAGGAAGCAAATCTTTAAGGAGAAATCTTGGAGCTCCAGGGCCGGAGTGGGCCAGCTCTCCATTGTCGTGTAGGCTGGAAGCCTGGGTACATCCATAGAAATCACAGAAAAAAAGAAACACTTAACCGTCCGCCCTCCCCTGAGACCTGGTGTTATTTTTTAAAATTAAAAGCCTGTATCCACGTACTATCATCCACTTTCAATTAGTTACACTAATAGCCACTAACACTTACTATGTATCTGTACTTTCTATGTGCCAGGCCCTGCTCTACATGTATTAATTTATTTAATCCCCACCACGGCCCTGTTGTTGTTCTCATTTGGCAGATGGAGAGACCGAGGTACAGAGAACTCAAGTGATGGAAACCTTCGTTACTTTGAAACTCAAGGAACTTGAGTAACGAAACTTTGAATCCACCAGGGTAAGAATGATCGTGGGGGGAGAAGGGGGGGGGAACGGGCGCTTGGCGAACTGGAGACAAAATAGAGCTGCATCTGGCGAACCAACACGGGCTGGAAGGGTCTGTGCTGTGTAGCTGACACTCTGTCACTTCCAGACACAGTCGTGGCTTTCATCTGTATAGCCAGCAGAATTTTACGAGGATTGCTTCATCAGCCTCACCATTCCAGCAAAGCCTGCGTGGCGTGCCGCCAAGTGTGGCTGGAGCAACTAAACACAGGGAGGCCACGCAACTCGGAGTCACACTGAGTCAGGGCCTCAGCCAGAAGTGACACCTGGCGTTCCCAGGTGCAGCCCCTACACAGACCAACATCCCTGAGTCTCTGAAAATGGGCAAAGGCTCCTTCTTTTAACTTCAAGGAAGGCAGCTGGAAAAAGACACCGGCTGGAAGTGAGGACCCGGGGTTCCGGCATTCCTCTGCCACGTGACCTGGGGAGCACATGGCACTTCTCTGCTCCTGGGTTTCTTTCCACTGCTGGGGAACCAGGGGATGGAATTAGGCAACCTGGGAGCCCTTTCCAATGTCACCAGCCTGCAACAGGAAGGGGGCATCTCTGTGCTTTGCCAGACCACGACCAAAGGTTAGGGCGGTCAGCTGCCTTCATTCTACGTTTAAATCTTTAGAGCAGAAGGTAGTTTTTTATTTCCGTAAAACTTTATGATGTGATCCTGCAGAAAGGCTAGGGGAGGTAACAAAGAAGGAGATGGGACCCTCCGTGAAGGCAGGGACCAAATCAACCACCGAAGGACCCTACTTATTGGTAAATACCCCCGCCCCGCCCCCGGAGCATCAGGCTGTACAGGTTTACAGCGCCGCCTAGTCACCGGGGAAATTTTGTTCCTTTGAACAACTCCTGGATGGAAGCTACCCACTGCCCTCGGGTAGAGGAGAGGGCCGACTGGGGGGAACGTGGGGGTGGGTCCGTCTGGTGGAGACGTCACGGGATCAAGCGAAAAGAGAAAGGCACCGAGCACTGTGTTTTGGGAGGGCGTTTAAACGCCACGCACATTCACGGAACGTTCCTGGACCTCCCTGGAAGGAGGCCCAGGGAACCAGAGGCGCCGGCAAAAGGCCTAGTCTTCCCTAGTTTCTGTGCTTTTGATTCATGCACACCTTTGCTTATGCAAAACGTAAATTAGCATATTTTTTAACGGGCCTCCTCTCTCTTTCCTGACAGCCTCTGCTCCCGTACACTGCTGGTTCTCTTCTCACCAAAGGCCCTAATCTGCTTCTCCTGACTCAGCTCTCCTTCCTTTGGCCTCTGTGGCTGCGGCACCTAGGAGGGTCCCTTTCTTCTTTAAACGACCTTCTCTCTCTCTCTCTCTCTCTCTCTGTCTCTCTCAGGTTCCTGGACACACCCAGTTCTCTCTTGCTTTTCCAATCCCTTCTCTGCTGCTCTCCAGCCCCCTTGCTTTGCCGGCCTGCACAGGAGAGGGGCCACACAAACCCAGCTCCTTCTTCCTTCCTCCTACACTCACGCTCTGGGCATCACAAAGACGTCTGTTTGGCTTCAGGTCTCGTCCCTAGGCCCGTGACACCGCAAACTGTAGCTGGGCTCTGAGTCCCATCCTGAGTGTGGCCCTGAAACCCGCTGGGCCTGCCCCCCCCCCACCTGCAGCCCCCCATCTACAGCCCGATGTGAGCAAAAAACAAACTCAGCACGTTTTCGTCTCGCTTGGCTTCTGGTCCCAGGCCCCCCAAGTGCCGCTGGGGACACTGTCCTCATCTTCCAGCGCATCGCCGTCACTCTGCCCTCCTCTGTCATCCCAGCCCACGCAGGCATCGGATCTCTTCCTCCTCCGCCCACTGCTCCATTCCCGAGTCCTTCTCAGCATCCCTCACCCCCATCCGCTCCTCTCTTCGGACTGTGCAGGTTCACACGGTGACCCTTTGGAACCTGGGTTTTGATTCTTGAACGATTGTGCACAGTCAGCAGTCCTGAGTGATTTCGGAGCACAGGCCCACTGCGGGGCTGGGCTGTTCACGTCCTGCATCTGAGGCCATTTAGTCATTAAAGGACGTGTGGTGGGGGCACGCACAGGTGGGGCGTGGAGGCTCAGAGAGGTTAGGACAACTTCTCAAGGGTTCGTGGGAAGAATGAGGCTCCTGGTTTCAAAGCCAGGCACCTTCCCGTCCCCGCTCGCCTGCCTGGGGGCTGCGCCTGGTTACTAGAGCGACTAAACGTTGACCCTGACTCTGAAGAGCTTCCCCAAACAGCCTGTGTGTACATTCATACTCCTCCATATGCTCCTAGACCACCAAGCCAAATCACTCTCAAGACCCTGAACACACTTAATCTTTTCCAAGGCTTCTTGGCTTGGGTAATTTCATGAATCTCCCTCCAGAATGCTCGCCACCAGACCGATACGAGCTATGGAAACCTCCATCTTTTCAGGATCCACATCAAATGCCTCCTCCTCCGTGAAGCCTTCCCTGATGCACCTTAGCTTCCCCAATCTATTTGTGCCCTCTTACATTTCTGTGTTGAACTAGGACTCCTTCTGTGCACTGTAAGGGGAGAGACCAGCTAACTCTGCTTCATAATCTCCACCATCAGCACAAACGGAAGAATCGGTGAATCACTAGGTAACAAAAGATACAAGTGAGATGCACCAGTAGATCTTAACTACCTCATACCTGGGAACTGAACATAGAAAGTTGGTCTCCGTAATGCTGTGTACTAACCGTACTAAGTGGTTCTCGGCGGTTCCTGGTATATTACGTTTTATTAGAATTTATACTGAGAGAATGCAGAGATTTTTTATAGAGGTGTTTGTTTTTTCCTCTGAAGGACTGTTTTTCTATCAGGAGATTATTCCCTTCCTGCCTTTCTTCCTGCTAAAATGTCCTTTCTCTAACACAAGAGTGGTGTTTGTTGGCGATGGTAGAGCTTCCCCGTCCCCTCATCTGGTAGAAGGGAACGTTTATAACCCCCCATCCCCGCTCCCTCCTCCCTCGCCGACATCTGGGAACTGGGCGACTCTGCGTCCCCTGGGTCTGGAGGCCACTGCCCCAGTCGAATGAACCCAGCGCGTCCGCCCAGAAGAGCCTCTTACACAGACCCGGCCCCAGGAAGCGTTTGGAAAAACGGAACACATGTCTGTTGTTTGGGGTGTCGTGTTTGCTATAGAAATATTTACTGTCGCAGTTTCAACTATGCTGGGGTTTTCAAATATGCTGGGATTTGAGTGAGTCCTGGCATGCGGGCTAATTTCCTCCTCTGTCAGTCCCTAAAAATAGAAATCAGATCTTCCTCTGCAGCTCTTGTTGCGAGCTCTGCTGAACTCTGAGGACCGCTTTCTGACTAGGTTGTGGACTACCAGTGGACATGGGACAGGGATATCCCCCTCACCGTGGCCTAGGGACAGCTGGTAAAGAAAGAGCCTGCATGTCTTCCTGCCGGAGGGGGCACGTTTGGGGTCAGGACATTAGGAGGAATTCGAGTAGGTGATTTTGATGAGCAGAAACAAAATATGGTGGCTCCCGTCTCCTGAGTGTCTTCATCATCTGTCCCCTGTCTTCCTCCTCATTTTCTAGATCAGAGAAATGTCACTTCCTGTTTGGTTTCTCGTGTTGTTCATTGAGAGTCTCTGGACCAAACTGGAAGAGGGGCGTCACGGCTGGCTCGACGCTGGGAGCCTGGGAAGGCGGAAAGCCTGGGGCGTCCAAATGCCGCTGTGTGCGGAACTCCGAGAATTCAACATTTGGTTTGTTTGTTTGTTGGCCTCGTGAAAAGCGCTTTACTGCAGGTTTTCAGAGTGAAGGCTGGAGTTGGGGAGGAAACAAAAGCAATAGGTACTTCGGCAGCAGACACTTTCAACTGAACGTCTAAATGGACAGTATGTGATTTTGTGGAATTGTGTGTGTGTGTGTGTGTGTGAGATAAAGCAGTATAACCCCAGAATATGAGGTGTTCTGGCAGGGCCTCATCACAGCAGGACTCGGCCCAGAACCCGCCCTCCTTTCACGGAGCAGTTGTGGCGAATGTTTGAACGAACTCTCAGTCGATCGAAGGGTTGTGTCCGGGCTGAGACCCTTCCCCAGACAGAATCCCGGTGTCATGGTGCCCCTGCCTTTGAACCTCCCCGTGAGGGGGGGGGGCAGCACTCCGTCTGGAGAAGCACTTCCACTTGGCAGCGCTTCAGTCAGTAAAAAGCTGGGACCACAGCGGTCACTCGAGGGCCGATGTTGTGCTGCTGCCGGTGGTCCCAGTGGCTGGGGAAGACGCAGAATAAAACGGCGGAGGGGACCGTGCCTCCAGCAGGAGAGATGGGCCTGGTGACTTCAGAAGCCTCCTTCAAGCCTCGGGTTCTGTGACATTGCCACAGCCACTCAGTTTCATGGAGCTTTTTAAAAATGGTCTTAATCAGCCCTGGCTGGTGTAGCTCAGTGGATTGGGCATGGGCCTGTGAAGCAAAGGGTCGCCAGTTTGATTCCCAGTCAGGGCACAGGCCTGGGTTGCAGGCCAGGTCCCCAGTAGGGGACACATGAAAGGCAACCACACATTGATGTTTCTCTCCTACTCTTTCTCCTTCCCTTCCCCTCTCTCTCTCTCGAAAAAAAATATATTTTTAAAGGGTCTTCATTGTATTTTTTAAAATGTGATTATCGCAGTTTGGAATAGGCATTATGTGGGTTTTACTCCACAGTGTCTCTTAACCGATGGAGTAAAATCTGAGGTGCTTTTTCTTAGCGGACATTCTCCAGAGGAAGACAAATGACCAAACTTCCCTGCCCCCCCACCCGTGCCTTGGTGTTTCCTGGGTTCCAAATGGCACTGAAGCTGCATGATGTCACCAACCCTTGCCGAGTGTAGGATTGGTTTTTGATCAAAGCTCTTACTGAAACACCCTCTCTCCTAATTGCATCTTCTCCCAAAACGTATTAACATAAAAAGCAAGAACACGGCTTAGGAAAGCAGAACACTGGGCTGTCCCTAAAGTGCAGGTTTTGTTGAACATGGCGTGTGTGTCTTCAGAATTTGTAAAAAAATTAAAAATCCCCTGACCCCAAGTTGTGTGGCAAATACGGCGCTCCAGCCAAGTCATAAACCCCGGCCGAGGGCCCGGGAGGGACAGGGTTGGTTGGGCGGTGCCCTCACTGGCTGCCCACGGAACAAAGAACCATTCACTGGCCCCGCCGGCCACTTCTCGGGCTGTTGCCAGCCACCGTAAGGTCTCCGGAGCAGCCGGTGACGTCCACCCAGAGAACCGAAAGTCGTGGAGAGAAGTGTATGAACGTGTCCCTGGCGCCTCCCCACTCCCCGGACTCCTGCAGACCCCGTGTTATTCTGGCACGCGTGTTGCCTTGGGCCGTGGCGTGCTTTCCATGTCAACCAAGAGATGTCCAGCTCCGCCTGTTACGCAACCCACTTGGTTCTTGTTTGCTTTAATTTCATGCTCGGTGTTAAAGCCAATAACCACCTTCCCGCTAGATGACTCAAACATCTACTCAAAACCGTGGTTCACCGCTTCAGTTGGATTAAATTCACTTAAAAAAAAAATCGCAGCCATTGCCACGGGGCTGTCTGTGTGCCGGCTGCCCCCTCCTCCCCGGGTTTTATCTGATTTGGGGCCTGGTGAGATTCCTCCCCGATACTCTGTCCCCTGGATTTCCAGGAATGCGTCACAGAGAATGTCCTGCTGGAAAAGCGGAACTAGAACTAGAGTAAGGATGGGCTAGTGGAACAGTTCTCAACATTTCTTGTTATCGACTCCCCATGTTGGACTCCCCGTCTCTCATCTGTCTATTGAAATGCCTGATACAGCCCTGGCTGGCGTGGCTCAGTGGACTGACTGTGGCCTGTGAACCAAAGGGTCACCGGTTCGATTCCCAGTCAGGGCACAGGCCTGGGTTGCAAGCCAGGTGCCCAGCAGGGGGCACACGAGAGACAACCACACATTGATGTTTTTCTCCCTCTTTCTCCTTTCCTTCTCCTCTCTAAAAATGAACAAGTCTTTAAAAAAGTAAAATGCCTGAGACAGAACAAGCAGGCCCCACGAGCCTCTTTAAAAGAGGTTTAAAAACACAAGAGGAAGACCATGGAGGCGCAGAGGATGAGCCCCCTCTGCGTCACTGTTTTCAGGCGTTTTCCTGCCCTGTGCACCCACTCACACCCCCGCCCCCGCCCAGCACCGGCAGGCGCCGGCGTGGGGTCCGAGACATGGTGGACCCCCATTTCTGGTCTTCACAGCAGCGCCGCCCCAGCTCCTGCCCACGGGGAAGAAAGCCTCAGGTCGTGTCTGTGAGCAACACCCTCTGGGCCCACCTGCCTCCTGAGGAGCCCCCACCCCCGTCCTGCATGTGGACCTCAAAGTAGCAGCAGCGCGGCCCACGCTAAGCGCAGTTGCATTTCACTGTTCCTTTCGTGGGTCCGGACCGTCCCCTGCTAAATGGAGGCCGTGCCGCTAACGCCTCTGTGAGTCACCAACATGTAAACACATACTTGGAACCAAAATTTCAAGGTCTAGGTTCTCTGTCCCACGCGGGACTCCAACCCACCGAGTGATGCTTTGTGTGAGCTCTCCCCAGGCGAACGTTTGGAGGGGGACACGGGGCGCGAGGAAGGGGGGATTGGCAGGGAACTCCTCAAAGGGTGGGATCTCTGGGTTTAGAGCGGAGTGGTTATATGATCACCATGCAAACCTCAGCTGATTCCTTCTTTTCTGTTCTTTTCCCCCTTTTATTGAACCCTCTGGAAAGCTATAATTTGAACTTAAGAGCGGTAGTTAGGAGAAAATGCTAATCAAAATCAGAAGCCCGTGCATTAACCCCCTCGTGACTGAGCAGCACGTAGGACAGGACTCGGCCACTGCTGTCCCCGCAGGGAGGCTGCTTCCACACCCCGACAGCCCTCCGTGTCCTGATCTCTCCTCCCCCCACCCCGCCCCGCACATCTCCGGGACCTTCCCAGGTTGCTTCTCCTCCTCCCTGTGGCCAGTCTGGTTTTTCTTCTAGAAAATTCTTCCCCACCCCCATGGTTCCCCTCAAAGAGGTCTCCGCCCTGCTATTTTCGAAGCAAGCACACAACCCTTCCCATTTTTAGTGTTTTCCCTGCTTTCCATTCTTGAGAAACAGGGTCAAAACAGCATTGGAAAAGCTTCAGAAGTCTGAGAATTCACCAAAAGTCACGTGAAGTGAGTGCCCTTGGCTGCAACGCAAGGCATGGGCGGGGAGGCTCTTTCTTTGGGAGCACGACGAGCGAGCCTGGGCACTGCTCCCCGCTCCTTTTCTGTGCGTCTTTCACTCTCCGGCTACCAGGAGGGAAGCCGTCCTGCCCTGTCCCGAACCCTGGCCCTCTCCCCATCCACCAACCCTGGGCAGTGGTCGCCTCCTGTGGGTAGGACGGTGGGTGCCGCCCAGCCCTCCGATCAACGTGGGTCGTCCCTGCCCTGGGGGAGGCTCTGTGTCTGTAACCTTCGCACCGGAGGCATCCTCTGGGCTATCCCTTGACCACTGTCCTAGACTGAAGGAATTACGAAGACATTTGTCCTTTTTGTGCAGGAATGGCCAAGGTGCACGGTCACTCCCAGCTCCCAGCTGCGTGGGACAGTGAGTTGAAGGCGAGGCTCAGAGAAGATTCAGACGGTGGCGAAGGGTCTGGGAAGCATGGCTGGGTGAGAACCAGGAGCAGAGTGTGTCCATGGCCTCGGGTGTGATTCTTCCGTGTGTGCGCACCTGTCCTGTGTGCTCTGGGGGGTGGCTGGCCTCCTCCTCCTGCCCTGGAACTCCCTGCTCCAGCTGTGATGCCAGAAGAAGTCTGTGGACACTGTCCCCTGCCGGTAGATGCTCCCCCAGTGGAGAGGGGCTGGGTCAGAGGAGGTGGGATGTTCAGCACGAAGCAGAGCCTTTAATCACAGAGTCTGCACAGATGCGGGGCTCTCCCACCGATGCACAGGGTCAGCTGCTCTCATTCTCCACTGGGAGCCAAAGAATTTCTGCCCAGGGTAGGGGACGCGGACAAGACCTCGCTGATTAGATTCTCGGGAGGCTTGCCAGGGGACTGATGTGGGTTACTGGGAAGGAATGCATTCCCGCCCCAGAGGGTCTTTAGAACGACAGGAGCGCCTCGTTTCCAGGGCCATTCTGGGCAGTCATGCCCTTGAGCGCATGGGCGGGGAGCCCCTCAGCCTGTCCTCTTCTCTGGCAGGTTACAGGCCTTCCCAGGCAACGCTTCAAACCAGCACCACCCACTCATCCGAACAGACATCAGGGCGTGTGAATGGTTCCCGCTATTGGCGATCAGGAACAAGACAGGAGCCGCAGAAGAGTCCTTCAGTGATTTCTTGTGCAGGCTCATCTTAAGGGACTTGGAAGGCGTCTGATGAGTCCTGCGACCCACCGGATATTCTCTTACTCTCAATTATCGATTCGCTCTGCATGGTAGGAAGAAGTACTGGTGCTTTTTACCAACCATGGGGTGAGAGTGGGGTCCGTCCGCGTGAAAGGGGGGCTTGGCTTCCTAGGAAAGGAGCGAGGAGGTAAAGAAAGACATTGCTTGTTGCCTTTTGAACTTATTTACGCTCTCCCCTCGTTCTGGGAAGACTGAAGGCTGAATCCTGCAGCAGGACCACAGCCGTAAGCTCTCAAATCTCCAGGAATATTAGTTACTTAGTAATACCCACGGGAAAGAATTCCTGAAGCCGGAACCAGACAAGGGGGTCACGTTCTGGAAGCACCGTGCTCTGCATGTTCTGTGTAGGACAACGGTGCTGTGTCTTTCTTACGTCATAACAGCTCGTTCATTGAAGTGTGTGAACTAGTCAGACATCCTACGTGGTTCTGAAGAATTATTTTCATTCTTCCATCAGACCTTCCTGATGTGAGTTGACCCTGCAGTAAAGTAATTAATCAACGTATCAACATATGCTACAATTGAGAGAAAAATTCCAATTCTTTACAATGCTTTTCTATCATCTTTTAGACCCTTCACAATCTATTTTAACATGGTCATTTTAATCCCCAAAGTATATTATTATACCATCCAGTTGAAATTTAAGATTTTTTTTTTTTTGCAATGCACATTCATTGTTGCCTCGATCCATCACCATTACGGGATTCTACCCGAGCCATGAGCAGTCAGGGCAGCAGAACGGAGCAGGGAGTGCAATCTGCTGAAGCGGAGGGAAGCGCTGGGCTCCGTTAGTGAAGCCACACTCCCCGCATTTCCACTCAGAAGATGTGAAAGTACAGAAGGTTCTGGTGAGGCAGCAGACCAGGCAAAGTCAGAAATGGAAAGGCACTCAGCCTGGAGTGAATCACCACACACAACGAAAAAATAGAAACGCCCACAGATTTTGTTGTGGGAAGGGAAAAATGAAACTTCCTGTATTTTACAGTAGAGAGCATGAGGAGATGCCGGAAACCGCAGGAAGTTCCCTTAATGGGCTTGCAGGGTCTTTGGACCTCGGGCCTGGACACACAATTCTAAGAGGTTACCTCGTTGAGATAAACCATTTACACCAGTAACTTTGTTTCTTTTTCTTACAAGTAGAAATACTTGTTCTCTGGGGAAGATACTGATGAACAAAAAGCTCACCATCCAAAAGCAGTTCCTTTAGAAGTGTTACTTAAAAGCTTTATTGAGCCCTGGCTGGGTGTAGCTCAGTGGATTGAGTGTGGGCCTGTGAACCAAACCATCGATCAGATTTCGGTTTGATTCCCAGTCAGGACACATGCCTGGGTTGCAGGCCAATTCCCAGTGGGGGATGCATGAAATGCAACCACACATTGATGTTTCTCTCCCTCTCTCCTTCCCTTCCCCTCTAAAGATAAATAAGTAGAATCTTTAAAAAAGTAAATAGTAAAAGCTTTATTGAGTTCCACACACCATGCAATTTGCCCATTTTAAGTGTACAGTTCAGTGTTTTTTAGTATTCAGTATTTGCTGGGTTGCACAACACCATCACCGCAGTGCCATTCGGAACATTTTGCCCCCCCCCCCCCAAATCCCATTGGCCGTCACTCCTCACTTTTCCTACCACCTGGGCCCGCTGCTCTGCCCTGAACAACCACTCACACTGTCTAAACCTTTGCCTGCCCTGGACGTTTCGTATCAATGAAGTCACAGTGCGCGCCCGACCTCGTTCGCTCAGCCTGCTCTTCCCGGCATCCCAGCCGTGGCGCGTGTCAGTGCCTCCTTTTCAGTGCTACATTGTCACTCACTGGCTGTCCTCACCCACCAGTGATGGGCACTGCACTGTTCCCACTGGCTGCCGCCAGCAGCCCAGCCGTGAATGCCGATGCGTGTGTTTTTGATTCTCTTAGGAATCTGGGAGTGGCGTTTCTGGGTCGCAAGGTAATTCTGGGTTTCACATTCGGAGGAGCTGCCCAACTGCGTTCCAAACGGCTTTAGCATTTTATGTTCCCACCAGCAATCCACAGAGGTCCCAGTTTGTCCACCTCCTTGTCAGCACTTGTTATTGTCGGCCTGGTTTTTAAATAGCTATCTTAACTAGTGTGGGGCGGCGTCTCATTGTGGTTTGGATTTGCGTTTTCGATAGCCAGTGATGCTGAGTAACTTTGCCTGTACGTATTGGCTATTTGTATATTTTCTGAGGAGAAATGTCTATTCGAATCCTTTGTTCTTTTAAAGACTAGGTTTTTTTTTTAATTATTGAGTTGTAAGACTTCTTTATAAATCCTGGATACTAGACCCTTATCAGGTAGGTATGTGAATGTCAAATCACTTCTCTCATCCTGTGGGTTCTCCTTTCACCTCCCTGATAACATTGTATCTAGCACAATGGATACTGGATACTAGATACTTAAATGTATCAATTTTTTCCTTTTGCCTTCAGCTTTGGTAACTAAGGAGGTTTTGCCTACCCCAGGGACATGCAGATTACTCCCAGGTTGTCTTCTAAGAGTTTTTACATGTTAGCTCTGCCATTTGAGCCTACCGTTTTGAGTTCATCTCTGTGTATGAAGTGACATAGGCACCCGACAGCGTTTTCCGCTGGAAACCTGTCTACGCCCGGCTCTGCTACGGTTTACGGAACTGGGCTTCGCAGCTCGGTACCAGCCTGCTCCTCCCAACCCCTGATGGCACCTTCGTAAGTCCCGGTTTCCCGGTGAGTGTGGAGTTGTAAAATAGACTTAACGAGGCATCTCCTCGTGTGGCATCTCAGACACTTCATGTTGAGAACTATGCACCTCCGTGAACATTATCTGTGCTTGGAGTTTGGTCAGAAAGAATCATATTGGTCACAGAGACCATAATGTCTGTAATGCACTTGAGACGTGCAGGAAGACATTTCTAAAGTTACTCACAATGAAATATTTACTGTGCTGTTGCATTAAACCCGTGGCTCTAAGAGCCTGTAGCTTCGTGTTGCTCTGCAGCGAGTGGAAGGCCTCACTGTACAGGCTGCTTGTGTTCATCCCTGAGCCCTCTTCCAGGTCCACATCCCGTCGGGACAGGCTGTCACCTGCCCTTGGTTCTGTCTACCTGTCCCCACCCCCGCCGCCGCTGCCTTAGCTCAGGCCGCCATCTTCTCCAGCCCGGAGGGCTGCCTCGGCTTCCTTCTTCTGTTTTTACCACTTCTCCACACGGCGACCTGAGTGAGAGGGGAACCCTCATGGTCAGATGCTGCTGAGGTTTGGGGACCCTGTGTCAACGCTGCATAACTCGCCCTAATCGGACTCACTCCTAATTTTGGTCAGTTCCTTGGATGCACCCCACTCTCACGGGAGCCTTTCCTCCACTTCTCTGTCCTGTGTGGTCGTCTCAACTCCCATTTGGCCTTTGGATCTCCGTGTCCTCGTCATGTCCTCTGGAACGCTCCCCCCGAGCCCCGCGTCTGGTGCACGTGCCGCCCTGTGTGTCTGGGGACACCCTGGGGCATCTCCCTGCCTCTACCGGAAGCTTGGGTGAGGGCGGAGCCTGTTTTTCTAGTTCATCATTATGTTCCCAGCCTGCCACCTGGTAGAGCCCAGAAAGCTGTCGAATGAGTCAATAAATTAGATTTCAGAACGTGAAGGCCTTGTCATACTATTTACCGGGGAAGGGACCGAAGGCAGTGGTCTGGGACCTTGCGATGGTGAAATGGGGAAGAATATCAGTGGCCCTGTGCTTTCTGTCTTCCCGGCGAGGAAATTCACACAGGTTTCCCAAGCCTCCCATATCACGAGAGTGAGGCGTGGCTGCGCACTAGCAATAGGTGTGAGCCCGAAGTTTCCCGGATGAAAGAATGTTAGGCATTATTGTTTCTGTTCGTGTCTCAACAGCACATGAGAATGACAGACAGGTCGGCTCACATTGTTACAGCGTTTCCTGTTCTGAGGCACAGCTCAAGGCAACCTCTGAGAAAAGTCATGTAGGGTATGAATTCCACAGCTCTTGTCTCACTGAGTCACCCGGACGTTTTCCTGCCCCTCCCTGCCACAAAGCACCATGCAGACTAGGCATGAACTTGGAGCGCATTTGTGGTCTCCACGTGAGCCACTTCAGCCAAGGCTTCCCGCAGCGCTGCCCTGCCCTGCAAAGAGGATGGTCACACCCCATTGGCGAAGACTTCTGGGAAGAAACACGGCCGCTGAGGTTTGGTCCACACCGTGCTCTGGTGGCAGACACCTAACTGGGGATTTGAATCTGAGCTCTTGATGAAAGCACACACGGTGGGCCAGAGGCACAGGCTCTGAGCTTCGACCCGCTGACCCTGGAAGGCGGAGGGCCTGCTGTCCCCTACCAGGCTCCATCCAGCACTCCCCAAGCTCATGCAGGAGGGAGCTGTCACTCACCAGGCTGCGCGTTAAGAGGGAAGCATCCCGGGTGTGAGGACGGACGAGTTTTCCGCAGGTAAATGTGAACGCGAACGGCCGAGTCCCAGGTGTTCCAGGAGAAGGTTGCTGAGAGTCCGAACCTACGTCAGTGGCAGTTATTGCTGAGGCTTCCAGAGGATGGGGAAGTGCCGGGCATTCTAAAAGTGGTGCCTAAAACCACGACCCTTGATTGGACTATGTTAAACTTAAGAACTTTTTCATTCATTTAGAGCAGCCCTGGCTGGGGGCTTAGTTGGTTGGAGCATGGTCCCACACCCCAGAAGTCTGGGGGTTCAGTTCCTGGTAAGGGCATATACCTAGATTGTGGGTTTGACCCCTGGTCAGGGCATGTATGGGGAGCAACTAATATTTCTCTCTCACATCAATGTTGCTCCCTCTCTCTCTACAGTCAGTAAACATTTTTTTTTTTTAATTTAAAGGAAAAGTTAGCACAGAAATAAAGAAAGTGAAAGGATCTTGGACTGGATCCTGGATTGGGAGGAAAAAATTGCTCTAAATGATATTATTGGAACAACTGATGACATTTCTTTTACCATGGCTTGTTGAACATCTTTTTGTTATTAACATTTATGAAAAACATGTGTCTTCACATCCAGACTCACTGAAGTTTTGTAACAGGTTTGTGACCTACCGACTCATGGAGTCTGATGCATTTTTTGTGAGAAAATGGGCGGTGCGTGCATAATCCCGCAATCATGAACACATTCCCGATGAGAGAGGACTTCCCCTGGACTGGTCACTGCTCCGAGCTGCTCGCCCTGCCTATGACTTCACACACCCAGCGAACGTTTAGAGACCGGCTTCTAGCTCCCTACAACTCAAAATGGTTTCTCCCCCAGCATGCACTGCTTCCAGGGCTGGGTGCTTGGGGGACACTGTCACATGCTGACAAGACGTCTGTCCCCGCACCTCCCTGCTGTGGGGTGCAGGACAACAGCCTAATTCGAACAGACTGCGAACCTTGATAACAGTTCCACTGGAGTCAGAGTAGTAAATTCATCCCCCAACCCACCCCCCCACCCACCCCCAGGTGGGGTCCCCAAATGTTTGGGTGCGGCATCCATCAGCACCCAGGTCGAGAAGCGCTGAGTGTGGGCAGATGGCAGCCCTAATCCGTCGTGGCTCAAATACATTCCTTTTGCAGAGTTTACACAAATACACAACCATGTGAACACATTGCCAAGGGACCCATGGGAGGGAGCAGCCCTGACACTCAGATTTCATTAGCTTCATGGTAAATTTGCCTCTAATAATAAGAAAATACTGGCGACAACTCAAGCGTCTGCAGGGAAGTGGGCAAACAACTCCACACAAACGACAGGCCCACAATACAATAAGCAGCAGAACAAATGTACGTGCTCACACTTCGCACACGTGAGTCAGAAACTCGCTGATTGGCAAGGGTATACACATGTTATTTTTATGAAGCTCAAAAAGGAGAAAAAAGAAACGGTATCATTTAGGAACGTATCCAACTGTGCCAAAACTACTAAAAACGACGAGGAGAGACACACCAAGCCCAGGACAGTGGCTGAGGGAACCAGCAGGATCCAAGAGTGCTGCAGTATGCGCGTGATACTGATAACATGGTGTGGTCACAAACCGTCATTTCATTAGTTTGCTTTAAAATGCTTATAGTCAATATATTATTTTGTGTGCATCAAATGTGGGGCTGAAACTATCTACAAACACTGAAGGCAGATAAGGATATTTCCTAAGCCATCAGCCTCATCCCCTGCCTGTTGAGTGCCCACGTGCACACGTGGCCTGCGTGTGGCCCCGGGGGGCTGCGAAGCAGAGCGGAGCAGGAGCTGTGGCTGTGGCAATGGCGGAAACATCACCCGGTATATCACACACGCCACATGAAACGTCCTGTTTAATTTCAGAGTCATTCTGCCAGCCTAAGGCAGCAGGACTGTGTCCAGGCCTCCGGGGACTGCGCCCCTCCCTTCACCCGCAGTCTTCCCACTTCATGAGGTCGCCAGGCCCCGCACCGCCCCTTCCGCCCTTTGAGGCCGTCTGACTCCTTTTCACCAGCCCGGCCCAAGCCATCGCGTCAATTCTTCCAACAGGATCCCCACACCCGCCCCTCCCCGCGAGACTTCCAGCCGAAATCCGGATCGGAGCCTGGCCTTAGGCCGGGAGCCGGGAAGGGGGCGTGGACAGCGCGCTGGGCTTCGGCCCCGCCCCTCCATGGCTCCGCCTTTCTAGGCCCCGCCTACCCTCCCAACCGAGGGAGAAGGGGTTTCTCTTCCGCACGCCCCTCCCAGTCGCGGTGAGGCCAAGCCTGTCTGCCGGAAGCCCAGTCCGACGCTTAGAGGAAAGTAGGCTCTGCGCTGCAGGAGACGCGGCGGGCCCGGTGGCTCGGGACTCCGCCTCTTCTGGGACCCGGGCCTTAGACCCCTGCCCTGGAATGGGCGTTCCCTCCCACCGACCGCAGCGCCCCTCCCGGCCCGTCTCCTAGCAGCTCAGTGATGCACAGGCGCCCTGGGTGCCCAGCCGCCGTGACGCGCAGGCGCTCTAAGGGAGGGCCGCCGTGACGCGCAGGCGCTCTGGTTGCGGGGCCGCGGCCACGGTGAGGGCTGCGCGCTTGGGAGGGTCTGGGAGCGCTGGGTGGAGGCGTGGGGAAGGCGGGCAGCAACAGCAAGGCGGCCACAGGAGCCGGCTCCTGTGGGCCTTGGGGGGACTGCGTCACCGGCTCTTGGCGCACCCAGAGAGCCTCCCTCCCCGGAGCCTTAGGGTAGCAGTTGCAGACCCGCAGTTGCGTTTCCTTGGAATTGGGGTGTTGTCCTGAGACTGACTTTTGAGAAAACTGCATGAGTATGTTGGTTCCTGAGTTGGGTGGAAGGTCGTCCTTCCCAGCCCCTGCCCTGGGCTGCACAGACGTGTCTGGTGACGGCGGGCACCACAGAGTCAGGCCGGCCCCAGCGCGGAGGGGAGCCTGCGAGCCCCTGGTGTCCGCGTGGCCGGTGTCTTCCACGGACGCGCGTGTCTGGACTAAGGCTCGACACAGCACAATGTCTACTACACCCGCGTGCCTCTGTGCGGGCAGCCCCTGCCCTTGGAGCCCGCGGAAGGCAGGTGGCACGTGAACCACTAAGCACCGGGCTCAATCACCCCAGCGCCGTCTCTGTTACTGGGTCAAACTAGCCTTTTCCTCTGTGCTTGGTGGTTTGGTTTTGCAGATTCCCGCTGGGAAGTACTGCTCCTGTTTTGTGAAAAGGGCATAGGATTTACTCCCCATTTCCCTAGTATGCTCTTTTAGAGTGCAAGCAGCCAGCAAGCAGTAGGCCGTGCCTGTGTGCCTGTGTGCCTGTGTGGGTGTGCGTACGTGCGTGTGTGCACACCTGTGCGAGGAAAAGGAATCTGTCTTCTCAGCAGAGAACTGGTGAATGGAAGAGTAGCTTGATAACCGTGTTGTCACAATGCTCTCCCTGGTCCCCTGAGGCAAACACCGGGCTGACTCTAGGATAGCCACCTGGTACTTGGTACTTGAACTTGATGGCAGGTAAAATAAATCTCACTATGTACTTCCCTCCACAGCATATTGAAGGATGTTTGTTCCGCGCTCTCTCAAAGTCAAGAGGAACACTCACGAGGACGGCAAAGGCTGTGCGGCCAAGAAAGTGAAATCAGAAGCAGAAGGCTTCCGGTGGGACGAAGGCAGTGGTCACGGTCACCCAGCTGATGCTGGCGGTACAGAAGAAGCCACAGCCAGTGGCAGGCCCCGTGCGGAACCGTGTCCCTGCCCCAGCCCCCAGGTGGGACCCGAGCAGGGTGCCACGGACAGTGGTCCGTCTGGAGAGCCTGTGAAGTCCTTTTCCAAGACGCAGCGCTGGGCAGAGCCCGGGGAGCCTGTGTGTGTGGTCTGTGGCCGCTACGGAGAGTATATCTGCGACGAGACAGACGAAGACGTGTGCAGCCTGGAATGCAAAGCGAAACATCTGCTGCAGGTTCAGGGGACGGAGGAGACGGCAGCGGGCAGCCGCCCACAGGGAGCTGGCTCCCAGCCCGAGCCCGCACTTCCCTTGCCGTATGTGTATAAAGAGCACCCCTTTATCTCGAGCCTTCAGGAGGACCAGGTGGAAAACCTGAAACAGCAGCTGGGAATTTCAGTTCAAGGGCAAGATGTTGCCAGGCCCATTATTGACTTTGAGCACTGTGGTTTTCCGGAGGCCTTGAACCTCAACCTGAAGGCCTCAGGCTACGAAGTGCCAACCCCCATCCAAATGCAGATGACTCCGGTAGGTCTCCTGGGGAGGGACATCCTGGCCAGCGCTGACACGGGCTCTGGGAAAACAGCAGCCTTTCTCCTTCCTGTGATCATCCGGGCTTTACTGGAGGTAAGTTCAAGTTCAAGTGGATCCTTCTCAGAAACAAGTGAGGTATTTACCAGCTTTTATACTCAACCATGTTCAAGTTGCCGACTGAAACTTAGGATTTAGAAGTTCGTATTGTGTCTGAAAAGCATAATTCTAAGGAATATTTGCTTATGTGATATCGAACAAAAGACCTTTGCTGAAGGTCTCCAAGATTGCTTTCCTTACAAAGTGTTTTCTTTCTAACACATTTGAAAAACCAAAGAGTAGGGGAAGATAATGTGAGAAAAAAATGCAGCACTCGACGGTCAAGATTCAGGTGACATTTCCTGCAGAGCCTGAACAGAGCGAAGGGCAGCAATGGGGTGGGTGTGCACACAAGTAGGTTCTTTGGACAAAGAAAGTGAACCCACAAGAAATCCAACAGGGAAGGTCACGGGCAGACAGCCAGCCAGCCTTGACCCTGCTCTTCATGGCCATGTGAGGAGTATCACGGAGTCTGAGTGTGACTTTCTGCCATCCCAGCTTGGTCATTGTAGACGCCTCACCTGGGGTCTGGGCTTTCACTGCTCAGAGTCTGCCTGAGTCCTGCGAGACGTGGTTCTCTCCATGATGGTTTGTGCAGACAAACTCTGTAGCAAGCAGGCAGGTGGGAGGGCTCGCTTCCAGGTGGGCTCGCGGGCACAGGTGGGAGGGGAGCGCTCGTGGAAGCTCCGAAGAGCTGGCCCATAGCCGCGCGGATGGGTGGCTGCCGTTCTGAGCCTTGTTTCCCGCCCTCGCAGAGCACGGGTCCGTCGGCGCTCATTCTCACCCCGACGAGGGAGCTGGCCATTCAGATAGAGAGACAAGCCAAAGAGCTGATGAGGGGCCTGCCACGCATGAAGACCGCGCTCCTGGTCGGGGGCTTGCCCTTGCCCCCCCAGCTGCACCGTCTGCGGCAGCAGGTCAAGGTGAGTGCCGATTCCTCAGGCTGTCTCTCGGAGCAGCACAGACCTTGGGGGTCCCGCCTTGAGCAGGGTTCAAGTGTGAGTTTAGATGGCCCTTACGTTCTGGCCAGGTGTCGTTTTCGTAAAGTTCGTTTTGTGTAGGAAAGGGAAGAACATGTTCTTTGGGTGCATGTTGCATGCCAGGAGCTGTTGGGTGTTCACACGGGTGTCGTTTGATTGTCACGTCTGCTCCTGGGGCTGCGTGGCTGAGTTCACCCTTATGGTCCAGAAGGCGACTCTCAGAAAGATGGGATTTGTCGAAAGTGCAAAGCTCATATACTGGAGAGTTGAGGCCTACGAACAGGGTCGTTCTCCTGTGTGACCGCAGTGCAGCTGCAGAACCGGGCAGGTCACACCCATGCACCATGCGTGCACGGGACTCAGGTGCTGTCATCTCCTCCTCGGGCCACTCGTGTTTGCGAATTGTCCTTTCAGACTCTGTGGCATGGGACTCCGGTTCAGAACCATGCAGTGACCCAGCGAGTTCACTGCTGAGCCCCCATCTGCAGAAACCCAAACACTGATTCAGAAGAACACGCGCACCCTGTGTCCACCGCAGCTTTCTTGGCAGCGGCCGCGCTGTGGAGGCCACCTGAGTGTCCGTCACCAGACAGGCGGACGGAAAAGCTGCGGTGCACTTACAAATGGAGCAGGATGTGGCCGGGAAGAAAGAATGCACTCACCATCTGTGACCGCGCGGGCGGGCCGAGACACAGAAGACAAGTGCTGCGTATCCCTCATGTGTAGAATCTGAAGAGCAAAACACACGAACAGACAAAACTGAAGAATCCCTAGTCGTATTCAGTTGTCATGTCTCGTTCATCCTTTCCATTGGGAACAGCTCTCCAGTCTGTCCCCTCACCCCATCTTGACACTTGCAAGGATTAGAGATGACTGACTTTGAAGAACGTTCGTTCCCTGATTGAGGAAAGTGATGTCCTTTTGACATCGCAGAAGAGATACTTGTCCTTCTCACGTTGCCCTTTTAAATGACAGTTTCGGTTGGTCTTTTCCCAGTGAGAGGATCTGCCAGGTTCTCTCAAGTGTATTTTTCCCTTTGTATTTACCCAGTATTTTGGGGGGAGAACTTGTACACTGAAGTGTCCTTCACCGGACTTCCAGCTCGCTTGTTAATGTTTCCATTGGCCTGTGTCCCTTCCTTCAGGTCATCATAGCGACTCCCGGCCGCCTTCTGGACATCACGAAGCAGAGCTCCGTCCAGCTCTGTGGCGTGAGGATCGTGGTGGTGGATGAAGTGAGTATCGTGGGTAGAGACAGGGTCACGCAGCGCTGTGCATTCAGGGAAAGTGCGTTCCGTTACACGGCTTCGCTGTGTATCCAGGCGTTCGCCCCCGAAGGAGAGGGATGGAGGGTCTTTTCTAAGGGCCGTGCTTGGGCTCGTGCAGTGCTGACTGCAGCCAGGCTCTGGGGTGGGCTGTGTTCGCACTGCATTTGCTGCCACTTCCCGACAAACACAGCGGAGCCAGCAGCAGGCCGCGGTCAGCAGGAGACTGGGAAGTCGTAACGATGATCTGTTGTGTGGCCTTTTAACTTTTCTCTCCATGGACGCAGGCAAGTATGTGGTTTTCTCTGTTACAAGAGCACAGAGGCATTTTTGCACTGTGGGCCGGCCGGCTTATTAAAGGAGGACAGGTGTCTTGTGGGAGATCAAGCCCGGCGCCAGAGCAGACAACCGTGGGGCAGCCCATCTGCCTGCAGCGCACAGCTGCCGTCACACGCATCACACCAGCGGCGGCGGAGCAGGGGCCTGGCGTCGCCCAGCCACGATCGGAGTCATGGGGTGCGAGGTGCTGGCTGGGCGGCAACCCGGCCTGCCTTCCATGGGCCCCAGTACGTGGTGCTGGAAAGAGTAGGCTTGGAGGCTTTGCTGCATCTGCCGTGAGGCCTGGGGCAAGTCCTGGGCCCCCCAGAACTGTGGCTGGGGTGGCGTAGGGACTGTGACAGCGTCCTGTGGGCCGAGAACTCCTGTGTGAGGTCGAACAGCATGCCCAGTGCTCTGGGTGGCAGTGCTCCGTCAGCCACACCGCCGCCCCGAGCAGGCGACCAGGCTCCCCTTTGCTGGGACCCTGCTCTTACGCTCTCCCCTCTTAGGAGCCTGACGAGTGGCCTGGTGTGGAACTTGCGGTCGGTGTCCTTCTTGCTGGCTTCTCTGCACTGCATTTTTGTCATCTTCCCTGAACAGGGCGGCTCGGGGGCCCATGCAAGGGAGAGAATATCAGTGTTTGCAGTGGGGGGAGTGGCTGGCCAGTGGCATGTGCTGTCATTTAGAGGTTTACTGTCTCGGGGACGTGCCTGTGGCTGGTTTGGGTCGGCCCCTCAGCTTCCCTTCCAGACCCGCTCGTCTCTGAAGGCAGGGCCCCTGCGTGCGTGCCAAGCACAGAGCGGGGCGCAGGGCGTGGCTGTGGAGCCCGGCCCCCGGGTCCACGTCTCAGCTGCGCCAGGTCGCCGGTCATGTGCAGTGGGCCCCGGGGTCCTCATCGTAAAGTGGGATCGCAGCGGGGCTGCCTCACGGGTGTCATGCGGCCTGGCCAGCGCTCGGAACACTGTCTGGCACGTGGCACATGCTCAGCCTGACTGTCCATCATGCTCAGCGAGGGTCTGGCCCTGGGGGCCCTCAGAAGTGACGCTGGCAGTGCGGCTGGGTGTTGCGCTGTCAGGGACCAAGAATATCATGAGTGACAAAGCTGTGGGGCGGCACTGAGCACAGAGCGTGCCCCAGAAACTCTGGGCGAAGCTCACTGGGGACCAGGGGCACCTGTGTGTGCCCCTCGGTCTGGTCTCCCCCAGCTCGGTTTCGCTCTCACTGTATCTGAGGTGTGCACCGCTGTAAACACATAGGTACACCCCACGCAATGTTACATAAACGTATCTCCCCTCCCAGTCGGTCTTTTGTCCTTTGACCCTGTGGCCAATACGTCCGTGTAAGCGTTGCTCACTCGTTACAGCAGGTCTTTCCTGAGGTGGCTGGGGTTTCACATCACATCAGACCACTGTAAAATGACTTTCTTCCAGGCGGACACCATGTTAAAGATGGGCTTCCAGCAGCAAGTGCTGGACGTCTTGGAACACGTCCCTCGCAGCTCTCAGACCATTTTGGTCTCGGCCACAATCCCAGCTGGCATAGAGCAGCTCGCCGGCCAGCTTCTGCACGAGCCCGTGAGAATCGCCGCCGGCGAGAAGAACCTGCCCGGGGCTCACGTGCGCCAGATCGTCCTGTGGGTGGAGGAGCCCGCCAAGAAGAAGAAGCTGTTTGAAATCCTAAACGTGAGTAGGAGAGCTTCCGCCCGGGTCTGCAGGGCAGGCCTGCACGTCCCGAGGACCTTGGGGGGGTGGGTGTGGGGCGCAGCTTCGGGGAACTCTGGCTCCAGTGTTTGGTAGTCGCGGCTTTGCCTGGCCCAGGATTCTGTGAGAATCACTTACATTTTTGTTTGAGGAAACATGCTGTGTAGGTGCAGAGCGGGCTGATCCTCGTTACAGAAACACGTCGGAGTATCAGGGTTGTTCCTGGAGAAGAGGTTTTTTGTTTTGAAAAATTTTAATAGTTTCACATGTAAGGGAAGGATAAACTCTTTCTTGGCTAGTTTTTCTTGAGAAATGGAATTTTTGCCAATGACTAACTTAAGCAGCAATCTGTGAGGTGACTATGTCTGTAAGCATGGTTAATTTAAAATGTATTCAGATAACGTGGTTTGCATTGACTTATGAACAGCATTTATTATTCCTTGTTTTGTTTTTATTGTGAACAGTACTTAAAATTTTTAATTGCACTTAAATTTTTAGAAGTTATTTTTGCAGTAGAAGGGCAGTAGACTGGCTCCTGTTTGTGTGTATTTTGGATAAAATCCCCAATTTAGTAGCATATGTGGTTTTCCTCCTCAATGATGTCAGTAACCTGTTGGTGCCAGTGCGTATGCTAAAGCTATCCTGACGCCTCCGGAAACCCGTGCCGCGGGGAGCTGTGTTCCGCACAGTTTTAAGCGCGTGCTTCCCTTCTCAGGATGAGAAGCTCTTCCAGCCGCCCGTGCTGGTGTTTGTGGCCTGCAGGCTGGGAGCCGACCTGCTGAGCGAGGCGGTCCGGAAGGTCACGGGCCTGAAGAGCGTGTCCATGCACTCGGAGAAGTCCCAGGGCGAGAGGAGGAGCGTGGTGCAGGTCTGATGCGCGGCGCCTTGTGGCCCTCTTGGTCCTGCAGCTCTGTTTTGCGAGGGTCTCCTGTTCAAAAGACACTGCGTTGCCAGCTGGTGTTTGAAGCAGACCTTTTTAACCGCTGAGGACTTGAGGGTGGCAGTGACTGCAGTGAACTGCCCCTCTCGCTGGCCTCTGTGGCTGGGAGCAGTCGGCCCGGTCCCCCGGGGCTGTCTGCTAGAGAGTGGACTGGCTCAGAAGTCCAGCTTCCTGACGTCTGGTCTGTGTGGACCGGCGCAGGTTTGCCTGAGCACGCGAGGAGAAAGCTCACTCGGGGGCTTGGGAGGGACTTAGCACCTCCCGTCTGGGACACTGAGACCCGAGTCCCGAAAAGCTGCCACAGCAACGAGGAACGAGGGTCAGAGGGGGGAAGGCCGCCCCGGTAGGTAACACTGCATTTTGTTGCTCTCCTGCGAAGGGCTTGCTGGACGGAGACCATGAGGTGGTGGTGAGCACGGGGGTCCTGGGACGAGGGCTGGACCTGGTCCGGGTCCGGCTGGTGGTGAACTTCGACATGCCCCCGAGCATGGACGAGTACGTGCACCAGGTGAGCCGCTCGGTGTGGGCGCCGCGCCTTCCCTGGGCGAGGCGTGGTCAGTGGGGCAGAGAAGAGAGCAGGTTCTCAAATGGACGTACAACTCGATTCTTCCCGCATAGGTACACATGTAGGTCTGCATATAAACTAAATTTTGTTTTTAAAAGCGCTCTGCCTTAAATGCATTAAAGCCTCATGAGAAATAGCAACCTAAAACGGGAGCTAAATTTTTGTAAGTAGTTGGTTTTGGTTTCTGTTTCCTTTCTATATTTCTTATTCTCTGCAGCCCGTTCAGTGGCTTTTATAATCAGAAAACAACGGGGCTTTGTCTTAAGTGCTGCATCTGCCCGAATGAAGAGCGCCCGTCAGCGTACTGGCTGTTTCAGGGATCGAGTCTTCGTCGCCCCCGCGTCCACGTCCCTTCTAGGCTTTCCCTTCTAAAGCTCCTCTCCCTGCGCCAGAGACGCCAGCCAGGGGCCCCGCTTCCCCGCGGGGACAGAGCCTGCTCTCAGCGCTGCGCAGCCTCCCTGCCGCGCCCGGCCCTCCTTCCACGGCTCTGCTTTCAGGCCCTTCAAGGAAAGCCTTTCTCCGATGTCCTCGCCATCGGCTCTGCCACCTCCTGTGCCTGGTGGCCCACAGGACGCTCTCCGTGCCTTTGTTTAATGTCCTGGTGGCCCATGCTGAGACTGGGCCCTGTCCCAGGGCCCCCCCCCCCCCTCCGCTCTTCTGCCTGCCGTCACCTAACGGACTGGGACGTTTGCTTCTCCACTCGCGGTGGTTCCAGATGGGGATCTTCCCAAGATATTACAGCGGCGGGAAGCGCCAAGGCTTCCTGCGGGGAGTGTGCTGATGTAACTCTAACCTTTTCCGTCACTCACAGGGGCACCGTGCTGTCACTCTACAGGGGCCCAGGGGCAGGGGACAGACGTGGAGACCTCCGGCCCTCGAGGTGGGCCTGTGTGCTGGTGTGCGTGTGCCCGTGTCAGTAACCAAAGCGTGCACACACATGATCACAAATAACAGATGGCAGGGGCCTCAGAGGAGAAGTGGGCCTCTTCCCTTGAGTGACCCCCCCGCCGAGTGCACGGCCCAGAAAGTTCGAGTGCCTTGGTCTGCGCGTGTCTGTCACACGGGCATGTGTGTGCCACTGCGGTGCAGCGTCGGTGAGGCCACGCCATGCTGCCTGTGGTGGGCCTGGACCTCTTTGTGAAGCATGTCACGGACACCGGTGAGGCAGGATAAACGCTCACACGTGTGTGCGTGTGGTATGGGCAGCACCGCGCTCAGGGTTCCTTGACGCCTTGACCTGCCTGCCCCGGCTGGCTCTGCTCTGCGCGTGGGCTGCTGGCGGGGGCGTGTGGGCACCCTGCAACCAGCAGACCCTCCACCGAGGGGCTGCCGGGTGTTTGTGGTGTGTGGTGTTCACTGCGCGCCCGGCACAGCGCTTTCGGGGACACATTCTTCGTTGCCAGCCAGCTGGTCAAAGGAGGGGTGCGTTCTACATTGTGATAGGTGTTCCCGTGTCTGTTTTTTTATTTTGGGGGCTGGGGGTTCCTGTGTTCTAGAGTTTGGAGACGGTGACAGTTGGTTTTCGACAGCTGTGTACTGAGATATTATGAAACATCTCTGTGTAAAGGTTTCAGTGGGCCAGTTCCCATCCTGTGCCGTTCATCATTTTAAAACTGGGGTCCAGCGGTTTGGATTTCAGTATTGTCATCGAGCTGCGTAGCCGGCACTGTGGTCAGTGTCAGAGGCTTCTCATCGTCCAGAGAGAAGCCATACCCGTCCTTTAGCAGTCACTGCCCATTTCCGATCTCTCACGTGTGTGCACACACGCGCACCGTAAACCGATTTCCCAAACAGTGATGCATTGATATAAATTGGGGAAAAGTGTGTGGCGCGTCCACGCAGACGCTCTGAAAGCCCCTTGCTCTTCGTTGCAGGTGGGAAGAGTGGGCAGGTTAGGCCAGAGCGGGACGGCCATCACCTTCGTCAACAACAGCTCCAAGCGGCTGTTCTGGGACATCGCCAAGAGGGTGAAGCCCACGGGGTCCCTCCTGCCCCCGCAGCTCCTGCACTCCCCCTACCTGCGCGAGCAGCAGCGGCGGGAACAGCAGCGGGACAGGCAGGCCCAGAGCCGCCTGGTCACCGGCGCCAACCTCCTGGACATTATCCGGAAGCACGACAAGACTCACGCTCCCAAGTGACCGGCGACCCGGCCTGAGCGTTGGCTGTCGGCGAACTTCTGTTTGTTGTTATCTACAGGTGAGCACATGAAATAAAAAATGTTTACGTTTTTTAACAATATCAAATTTATACAGGACTGTCATATTTATTTTTCTTTTAAATGCTCATATATCAAAAAGGACATCAGAAAAGGAATTGCTAAGTAGAAAACAGTTTTTTATTCCTGGGAGCGGCTGTCGGAACCAGCAGCCCGTGCAACGGGCTGCGTGTGAGCAGGAAGGCGGCCCCTTGCCCAGCGTCTTGCCGTCCTGCCTGGACGCAGGCCCGGGCTCCTTGTCGGAGGGAGGGATGCCAGGAAAAGCCAGGGGTAGAAGCGAGAAGAAATGGGAAGCGCACCTTTTACGTGGCAAGTTTGCAATTTCTTTTACTCCCAGTTGTTCTTCTTGCCAGTGTGGTGAACATACATCGGTCTCTGTCGATCGTGGCTGCTGACCGAAGGCCCATCACTGTGCTCACGCTGCTTCGCCATTGCTGCTCTGGGTTCCGGCCCCTTTGGCGACGGGGCCGATGGTGTTCGATTTGGGAGGGAAGGCTGCGCTTTGACAGGATGCTGTCATGGCTGAGACTGCACTGGCATCTGCTGGTTGGGAGAGTTACTGGGGTCACTACGCTACGTAAATGTCAATGCTTGAGCTTCGCACCCCTAGCATGAGCCCAAGGGGCGGTGGGGCAGTGTCTACTGGCTACCTAGAGTCCCCACCGAAGGACAGCCTCTGGTCAGAGGTTCCCCAAAGGGTCCCCCGAAGGGAGTGAGCCCTCAAGGCTCAGGGCACATTCCCCATGTCTCTATCTGCCGATGGGGGAGGGGCATGTTCACAGTCCTGGGAACGGGAGGAGGCCGCTGTCAAGACCCCGGTGTGGGAGAGGCGGAAACCAGAGCATCAGGGCCGTGCTTAATTTGTAGTGAGCGCCACGGGAGCTGTCGGCTGCGTCCCTGGCACAAGGGCGGTTTCTCACTGGACCCCAACTCGTGCGTCAGTTAAAGCAGGACGGCCGCACAATCAGGTGGCTTTGCGAACCAGCTTTTACCGGGCACAGCGTAAACCAAAGCAGGGGATGCTGGCCGTGGCGCAGCCTCGCCGGTCAGCTCTGGGGTCTGGCGGTCTGTCCCCTGCTGCTGTGCTTGGTCATTTCCGTTCACCTTCCTACGGCGGCGGTTTGCACTTGGGGCCTGGCTGACCAGCCCTTTCAGACTCACTCTGGCGGTGGCAGCTGGACACGCAGGGAGGGGCAGAGTCCCCAGCTCGGGCGCACGGCCAGGGTCTAGCATCCTGCATCCTGAGTCCTGCCTCCTGCGTCCTGCGCAGGTTGAGTCCCCAGTGAGCTCAGGGCAACTCAGTGGCTTCCTTCTCTTCCTCCTCCTGCTCCTTTTTTCGGTTCTTCCGGCTTCTCCCAATTCAGATCCTGGGTCCTCGTCCCTCATGACCTTCCCCGGGGCACATCTGTCCCTCACGTCCTCCTCCTGCCATCGGGGTCTGCAGGGACGTGGTTCCTCACTTGATGTGTTCTGCCGATCGCAGCTTGAAGCTTTTCTTTAACCAGTCCGCGTTGCTGAAGTCTTCCCCACTTAAAGATGCTGTTGTGAAAAGCCACCTTCCGCTACCAGCCCGCAGCTCGGTTGGTGAGTGTCCTCCCAGTATACCAAGGTTTGTGAGTTCGATCCCCAGTGAGGACACTTGTAAGAACCAACCAAGTAAGTGGGATGACAAAGGATGTTTCCATCTCTCTCTCTCTCTCAATTTAAAAAAATACTAAAATAAAATAATAAAGAGTGCTGTCCAGCACGTCATGAGAGGAAGGACATGAGATGGTGACCACAGAAGAAGGCACTCCAAGGAGGGGCTGGCTCTTCCCGAGGCGTGACGGCGGCCTCACGCCGGCCGGCAGCGTCCTGCCACTGTGATCGTCGGGCGTGTGAGGAAATCGCCTGGCTGGAATTTTCCCTGGCTGACACACACAGTCAGACATTTGCTTCACTTGGCCAGAAACTGGATTATTTGACAGAAAAACTGAGTTAGCTCTTTAATTGCTTTTTGCCAGGTTGAAGCAAGCATCTTTTTTTTTTTTTAAGATTTTATTCATTTATTTTTAGAGACGGGAAGGGAGGGAGAAAGAGAGGGAGAGAAACATTAACCTGTGGTTGCCTCTCAAGCACTCCAACTGGGGACCTGGCCTGCAACCCAGGCATGTGCTCTGACTGGGAATCGAACTGGCGACCCTGGGATTCGAAGGCTGGCGCTCAATCCACTGAGCTACACCTGCCAGGGCTTGTTTGCTGATAAAACTGTCCTGTGTTCTTCGGCAAGCTGACTCGCACTCCCCTGTGCCCATCGGTGAATTCACTGCAGCTCCCCTGTTGCCTCTGATGCCTACCAGCCACAGTCAGCAAGAGGGAGGCAGGTAGGGGACAAGAGGTGATGTGTCATTCAAGGTGACTTTGTTGGCAGCCACAGGTAAACCGACTCCAGGCAGATAGGGCTCTTTTGTTGTCGCCAGGACATACTTAGCGTGACCCCAGCGGGTCCGGGCCACAGTGTGAAAACCAGCCAGTGATAATTAGGAGTTCTCGCCAGGGCCTGGTTTGCAGTGGCCTTTGGCAACGTGGCACGGGGCGTCACCACCCAGAACGGCACGTGACGGAGGAGGTGACTGTTGACATTAGACGTGCTGACAAAGAGCAGTGTAACCAATTTTAAAGTGTCGGCTTGAGCTTTCCGGAAAATTTGCGCGGCGTCCTTGTTTTTCTTGGTGTCTCAGAAAGAAGAAAACTTGGCAAAGCTGCTTGCAGGTGCCTGCGTTGCAGGTTCGGCTCCAGCGGTTCTGCTTTTCCATTCTGGAGACTTCGTTCCGGCCTCTCCTCGTCAGCTTGGCTCGTGGCAGGGGAGGAGGCGTCCCTGAAACTTTTCTCAGATCTGCCCAAGTCTGTGCTTTCTCTGCGTCACACCTCGGACCCCCTGTCCCCCAAATCTAGATACAGGATAACATGCGCTGGGGGCTCTGGGGGAAGCAGGGGGTCATTACTGAGGCCAGGTGATGGGTCTGGAAGTTCATTACTATTTGGTCTACATGGGCTGTGTTTGAAATGTTCTGTAATGAAAACATATTTACACATAATATATAACAGGACTGGAGAGTCCTACCCTTTGACCTTTGACCTGTGCCCCAGTTACATATCTTCAGTTTCCCACTGAACTTTTCTGTGGGAAAAGTTCTGAGGTCTGAGGGACGTCTCCTGACACCCACTCACCCCCTTTCCCGAATCATGGGCCTGCTCCCCACAGTGGGCTGGCCCTCACTGCAGAGTGTCTGTCATACTGATCCCCTCATTTCTGTCCCCACGCCAGTCACCTCGGCTGCTCCTGACCCCCACAGGGCCCACGCAGTGGCCTCATCGGCCTGCTGGCCCCTGCCTCTCCCCCGCCCTCCGTCTCCCATTCCCGCCGCTGTGTCTGCTCACCTCCCCCGAAGCCCAGATCTTACCTTGAAACACACCCAGGGGCCAAGGCCCAGCTTTGAAGTCCAGTCGGCCCATTCCCTTGTCAGCCAGTTTCAGCCACTGTTGTTAAACACAAAACGGGCGGGGTGGGGGGGGTCTGGAGCCAGGCCCCAGCTCAGCCCCCAGCTCTGAGTCGGGCAGTGTCGGCCTAGAGCTCTGGCCGCCCTGGCAGTCAGCGGGCGGGGTTGGGACCAGGGACGAGCTGGCCCTCAGAGATGCCAGCTGGGGCTCGGTGAGCTGTCGGGAGAGGGCGACCTGGAGGGGTGGGGGGACGACGGAGAGGAAGGGACCCCCCACTCACCGCCTATTTCATTTCTCAGTGAAACCCTCCCCTCCACAGAATGGAAGCAGACGTGAAATGCAGGGCAGGGAGGCTGGGGTCAGGGGCGAGTTCTGTGAACATGAACCCAGGACCCCAAATGGCCTGGTGCAGGGAGGGGTCAGTACAGGCCGAGGGCCCGCACCCAGCACTGCAGACGAGCAGGTCCCCGTGGTCGGTGCGCCCATGCGGGGGCCTTCAGCACAATGGTCGCACGGAGCCCACGGTGTCCTCGGGACGAGAGTTGGCTTTCAGGTGGACCTGTGATGGGGGGGATCAGCTGCTAACTCCAGGAAGAGGCCCAATCACTCACGATGGAGGCAGGTGAGGGAAGTGGGTGGAAATGGGGCTGACCGCATTCAGCCCCACAGAGCTGGAAGGGCCCGCACCCAAGTCCCGTCTCTCCAGAACGTGTATGTGGAGCCGTCACAGTCGCCGGAAACAACAAGGAGAGAGCCCTGGGCCCAGGTCACCGTGTCCGTACTTGGAACGGGGCCTTTCTGGAGCAGAGGAAGGGACTGCCCCTGTCTGTGAGGGAATGCGGTGCCCACAGCCTGTTCGGAGTCCAGGCCAGTGCTGGGCCGTCACTGCCCGGAAACGGAGCGTTGGGTTACAGAACGGAGTGAGGGAAGCCACGGGGGAGGTTGGCTCAGGAATGCGCTGGACTGTTTTTCGAAGGCATTTTTCATTCTCTTTCTGAGCTGAGGGCAAAAAAGCAACTCTTAGCTTTGGCTCAGGGGTCAGGTGTGCCCACGGGGGCCCCCAGAATTCTTTCCATGCTTTTGTGCTCACACCTTTGCTGACTCGGGACTTTGCTGTGCTGTGTAGTTCTGTGATGAGGCTTCTAGATTAATTAAAGGGAGAGTGAGGGACTTGAGCTGAGCCCAAAGCGTAATTTTGAAGTTTGCACTAATTTGAGCATAGATAGGGACATGAGAGCTCCGGCTGGCCTTCAACTGCATAAAGTCAGAAACAGCCTCAAACCACAGACCACCCACAAACAGAGGGCCCACAAAGCCAGATGGATAAAGATGGGGGGCCCAGAGGGTGTGGCCAGCGGCTGGGAGCTGGAGAGTTTGGTTTCTGTTCACTCAGCTACAACGCAATGGGCTCACGATTCACTGGCACATTTGTAACCCGACCTGAAGGCCCCTCTTTGTTTCCTATAATCAAGGATGGATGGAGAGAGACAGACAGACCCCTGAGACCAACGCTGTGCCCATTGGGCTCTCAGAGTGGGGCTGGGACTGCGTGCCCGGGTGCCCAAGGAACGACTGTAAAATAGTGATCGTTTTTATGTTGGTCACATGACCAAAATGATATTTTGGATGTGTTACATTGAATAAAATACATTATTGAAACGAATCACTGTTTTCTTAATACATCACTCAAAGACTGCAGTCACAGGTAGCTTCCGTGACACTGGATAGGCTGCTTCTGGCTTTCAGACAGGGGGACAGGTTCCTTGGTAGCAGTTTGCATCCCCCTTGGGAAATTTCGGGTGAGGGGGAGCAAACTGATCGACTAGAAGTGAGTTTTCGTTTCCCTCTCTCGGGGGTGCACTGGGCTCCTCCGGTGGACGTCTGGGGTTCTGTGGTGCAGGATTCGTGGGGGTTCTGAAGAAACGCGGTGGGGAGTCGGAAAGGACAGAGCGAACAGGGCTAATTCTTTGGGTGTAATTTCTCGTGAATGAAACTTGTAACTTCATATAGGCCTACACCATGGCTTCTGAACCCGTTTGTCTTGGGAGACAGCGAAGTGCCACCTCAACTCATTTGTATTCCAGAGGAAACTGAGAGAATGCCCATCCAACAGGACTCCGAACGGTCTCCTGTGCCCCAAACCGTTGTGTCTGGGGGGTAAATAACCAGAAGTCTTTCTGATGGTGGATTTCTTTGTTTCTGGAGTGAGTCAGAGGACCGACTGTGATTAAGCCTCATGCAAACGGCAGAGGCAGGCAGAGGCGTGTGGCTGGGTGCAGAGTGCTGCCGTGAGGCGCAGGAACATGTCCTCACTCCCCTGGACGTGCTCTGAGTGCGATTCCTGCCATCCAGGTGGCTTCTGGCAATCAGCAGCCCTTTCAAAGCCACAAATATGAGAAGTAATCACTTGGCAAAATCTTTTTCTCTGCTGTTTTCCAAATGAGAAAACTAATTTCTATAAATGTGCAAATTACAGATGATTCTAAAAAAGAATTAAGGGTATTGTTTTACACAACTCTACACATTCTAGACACTGTTAGCATTGAAATTCACTAATAAAAGAAATGAGACATTGAACTATGTAGGGGCAAACACAGACGGCTGAGTGACTGACTGGGGCACACTCAACATCCTTCCTGAGACCACCAAATACCTCTTCTTATACTTACTCCACGACCTTTTCATTCTCCACTGTAGGAAGACAGCTACAGTTCTACTGGGAAGAGTCAGCATTGTTCCCAACAGGCTGTCGGAAATGATCTTGAGCCTTGTTGGCAGGGCACAGTGGGAACAAAGTACCTGATTGAAGGTCAGACTTGGCCTTTTGAAGAAATTGTCCATCCTGAGTGGACCCTCGAGCTTCCTTTAGGTAAAAATAGGTTACCCCGTAGGCTCTGGAGCTGACAGTGGTTTCTGAACATTACTAATCATCTCTGGAATGAAACCTGCATGATTCAAAGAGGAAAGAATGTCTGGAACATTTGCTAACCCCTGAGCTCTCTTCTTTCTATATTAAGAAAGGATTACTAGCTTGATGGAATTGCCTCTTTTCGAATTACTGGTAGAATTGCTAAATGCATTTGGACTGAATCACTGAGTGATCACAACTGACCTCATAAAGACTTCATCTACCAGACCAGACCAAAAAAGAGCACGCACATATTCCCGACTCCTGGTCTAACCTGTATTCATTCAAATTTAGAAAGTACACATTTAAAACTGTTTTTGTTTGTTTTACTCAGCTTATCAAAGAGTCACAAAAATTTGAGGACCAGAAAGAATCTTCATAGAAGCAGTTGTACCGGGTAGTGCTGGGGGGCCTGGGCAATGATACCCAATTTCCCAAGCTCTGAATGTGACTTAACAGATGTGTAGTATCAGGCAAGCTACTCAACTTCCTGGAGACTCAGTTTCCCTCACCTGTGAGAGAGCACTCATCCTAACTGCAGCAGCCCCTGTAGGCTGTGCACAAGGCGGGGGCGGACTCAGGAATTGCCAGCTGTGAGGGTTTAATCCAGGGACCACGCCTCCCGGATGAAGGGGCTGCAAGAAAGGGATGGGTGGTCCCTCCATTAGGGCTTGGTGGGGCCACAGCTGGAAATCAGGTGCTGTGCTCTTAGCACTTCTCAACTTGGTCCTTTGGATTTTAAAACCATTCCTTTCCATTGACCTATCTGTTATGGACCCAAAGGCAACTCAATACCAACACCCACAAAGCAAGAAACTGCAGCCCACATTTTAGCCATGAAAAAACTATGAAATCAAGTCAATTGTTGTAAATTTGTATTCTAAGAGACCGTTAATTGGCCCGAGAGAGTGGTTTTTCTTTAAACCTTAACCTAATCTAGAAGAAGGCTTCCAAAGCGCTTGCTTCGCTTCTGAACTGTTTTCTTTCCGTTTGTCTCCCTCTGGTGGGTTAAAAAAAATACATACTTGCTTTTGTTTTCAGAATCAGTGGATTTGGGATAGGTTTCGTTCGAGTTCAGGTAGTGGAACTGCTAGATAAACGTCTTGCCAGGATGGGAGTCTTTGCACTGTTTAATTCGTAATTTCATAATTATTATGGAGTGAAGACTTGACAGTTGTAATGAATGTTCTTTTTCCACGTTTTTAGAGCATTTAAGGCACGGAGAGCTTTTCCGGTTTGGGATTTTCAGGATTAAGTGGAGAATGGTCCGTATCAGACTTTCAATCCAGTTCCCATTTCCGCGCTCTGCATCGGAAATACTGGAAAAGGGTCGTTGAGATTCACTGGGGCACAAACAGCTGTTTTTACGATGCGGAAGTGGGTAGACTCTACGCTTATTTTATGCGGAGGATCGACAAGTGTCTTTGTCCTGGTTCTCATTAAACACCCACGTTAGCGTTGGCCACCTGCGGCCCATAGCCCCGCCGTGGACCAGGTATAGCTACCCACCGTTCACAGTCGGGGCGAGCCAACCACCCTGGCTTCGGGGGGCGTTGACGGAAAGTGAAGACGCACTCTCTACGCGACGTCCAGCAGCCAATCAGAAGCCCCCGTCGCGACGTAAACAGATAATCAAACGGCGACCTCCACCAGCCAATCAGAAGACGGGGCGCCTATTCAAACTGTGGGCATCCGGGGAGCGGGCAGTGAGTGCTCGGGGCGCGGTGTGGAGAGTGAAAGGTATGGGTGCCGTGAGGGGCGCGCGGCTGTGGTAGTGCGGGCGGCAGTGTCGGCTCACGGCGTCCCGGTCGCGGCCCCGGAGGAGGTTCCGGTCCCTGGAAGCGGGGAAAGAGGGGAGGGACTCCCGCAGTGGCGGCTGGACCTCTGGTGCTGTCACCGCCGGAGGCTCGCCCGGCGGCGCGGGAAGCTCCCTTCACTATCCCGCCCTCGCGGTGACAGGCTGAGGACAGAACCCGGGGACGCTGGGGAAGGACGGGCGGTGATTTCTTTCCCTGGCGTCGGTCCCGGTCTGATGTAGAAACTCCTCAAATTTTTCATCTCTTCCCGTGAGGAGCAGAGTTTTCAGCTGCGGTGGAGCGTCTTGCCTTCCCATTTCCAAGTAGGAAGGCTCTCTGCTTGGAGCCGAAAGCTTGACTGGAGGTGTTAATGCCCAGGTGGTTGGTTATTGGCTGGGAATTTGGAAAGACCTCCTTAAAAATTAACTTATTTTCTTCCTGGACAGCACACACTCCAGGGAATAGTTTGAGCAGGTGTCACTGTACAAGTGAACTAGGCACGGAATGCAAAGGCCTGTTTGCCCGGACACAGCCCGTTTGGGGCAGAGTTGGCTGCACTGCTGTTCTCCGCCCCACCCCTGGCCCCCAGCTTTTATGCTGGGTAGACGCTGATAACCAGTGCGGTGGCAGGACCAGTTATCTAGTTCCCGCTGGGACTGCAAGGCGCCACGTGGTGGTGCCCATCAGGAAACTTTGAGACAAGTACAGGTTCATTACACACAGCACTGGAGGCTGCTTCCACTGCTGGGGAGGGTGATGCCAGGCTCCTGGCTCATTTGGAGCCGCGACCCTGTGGGCCACCCAGGAAGCTTCCCTGGGGTTTGGGGTTTATCAAGGTCAGGTGACACCTAGGTGTGTGTTCCGGTTTCCAACTCCCGGGAACCCTATGAATGAGTGATGTCCACAATGTCCTGTCCTTACAGCCCTGCGGCCCCTTTCATGGGTCTGTCCACCTCCCAGTTGGTCCCCTTTCCTGCTGCCTCTGTTATTCCCAGTGTTCCTGTCTTGTCTGACATCACTGCCTTCTCACGACGAGCCTGAAATAGGAGAGACTCAGGGCTGCTGGTCTGGCTATTCTAGTGCAGGGTGTCAAACTCATTGTCACCGGGGCCACATCAGCCTTGAGGTTGCCTTCAAAGGGCCGAATGTAATGTTAGGACTGTATACGTGTAACTACTCCTTAGCTGTTAAGCGAGAGAGCTCAGTGCTGCTGCTGGGCAGAAACCAGGAGGAGGCTGGATTTGGCCCTCGGGCCGGGTGTTTGCCACCTGTGTTCTAATGCATTCCTCTGGGAAGCTACTTTCACTGTGAAAGGTTCTCATATTTTTAAAGCCTGTTTGTAGTCTGTGCAATAACATTTTTTTCTCTTTGTAATTTAACAGACACTTTTGGAGACTGATAGGCTGGAAGTCAAACGAACATCCAGAGCAGACCTTAGGTTCTTCGACAGCCTTCTTTGGAAATAACTCGCTGCCATGATGTCAGTGCCCACGGCACACAGTGGAAATAACGGTGATGTCCTCTGCACTCCTCCTTCTCAAAAGGGCCGATCTGAGAACGACCTCAGCATCAGGAGCAGCCCGAAGCTGCGGGCGAAGTCAGACGTGTCCGAGCCTGAGAACGATGACCCGTTGCTGGGCTCTGCCAGGAGACGCAGAGACATAAACTGCACCTACTTTCTCTCTCCCTGTGAAAGGCCCGGGGACTCGGCCCTCACCCCTCGCCCTGCTGGCCGACTGGCCCTTCAGAGGAGAGTCACAAGGAGCAAAGAGTCCTCGCTGCTCGGGAGTGAGGCGGGAGAGTCACCTGAGAAAGCGGCAGAAATGCGCCTCACGCTGCAGCGGCGCGCTCGGCCCGGCTCCACGGCCCGGCGGACAGCGGTGCGTGCGGAGGGAGGCGCTCTGTGGGACACCACTGCAGGCGGAACGGCGGTCAGTGCGGGTGCCGGCTCACTCCCTGTGCCCTCGGCGCCCTCGGCCGCAGGCATGAAAGACACTGAGCCGGTGGCCAGTGAAAAAGACAAGGAAAGGCTTTCCGCCCTCAGCGGGGCAGACGAGAGCGAGACACTGACACTGAAGTGCCTGAGCCACAGCACACCCGTCCGTCCCGGGGTCGGTCCTGGGAGTCAGACTGAAGTCGCGCGATCAGGACACTTGGCCACGAAACCCGTGCAGAGCAAGCAGGACATTGGGGTGTCGGGACCGGGAAACTGGTGTCATAGAAGCACTGGGAAGGACATTGTGAAAAACACAAGTGAATTTGCAAGCTTAGAAAAAAGGACACCCACCCAGTGTCCCAAGGAACCCAGGCTGACCCCACGGGGGGGCACGTCGCAGCTGAAGAGGCCGGCTGCAGCCACCCCGAAAGTCGGCACGCCCGGCATCCGAGTCCGGCCAAAGCTGAAAGGCTCTCGTCTCGAAAACAAGGGGGAAAGGCCCCCAGAACATACACTTCCTCCCCAGGAGGAAAGCGCGGGGCGGGGCGGCCCTGCAGAGAGAGACCCCTTAAAGGTGGAGAGCAGCCAGGTGACAGTGGCCGTGCGTGTGAGGCCTTTCAGCAAGAGGTACGGGGGTTTTCACAGAGAGTGCCGAGAGGCCGGGTTGTAGTCTGCCGGTCGTCTTGGGTGACTGGCTGTAAAGGTAAAGAGTCGAAATCACCACGTTTTGCAAACGTAGGTTTTTCTAGACCTGCTGCTTTTAGAAAGCCTCACGCGGTCTGCTCTCAAGTCCACATTCTATGGTGGGGTTGCCGACCTCCCCTTCACAGGCGCCGCGGGGGTCTCTCACCCCAAAGGGGTCCCTCACCCCAAAGGGGTCCTTCCAAACCCTTCCAAGGGGCAGCTGTCCCCACTGTCATCTCTGATACAGGTGCTTGTAGGGGTGGCCACTCATCAGACGTGATTCTGATGGCAGAATGGTCTCTCGTTGAAGTGCCACGGGCAGGGCAGGCACAGGTGACACGTCTGGGCTGAGAAGACAGACGTGACACAATGAGCTGGTGGCATCTAATCATTTTCACACACTCGGGGGGACGACTGGGAAGCCCGAGTCAGTAGCTTTCGCCTCCGATGCATCTGAGCAGGAGGGTCTGCTGGCCCAGCCTCTGGTTAGAACGTGGATGGTCGGTGGTCACAGGTCGGGTTGGGGGTGAGGAGGGCTGAGGGCGCCTGATTGGAGAGTGGGGAAACCTGATGGAAAAGCCGCAGGAGCCATGGAGGGGGCTGGCAGGCCAGGCCCGCGGTGGGTGGGGCGTCTCTGGGCTCAGTGGGTGCACCCCATCAGCATGGTGGGTGCGGGACAACCCCTGTAGTGCCGAGGGGGCGGCTTCCAGGTTCTGATCTAAAGCAGAGTCCGGGGCAACGGAGGGACATTGGGGCCAGACCAGGATGTACTACCTTCTGCAGACCTTCAGCAAGTTAGAGATTTCCTCTGGGTCTGTGGTGGGCGGAGGGTGGACTCGAAGGTCGTGGCTCTGAGGATGGGAGGGACCGGAGCGGTGGTGGGGACACCGTGAGTCACAGCAACCTTTACCTGGGTTTGCTGAGATGACACCGGGACACCTTTCTGTAGATTTGCACGTCCGAAATCACTTTACAGCGTGTTAAAAATAAGTGTCCGGCCTCGAACCAGGTGTCCAGTGGGTCACAGGAGCGGGAAAGGGAGAGTCCGAGAGGAAAGCGTGGGGAGACCGTGGGAGCAGGGTCGGCTTTCCGGGGACAGGCCTGAGCTGCGCTGTCCCTGAGGAGCCCCGACCCTCAGCCTGCACACGCACCGCAGTTCTGTTTGCGGCTCAGCACTCTCCGCGGGAAAGGAAGGCATGAGCTTGCCCTGAGGACGGCCACCTCACCACGTCCCGCGGTGCCGGTGCTCCGTGGGGTGCTGCCTGCACCAACGGCCATGACTTGGCATTTTCCTCTGTGCTCCTTCTGAAGGGAGAGGGACGAGGACGCAGCCCAGGTGGTCTTCGTGAACGGGGAGGAGATAGCCGTGCGACACCCTGACACTAGGCACGTGTACACCTTCGTTTACGACGTCTCCTTCTGGTCCTTTGACGAGGGTCACCCGTGCTATGCCGGCCAAGACGCGGTGTACGGAACCCTGGCGGCCCCCCTCCTGGCCCGCGCACTGGAGGGTTACAATGCCTGCCTCTTCGCCTACGGGCAGACCGGCTCGGGGAAGTCCTACACGTAAGTTTCATTGCAAATGCAACTCTGCAGACAGGTTTGCACCTTTTTGTTTTAATCCTCACCCGAGGACACGCTTATTGATTTTAGAGAGGGGGGAGGGAGGGAGAGACAGAGAAACTTTGACATGAGAAACTTTGGTCAGCTACCTCTCATACCTGCCTAGACCTGGGACCAAACCCACCACCCAGGCATGTGCCCTGACTGGGAATTGGACTGGCGACCTTTCGGTTTATGGGACGAGGCTCCAACCCACTGGGCCACACCAGCTGGGGTGGGGGGGTGCACATCCTTTGTGAGAAGCATTGTAGTTGACAGGAAGCATGTAGTTTTGAAACCGAGTTGGGTCTGGGCTCCAGTCTCCTGGGTTTTCCAGACCAGCTCATGAACCTGGCGCAGTCGCTCAGCCTCTGGGCTTCGGTTCATGTGGCCCCGTGAACACCATTGGCCCCATTTCGCTGCGCATGTGTTTGTCGCCTGGACCAGAGCCCTGCGAGGCTCAGTCGTGAGTGTCATCCTGAGAAGTAGAGGTCAGCCACCTGGCTGGCGGTTTGGCGGGCACGCCTGCCCGGATGGGAGCAGTGGGCGGTTCCACCACGGCCACAGTTTGGGGAGTGTCACCGTGGTGCAGGCACCGTGCTAAAGCTTTCTCACACAGCCCTCCAAACTGGAGAGTTCCCGTGGGCCCCCTTTTAGATGAGGACACGAGGCTCACTGGGGCCAAGGGTCTGTCCAAGGTCACAGAGCTGACGAGGGCTGATTGGAGGTTGAACTTGGGCTAATGGGGCTCCAGAGCCTTGGTCCTTAGACACGAACAATGAGGTTTAATTAGCTGTTCCCGCGCCCTCCTCAACCCCGTTCTCCAAGCAAGAGTTTTAAACACCCGGTTAGTTTCCCTTCTGCTCTGTCCACATTGTATTTTCCAGGATGATGGGGTTTGGTGAAGAACCAGGAATAATCCCAAGATTCTGTGAAGACCTTTTTGCTCAAGTAGCCAAAACCCCAGAGGTAGGTTCCCACGGGGCCTACGGGCCTGCAAGTGGGGCTAGAGAGGAGGCTGACACTCAGCCCTGCGTGCTCTGGGCTCAGCTCCGGCCCTTGGCCAGGGACCGCACTGGAGGGAGACCCCAGCCCCCCGGGTCGGGTGGCCGCACTCCAGGGCCCCGCATTCCTTCCCCACCTTCCCGGCCTGTCCTGGTCCCCGCTGCTGGCGAGGCCACTTTGTTCCCAGCCAGGATCCCTCATTAGGGGTCTGGACGTCCGGTCGCTGCTCTCGCCCACCGGAGGGTGTGTTTCTCTGCGCTGGGGCCTCAATCCGTCTGCGTGGAAAGAGGCTTGTCCGCTTTCGATTGGGCTGTTGGTTGCTGTTGGGCTGTTAAGAGTTTTTACACGTTCTGGGTGCTGGGCCCTCATCAGGTGCACACTTTGCAAAGAATGCAAGGACTTTAGAAATGAGTGGCGTGCTGTTTCTGTTCTGACCAGGTTGGATACCAAGTTGAAATGAGCTTCTTTGAAGTTTACAATGAGAAAATCCATGACCTTCTGGTTTGTACCGGTGAAAGTGGGCAGACAAATCAACCGGTAAGATCAAAGCCGTTTATTATTGGTCTTAATTTCTGTTTTTGTGATGCGTGTAATTATATTCGATCTCGAGATGACATGTGTGGCCCAGGCTTTCACTGAAGGGCTGTCATGGGACAGCCGGTGCCTGGGCTCTGCCGGAGTGAATAGTGGAAGTTCGGTTCCTTATTCAGGTCCACCTTCTTATTTTTGGCAAGTGTTGTGTGAATTAAAGATAAAAGACTCGCTCTAAGATGCAGCTGGACAACTTAGCCACTCAGTCCCCAAGGTCTGCAAAGCTAACACAGCCGCAAATGCCGACAGGGACTGTGCCGTTGCTACAGCGATGCGTTTCGCGGGACTGTTTGGCCAACTGCTGTCCTGTAGGTAGCATTTCCTGGGAAACAGAAAAATTTCACAAATTTTCCACATACTCCGTGAGCATTCTAAAAAGCTGCTGTTAGAATGAAAAGTTTTTAACTCTGAAAAGGGCCTCGGAGCACAAGCTGCCGTCTTCGGAGGCCCCTGCTCTGGGCCCCCACCTGACCGGGGCAACACCCCGGACATCAAACCTGCCCGGGCGTTCTCTGTGCCTCTGCGTGGTTGGGGTTTCTGGTCACAGTGCGTGAGCCACGCTGTGTAAGTGCACATGGTGTGAGGTTCTGGGCTGTAGTGGACACGGTCTGCAGAGGCATGTCAGGCCCGTGCGTGGCGGCTGCCGTGGGGTTCGGCATGCCCACGGCCGGGATGGGGGTGTGTGGGGACACTGAGCAGCTGCGGGGCCCGCACAGGTGTCGGCTGGGGCACGAGGCAGTTTCAGTGCCTCTGGGTCTGTGTCTGTGAGACCCTGTAGGGCTATCCCTGTGCAAGGTGAAGACACCTGTACCTTAAACCCAAGGCAGGAAACGCCACTGAACATTGTCTTCTGTGCACACTGTCTGGCGTCCTCACTGCCGCTCTGCTTCCTCCCTGCAGCTGCGTGTCAGGGAGCACCCTGTGTCCGGGCCGTATGTTGAAGCTCTGACCGTGTAAGTAGCATGTGAGCTGTGTGTTTCCCTGGTGGTCCGGCCTTTCTCAGCCCCTGTGGAGGCCTGGCCTGCAGTGTTCACTGTGCTGAGGGGGAAATAGTGCCCCCACTCTACTCTTCCTACTGATTCCTCTAAGCTGACCAGGGGAGGAGGGGCTCTGGTGTGCTGCCCCCCCCCCAGTGTGAGACAAGCGGAGGGTCCCTCACTTTGCCCGTCCACAATCCGAGAGCTTTCTGGAAGGACAGGGCGTGGTGAGGTGCAGATGCAGCTCATTGGGGGAATCTAGGGTTGCGCTGCAGCCCACATGCACCAGCGTCCCCACACTCCCAAACACGCAGTACGTGTCGCTGTGTGTGTGCCCATGGTCTCGGGCCGAGACTTGCACGCTGCTGTGGGGAGATGCTGAGGCACTCTGCTGGGTTAGGGACAGTCACACTGTGTATTTCGCGAGAGCAAGAGTGCAGGCAGCAGTAAAACCGATTCTGTCTTCCTCCTCTTCAAACACAGGAATGCCGTCAGCTCCTACTCTGATGTCCAGGTAAGGGGGGTACTTGTTCCTTCCATAGACCCAATGATCATGACCATGTATGTACAAAAGAATGTTTCTCCTCATCTGCCGTCTGCGCCAGCAGAAGGTTAATCTTGCTATTGCCTCTTAAGAATTGCTCTGCTGAACTGGAAGTGAGGATTCACCATTGTGTCCACTTAGGGTCATAGACACTGCCGTCTGAAGTTGTCACTTTCTAACTCCGAGTGCAGTGGCAGACAATGGTTGGGGGGGTGTGCATTGCCAGGTGCTACATGTTTACTGATGGTCTCCGTTTATGAACTAGCACACACGTGTGTCTCCACGGCGCTCAGGGCACGTGCTCCCTGTGTGACCCGGCCCTGGCGACCTCTCTCCCCAGGGCTGGCTGGAGCTGGGCAGCAAGCAGAGGGCCACGGCCGCCACAGGGATGAACGACAAGAGCTCCCGGTCCCACGCGGTGCTCTCCCTGCTGATGACCCGCACGCAGGTGGGCCGCTCCGGGTTTCTCTGGGTCAAGGGCAGAGGCGTGTGTGTCAGTGTGCGAGATAATGGGTTTAGGAGAGCCACACAATAAGGGAACCAGCTGTGGCATAGGTGGCTCCATGTCTTTCTCACTGCTTCAGAACCAATGATATATACTGTTGATTTGCCCTGGTGTCATTGATGTTGCATCACTACGCGAAGACACGTTATCAGTAATACATGGTGACTATTGGACAGTGTTTGGAAAATCGTATTGGAAAGTAAAAGGTTTTCAAAGACTGGGCCGTAGGTCCCATCGCTGCCGTCAAGCCTCTCTAAACATTGGGTGACTGCTGTCTCAGCTGTGTCACAGTCCGTGTCTGTGTCGCGTGAACAGTTCACAGGGCCCGTGACAGCTGTCAGCCACCGAAACTGTCTGACAGTATATTTTACATCTGCCGAGTGTGGCGCTGGCTGACGGCTCCTCGAGGCTCTTCTCTGCCGTTGGACATTTACGCTGCTTTTAAGCCCTTGCCCTTCAATGCTGGGACACACACCGCTGCACGCCCACCCTCTAAGCCATCTGTGGCGTGTCCTTGATGTGGTCGTGTCCTCAGGGCTTCGTCCCTTGCAGGTCAGGCCCTTCACTCTGGCCTGTGCTGTGCATGCAGCCTGGGTTCCTTCTGGGTGGCTTCTTATCGCGGGCTCAAGGAGGGACCCTTTCAAAAACAAGTGGCTGGCTTGTACCCTTGTACAGCTCTCCCTTTCGAAGACTCGTGTTGACGGCAAGTCACGGGAACTTACCACGTGTCTTTTTCACGCCATTTTGCCACAGACGGAGTGTGTGGATGGAGAGGAGCTCGAGCACAGGGTGACCAGCCGCGTCAACCTCGTGGACCTGGCGGGCAGCGAGCGCTGCGGCAAGGCCGGGACCTGCGGGCAGCAGCTCAGGGTGAGGGGCGTCCCCAGGGGCGGGGCACCTCCCAGGGCAGGGTCTCTAGGGGACTGCAAACGAAGTAGACCCGCAACAGCAGCCAGGTCTGCCCGCCTGCAGCTCCTGGGCCGCACTGCTGGGGCCGGCGGGAAAGCCGCGCTTTGGGGTGTGCATGCTCTCCAGTGCAGCAGGTGGTTGGGGGGAGACAGGGCTTAGTCTGTGGCCACGGAGGAGGAGCATGGTTGCCGGGCAGGTGCTTTCCGGGTAGTGACTGGACACTGAGCTGCGCTTTTCTCCCGCACACAGGAAGGGGTGAGCATCAACAAGTCCTTGCTGACTCTGGGCAAGGTGGTGTCTGCGCTCGCGGAACATGGACGCCAGAAAGGGGTGTTTGTCCCCTACCGTGAGTCGGTGCTCACATGGCAAGTGTCCTTTGAACTTGAAAGGGTCGTTGTGTAACCTGGGGCCAAACCGCCTGGGCTGGGCCTTGCTTTGGGAGGTCGGCAGCGGCTGCCCTGCCCTCAGAGCTGCAGCGAGGAGGGAACTGGAACAGAATGGGCCACGTAGGGATCCGCGGTGTCGCTGTCAGCTGGCGAGCTGCGCCAGGAGGCTCCGATTAGTGCCTGGGGTTGGAGTGCGGTGGCCCCACAACACATGTACTGCGAGCAGCCACGCCGGACGGTTTGGGGTGCGAGTGTTTTCACGAAGGACATACACTGCATGCACCTCCGATCCCTCACCCTGAGGCTGCACCCATGGGTGTGACCTCCCGCCCCGAGCCCCCCCCGCAGACCTGGGCGGGAGCACTGGATCCGTTTAAAGGCCTGAAAAGTTAAGAGCTGTGGAGTTTACTCTTCAGGAATCAAGACGGACTTTTTAGCCGCGCACCCTTTTCCCTCTAAAATAAGGCCTTTGCATCTAGTAGAGAACAATGTTTGATTCTATGTCGGTTCACCATCTTCACCATGTACCTGCTCCACAAGGCGTGGTGTAGCTCTGGACGCCGAGACAGCCAGTCCCTTTCCGGAGCTGCCGGAGCGCTGGGTGGGAGCGCCGGGTGCCGTGGTGGCGCCGCTGCCGGCAGTGGGACCCGGTGCGCAGGCGGCCGCTCCGCCGCGCAGCACAGCGCGAGCGGAGCCGCAGTGCTCGCGAGATCTGCGCGGAGCGCGCGCTGGGCCGAGGGCTCCGCTCAGCCTCCTGGGCCCCGCGTGCGGCTTCGTGCTTCGCGCAAAACCTCCAGTCGGGGCCGTAGAAGCGAAGCCCAGTGACGGTCTTTTCTCTCTAAGGCTGTTGAAGGAGAGCCTGGGCGGCAATTCGAAGACGGCCATGGTGGCCACGGTCAGCCCGGCCGCCGGCAGCGTGGAGGAGACCCTGAGCACGCTGCGCTACGCGCACCAGGCCCGCAGCATCGTCAACGTGGCGCGCGTGAACGAGGACGCCAGCGCGCGGCTCATCCGAGGTGGGCGGGCGGCCGGTGTGGCGTGGGCTTCCGTGCGGGTCGAGGCTGGGTGGGGGTCCGTGGGCAACGGAGGGGCAGGGAAGCCGAAGTTGGAGGAGAGTGCCAACGGCGGGAATTCTGCCGTATCACATACCACCAGTCACGCGTGTTTCTATAAATATTTAGACTTGAAAGCAGAAATTGAAAAGCTGAAAGAGGCTCAAAGGTGCCATCAGAACATCGACCCGGAACGATACCGGCTCTGTCGGCAAGAAATAACTGCGCTGAGAATGCAGCTACACCGGCAGGAGCGGGACATGGCCTGTATGCAGAGGTGGGTGGCAGGGCGTGACGCTGCAGGGGGTCCGCGCGCCGTCCTTCCTGTTTTCCCACGGGGATGCGGCAGCCACCCGCGGACCCCCTCGTACCCCCAAGTGGTTTGGTAATCCTTGTGGACTGTCTGTTGACTCTTATCATGTGTGTGTAAATATACATGTATGTGTTCCTCTTTTATTTTGTTTGTCTTTGGAAAGAGCGTGGAAAGAAAAATTTGAGGAAGCGGAAAAAAGAAAACATCAGGAAATGGAGGAGTTACAGGTACGGTCTCGCCAGTTCTCACCGACGGAGAAGGTGCAGTGGCCGGGAGATCCCTGCTTGCCACGCCCCAATCCACCGGAAGCAGGACCGGAGGGGGTCAGGGTGCAGCGGTGCCCCCTCAGGGTGTGACGGCTTCCGTGATCAGCTCGCCGGACAGTTAGAGCGAGCTGCACAGACGCTCGCTAAACGCCTCTGCTGTGGGGGCGTGGGGACCTCTCCTTCCTTAAGACACAGGGGAGACTCGAACGTTGTATAGGGACCGGTCCTGAGGGAGAGCGGAGCGGGCGGTCCGGGTGGAGGTGGGGGAGGTCAGGGCAGTGTTTCAGGCTGTCCCGGTGAGTCTATGAGGATGCAGAGGAAGGGCCTTCCCTGGGAGAGGTGGGATGCGAGTGGGGCTTGGAGGCGGAATGAGCATCGATGGGGGTGGGCAGGAAGCGTGCTTCCAGGAGGCAGCCTGCTGTAGGATGGGGAGCGAGGGGTGTGAAGAGCCCCGAGAGCGGGTGTGGCCCCGTGTCATTGCAGCCCAGTGGGGAAGGCCAGAAGGAGATAACTGGAGGGTGGTTCTGGCTTTGGGTTTAGGGCTTTGTGTCCGGGCCAAGGAATCTGAGTTTACTCTGTAGGTGCAGGAGGTCTTGGGAAGTGTGGGACCAGGAGCTGGGTGTTTTGAGGACACGTTCAGGAGTTAGTCTGGGAGCAGGTGGAGGGGACTGTGGGGCAGGGACCTTGAGGAGCCGTCCCGGTGGCTCAGGTGGTTCAGGGCCTGACGTCAGGTGACAGTTGGGAAGGGTGCGGCCCCTGGCAGAGAGGACAGATGGGTCAGGGGAACTGGCCCTGTGTGCAGATGGTGAGTGGGAGTGCGGGTAGGCTGGGGATGCCGCAGGACAGAGAGTGAGCCTCGCAGCTGGAGAGAAGTGAGGTGCAGGGGCTGACTCGGGACGTCTGCAAGGACAGGTTCTCAGCGACCTTGACTCGGGGAGACTTCATGTAGAGCGACCTTGGCATCCAGCAGAGACCCCTTATTGTAAGTGGGTTTAGCAGCCTTGTGCTCACGGTCACGGTTGGCTTCATCTCCACCCTCCCCCAGAAAGCAGGCATCGCCTTCCACATGGACGCCAACTCGCCAAGCCTGGTCAACCTCAGTGCAGACCCCCAGCTGTCGGGGACACTGTTCTATGTGATAAAAGAAGGCACCACCACCGTGGGCAAGTGTGGCCCCACCTCCAGCCCGGTCATCCGTCTGTCTGGGGTGCTGGTGGCCGAGGACCACTGGTAAGTCCGTTCTCTCAGAAAACACGGCGCCTGGCCTGTTTCCCATTGGTGTGCAGGTCCCAGTCCAAGGTGTGGGGGTGTCAGACAGACTGGGGGGTCCTCCTTCACTCACAGCTCTTACAGGAAATGGTGTCCCAGTGTCCTGTGAGGACGGGGCGGGTGTGAAGTCACGACGCCCTCGCTTGTGTGTCTGGTGGTGGCCACCCGCTGGCCGGGGGGTGGGGGTGGGAGATGAGCTCTATTGGCGCTGCAGGCACGGACGTGCAGCTGGGGGCCTGGGTGGACGGACCGGTGTGGGGCTCCGTGCCGTGTGTGCTCTGCGGCCCTGGGCCTGGCAGCAGCTGCTGTCAGGCAGTGGCGCAAGTGTGACCTGTCTGGGGCCTGGTGCGTTCTTAGGGGACATTGCTGCTTCTGTGACCAGCTGTGCTCACACGGAGTGCATCCCAGCGTGGGGTGTTGCTGCTTCCCCGTTCCCCCTGTCCTGTCAGTTCAGAGATGAGTTGGACTTTGGGGCTTCTTTCCTATTCTTCAAATACAATGACCCGAAGGACCACTGAGCTTCTGCAGCTGCTGCTGCACAGTCTCACCTGCCAGTCGAGTCCAGCCAGGTGCCCTCATCTTTACCCCTCCCCCCTTCCCCCCCATCCTGAGGAGAAAAGCTGTGACACCCCTTCCCTTGTCACAACTTTGTCAGCCAGGAAGGTCAGAAATGTAAAAAATAACACTAAATCTGGTCCATTTAGAGGGAAACCATTGCCGACGTTTTGTTTTTGTTGTCTTTTCTCTGTCTTGGGTTTTTTTTTCAAACAATTATGCTGAAAACACAGGCACTGCCCTTCCTCCCTGTGTGGTGGGCGAAGGGCCGGGGAGGCCAGGCTGTTCGGCAACATTCCCGAGTCGGGTCGCAGGGTGGGAAGGAATCTCAGGTTGTTGCTGTCTCGAAGGGTGAGACCCTTAACACGGGGCGAATAGCCCGACCACCCGGCTCCCCTCGGGCCCACCGCGCCGTCCGTGCTGCCATGGCAGCAGCGTGCTTCTCTCCCACAGCACCATCCGGCGCGTCGGCGGGGCCGTGAGCCTCATCCCGGTCGGGGAGGCCAAGACCTACGTGAACGGCAGGCTGGTTTCGGAGCCCACGGAGCTGCACCACGTAAGTCGGCGGGTGCGGAGCGGGAGGGGGCGCTGGGCTCCGTGCGGGCGCCGCTCCACTCCCTTTCTTTGCCGTTCAGCCCGGGAGCTCCCTGTCTAGCCCACCTGCTGGGGCGGTGAGGGGCCCTGCGGCACCCTGGTGCTGACTCAGCGTCTGTGGGAGGGCCTCACGGCCTGCCGCCGCTGCCGTCAGGGGTCTGCGCTCCAGTCTCCTCGCTCCAAAGCTGGGTGACGACTCGCTGTCGGGAGGCACATGGGAGACGTGTGGGGCGTGGGTCCCGCGGTTCGTGGCGTGAAGACAGCGTGAACGAGTGGCGGTGGCCATGGTCCTTGTGTCTCTCGCACTGACACTGTGCTCTGTGGAGGCCCAGAGTGTGTTGGTTCGTCCCAAGCAGTTTCTGGGTCACACTCGCCTCCAGCAGTGACTCTCATGCTGTGTGCTCTAGGGCGACCGCGTGGTGCTCGGGGGAGACCACTACTTCAGGTTCAACCACCCAGCAGAGGTCCAGGCAGGCAAGAGGCCGGCCAGGGCAGACACCCCGACACGCGAGGGCCCGGAGGACTTTGAATTTGCCAAGAATGAGCTGCTCGCGGCCCAGAGAACGCAGTGAGTGTCGTCGTCGGTGTGGAGCATTGAGGGGTCCCCGGGGGTGGGGGGCAGCATCCACCCGAGAATCCACAGAGAGCTCAGGGCTCAGGGGCTCGGGGGTTTGGCACCCAGGGCCTCACCCTGGGTGCCTCCTCCTGGGCACACACGTGGGTTCCACAGACACCTGTCGAGCAGGTGCGGGGCACTGGGGGGAGGCGTGGCCCCCTGGGCCAAGAAGTGGACAGTTGCGAGCATGTCCGGCCCTGTGTGGAGCCTGTGGGTGACTCCTGGCCCCACCCAAAGACCAGCGGAGCTCTCTAGAGGACGCGAAGGTTTTGCTGCACAGGAGGCCCCGGGAACTGCGGGGGGCTCGTGCGGGCCGGGGACCGGGGCGGGGTGCCCCGCAGGTTCCTGCGGGCAGCGTGGTGGGTTTCCACAGCGCCCTCGGAAGCTCCGTGGTGAGACGGGCCTGAAGGAAGGACTGAGTCTGGGTTTTACCTGAAGGACGTGGGGTCACCGGGGCAGTGCAGGCAGACACGAGACAGACAGGAGTCGGGTTGTTAGAGAAGCTACCGTGAGCGGTTCAGGAGCGACTGGAGGGAGACAGTGCTCGGGGACGAGGACGATGAGGGGCAGTCAGTGCAGTGACCACAGGGGTGGACGGGGGAGGGGGCCCGGGCGGCCGGTGCGGGCTGGCTGAGCTTGTGGTGTGAGCCCTCGAAGTCCAGGCTTGCTCCGCCGCCCTCTCCGCACAGCACGCACAGCACGCAGCCCTCAGTCTGACCCACTCCTCGGGGGGGCAGCTCCGTGGTTCGTGGGGCAGCCTGCCCCCGCTGGCTCCCACCCCCTCATCGTCCCGACCCCTGTCCCCCACATCCTGTGCTCCCCGCCCCCCGTGCTGCTGGGGGGAGCAGTGTGGTTGCTGCGAGTGTGCACACGGTTCAGGCTGCACGCAGGCTCTACCCGTGTCCCGCGTGTGGGCAGCCACGTCAGTCCTTTCCTCATCTGCAGCCGGACGTGCAGGACACTGGTGGACGCGGTGCCACTCCTGCTGTAGAGCGCCCCCCACTGGGGGCGTCCGCTAGAGTGTCCACTTGCGCCCTCACTGCCCTGCGCCCGGGGCCACCTGCTCTCACCTGGCGCACTTCCCTTCTCGCAAGAGCGGGGTACGTGCTTGCGTGTCCGCACACACGTGACTGAGGGGCACGCGTGTGCCCTCTTCTCCTTTCTGTGGTCTCCGTGCACACAGTGCCCCAGCCCAGGGTCGTGTGAACGAACGCCCCACTGCCGGCAGCTGGGGGTTCGGTTCTGAGACGTGCACTGCCGTTGGACAGGAGACGCTCGCCCACGAGGGGGGGTGGTGGTCTGGCTGCTGTGTGTGCCCCTGATGCCATCCGGAGCCACGTGTACAGGGCCGTGACTGGGAAGGCTCTAAAGTGGGCACCCCCGCCACGGCGGCAGGTGAAGGACGCCCGGACCTCGTGCTTTGCAGGCTGGAGGCGGAGGTGAGGGAAGCGCAGCTGCGGGCCAGGCAAGAGCTGCTGCGCGGCGCCCAGATCGCCCAGGAGGTGGCCGAGCGGGAGCTGGCCCAGCAGCGGGCCGCCTACGAGCACCGGATCGAGGCCCTGGAGGCGCAGCTGGTAACAGCGGGCTTTCTCTTCCCACCCACCCCGGTGACCCCTGTCCCTGCGAGCAGCTGGGAGGGCAGCGTGTCCGCAGCAGGGGGTCGGCCGCGGGTGGTGGACAGGAGGCTTCTAGACCCACCTTACTTCTGCTCTGCCACGTCCCCTCTGGCGTGTCCGCCAGGGTCCTTCCGCTCCCCCACGGCCTCAGTGGGCACGTGGGGAAGCGTCCAGGGCCGGCTGTCTGAGGGGCTGGCCTCCAGCCACGTGAGCCCGCTCCCTGGCCACCTGCTGTCCCAGGGACCCGGGCGGAGGCCGTCCATCCACTGGGGGTAGCTTTTAAAAAATGCTCTGTATTTCTGCCCTCACTGTCTTTATTATCATTCCTTAAAGAAAGAAGAGTCCCAGCAGAAGGAAATGCAGGCGATAAGTAACCAGAAAGCCACCCACAGAATCGAGGAGCTGGAGCAGGCGAAGCAGCGTCTGGAGCAGGAGGTGCATGTCAGCAGGAAGCGGCTGGAGGCGGAGAGTCTGGCGGTCAAGCAGGCGAGTGCCCGGTGGCAGCGGGAGCATCCGTCACCCGACCCCCACCCCCGTTGGGGACACGGCCTGCCCGGTCAGGTCGCTCCAGGGGAGAGTCGTGGGTGTTCTGTCAGCTCAGGGGCAGAGCTTCCCCCAGGGGCCGAGCTCACAGTCCACAGGGTTGCCTTTCTGTCAGCCTAGCGGCCCTTCCTCCTCTGTACGATGGTGGTTCTCCGAGTGGCATCTAGGCCAGTGGGGGACTCAGAGCAGGTGCGGGCATTCTGAGGGCAGGTGTGGGGTCTGACGGTGCCTGGAGTGTGGTGGCCGCCGCTGTGGCATCTCTGCACTCCTGCCTGGGACCTTAACCTCCTGGTTCACTGTGAATGGCAGGTTCATTCTGCTCTCATCCAGGTTTGGGGTGGGGGTGGGAGAAAATGGCCCAGCCCCCCGAGTCTGGGTACTGCACTGACTCGGTCCTGCGTCCAAGGTCAGCTCTGGGGCACAGAGACACGTGCCCCCCGGGTTTCAGGGGCAAAGCCGAGCCATTTGAACCCTGGGAACACTGTGAGTGGGCTGCCACAGGCTTATTTGTGACCAGGGAAGGGTTTTGGTGCCTTTTAAATGTAACTTTTCATTTAGTTAAAGGTCCTTGGATGTGAGCTTTTTTGAGTTTCTCTTTTTTTTCTAAAGGTTTTTTAAAAATATTTTTCTCAGTGGGAAGCAAAAGATTAATCTTTGCTATCAAAAACTCCTCATGATTTTGTTGGAGGGAAAGTCATCGTAAGGAGATACGTGATGTATCTTTAACAGCCTTCTGTGCTTACCCGGTGTGTGTAAGGTGCAGTTGACGGCAGTGCGTCGGGGCCGTCGGCCTGCTCCGCCGTGTCTGCGCGTCCCTCACGTGCGGGTCTGTGGGGTGTGTGTCCTTCAGGCTCTGGAAGACCACAGCGTCCGCCACACGAGGATCCTGGAAGCCCTGGAGGCCGAGAAGCAGAAGCTCTCCGAGGAAGTGCAGGCGCTGCAGCGCGGGCAGGGCACCGGCGACGGGACCCCCTCAGGTGCGTGGGGGCCGCCTGAGCTGGCGTCTCCCGAAGCCTGGGGGTCGTTCCGTGTGCTCGCCCCAAGGGCAGCGCGAGTTGCCTTTGCGTGTCAAAAGCGTTTCATTCCAGGTGTGGCTGACTTCCGGACCCAAAGTGTGTGAATGATTTACTCTAAAACACACAGTTTTAGAACAGTTACGTAAGCGGATAGTAGAGATAGTTGCGGGTATGAGGTTGACGTGATGTACAGTGTTTTCAAAGTGCCTCCTTGCAGCGCTCAACTCTCACTCGGGCTGCGGTTCGGCTGCGTCTGTGGGCCCTGGGTTTCCTTCTCACTTCAACGTCGTTTCCATGTGCGTTTCTGTGTTTCTGGGCAGAACACACGTGTTGTTACCGGAACTGGCGTTTTCACTGGGACGTTCGGTCCATGAAAGTACAGCGATCACTCCCAGCCCCCCGAGTGCTCACCGCTCGGTCGCCGCCTCACTGTGTCGCTGCGGCAGGCGCGCCTGCTCCCCTGTCGCTCTCGGAGGCGTGACCTCACGTTGCTCCTGCACGCAAATTCCAGTCGTTTCTCACATGCCTTGGGGGCCTGGTTCACAGTCAGAATTCCTGGGTAATCCCATAAGCGCCTTTATGGTTCCCTTCTTTAAATTACTTTCGAACTGTTAATTCTCTCTCTGTTGTGAGGAATAGTGAACGCAGTGTGTTCATACATATCCTGCTTCTGTTGGGGCCTAGACCAGCCTCGCAGTGAGCAGTGGGCTCTTTAGATTCACGCAGACAGTGAGTGTCATTCTCCCGAAGAAGTGTTCACGGTGGAACCCTGGTCGTGGCTTTGAATGATACAAAAAATACCCGTGGTAAAAACCTCACATTTAAATTAGGAGAGTGGGATTGTGGACTCAACTGTTTTCTTTTTCATTGTTGTTTTTATGTCCTGGTCATAAGCGTGTTTATTCTTTTAAGTTTTCAGGCCACTGTAAAAAGGACTGGTTTTGCATCAGTGCGGCTGTATTTTTAGTAATCAGAAAAAGGAAATCCTTACCACATCGGGGGACGGTGGCGTGTCCTGTCCCTGTGGTTTGACACCAGTGAGGCTGTAGCCCATTTCCATGGTCAGGGGACAGAAGGTCCCCAACGTGTCGGGAGGGGAAGGGTAGTTGGTGGCGTCTCCTGTCCCCTGACAGTGTGACCCTGAGCAGTGTCAGGTACGTCCCTGGCCTCCTCTGGGGAAAGACCTCGTTTTACAGGAAGGAGATGCCATTTCACCCACGAGGGCGAAGAACAGTGACCCCACGCCGCCCTCACCTCTGGTGGCCCTTGGTCGAAGCCCCTGGCGGAGAGCAGATGCCTCCCCAAAGGGCCGTGCCCCTGGGCTGTGCATCCGTGCTCACGCCTGCGCCCCCACCCCACAGCACAGCCCGGCTGGGGCGCCCTGAAGCTGTCCCTGATGCTGCAGGAGGCCAACGCCATCAGCCGCAGGCTCCACGGGCAGTTCGAGTTCGGCAGGTGGGCGACCGGTCACCCGGAGTGCAGAGTCACGCTGTGTTTGGAAGGGCTTCACCCCCGTGTTTCCTCTAAGTTGTTATGACTTTGGCTTCCCCAAAGACACGGTTCCGCAGCGCCTGTCCTGGAAGGAGCCGGCGGGAGGGGCAGCCCCCCAGCTGGGTCGGGCGGGGCGGGGCCTCTGAAAGGGCCGTAGGGATGCTCAGGAGCTTCCCGTGGAGGTGGAAATCCATCAGAATTCCACATTTTAAAGGGAATGTCCCCGTTAGACATTCTTAAAATCTGTTTTTTAGACATGATTTCACGGTAATAAACGCACTTACCTGTGGAAAGGTTTAATCGGGGTCCATGTTTCTGGGGAAGCTCCTCCCATCGGGCAGCTCCTGGTGTCGCCTTGCGGGTGTCTCAGGGTGACCCTTCCGTGGTGTTTCCAGACAGGAGCCTCCGGGCGGAGGCTGCGGCGCTGAGTCCCGGGTCCGAGTGCGGAACCTGCGGCTCGGCGTCTCCACTGTCTGGAGCCTGGAGAAGTTCGAATCGAAGCTCGCCGCGATGAAGGAACTTTGTGAGGTGCGGGCATTACTAAAACCCCTCTAAACCTCTTGAAATAAAAAACGTAAAACTGCCATGTTCTCAGGAAAGAAAGTCTGGCAGAGAAAAGGCAGGTCACGTACCCAAACCCACCAGTGTTAACAGCTGCACGTTTGTGCAGGAGGGTTTCGTCCGGCACCTGTGCCCCCGCTGTTCTGCGGCTCTGACGCCCGACACTCACGCCCAAGGAGGCAGGAGGTGGAGACGGGGCACTTGCGCCGCGTTGAACAGGGTCAGTGCCCAGCGTGGCGCGTCCTCACAGGCTCTGCTCCGGTGTCCCTGGGGCTGTGCTTCGGGTGTTTGCGGTTTGCTATTTCGCAGTCATGGCTGTGAAAATATCTCAGCATGTGATCATTTTAGTAGCTTCTTTCCTGTCTTCTGCCTTCTACAATTGCACCGAAAGTGTGAAATTTCAGCCACAATTTGATTGCCAAAAATATTGCCATTTACCAATTTTACCAGTTTGTTTTAATTTGTATTTAATAACTGGTGAATCCGAGGATTTGACTGTTTCCCTGTGGGAAAAGTGTATGTTCAGTCTGGAAAATAATAAAATGAAGCAAGGAAAGCAAATGAGAGAATTATTAAAATAAAAGTGATAATTGATAAATTGGAAACCAGTGAACTCAAGCGCTGGTTCTTTGGAAAGGGGACCGTGGGGTTTTAGGTGTGGGCAAGGGCCTTTAAACAAAGAACATGAGTGCCTCTTAAAATCGTGTTACACACGAAACTGTATGTAATAAACTTGATCACTTTCCAGAAAGGAAAGACTTTGTAGTAGAGGAAAAATTATGGAAGTTGACTTAACAGATGAATAGCCTTGCAATAAAGTGAAAAGTTATCAACAACCAGCCTTAAAAAAAAAAAAGAGGGAAAGGAGCTAGTCAGTCCCAGGCAGGTTTAAGAGGGAGGCCCTTTGGACCCTCCGAGGACAGATGCCCCGTGAGCGGTCCCAGAGCCTCGCAGCTGACAGCAGTGTCACCGCTGCCTCGAGGTGCTGGGCGCTTGGTCAGAATGAGCCCACACCCACAGGGCCCTGCGGGACGAGTCGGGGGGCCACAAGCTCCCTGCACTCTGAGTGCAGCGCCTGGAGGTCACACGCAAACATGGACTCACAGAGCGCCTGGCCGTGACCAGGTGCAGGGTGTTCACGCAGAAACCCCGCCGTGCAGCCCAGCCATGGGGGGGTCTGGACCTCTGTCCCCGTGACCAGGCTGTGCGCGGTTCCACCTGCCTCTGTGTGGATGCGAGGCGGTCGTTTCCACGCTTCCCACACTGAGCGTGCGTTGCTGGTGCCACTGGACAGGAAGCGAGTGCATCGAGGTCATTGGGTCGTTCTCGCCTTGGCGTGGGCACCGAAACCTGCTGGCCTGAGCTGCCCTGCTGCTGCCTCACTTCCTGGTTTTGCTGTTCACGGCGACGTCCGTTACTCACTTTTCCATGTAGTCGTACTGTCTCTGAGGCCAGCGCTGTGCAGCGTTCTGTTAGAACTGTGTTAGTGGAGTTAAAATACACACTGTTGTCACGATCGGTGTGGCCGACCCGTAGCTGATTCTTAACACGGGTTCGTCTCACTTCTCTCCCGAGGATTTTATCCTTTTTGTTCTTACTGTCTTGTAAATCACAAGCTTATTATTTCTGAGTTACTGAGTGATTTCTGTTGCTGCTATTAACAGATCTCTCTTTATTTTTATTTACTTACTTTTAGAGAGAGGGGCAAGGAGGGAGAAAGATGGGGAAACATCAGTGTGTGGCTGCCTCTTGTGCGCCCCCTACTGGGGAACTGGCTTGCAACCCAGGCATGTGCCCTGACTGGGAATTGAACCTGCGACCCTTTGGTTCGCAGGCTGCTGCCCAGTCTATGGAGCCACCAGCCAGGGTGGTAGATCACGCATATAAATCCTACTAGCCCTAGATAATTGATTTTTAAAATTTGACCAGGAATGTGATCTTTTTTAGACTTCTGTCAGATGACCTGTGATTTTGCTAATTTTACATTTTAAGTGTAACAAAGTATTTAGAATGTTTTCTTACTGCTAACACTCTTAGACTCCCCACGAGCAGGAACTGTGTCTGCTGTTTTTGTAGCGTGGCAGCCAGAGCGAGGACCTCTTCTGCGACCCCGAGGACGAGTGGGAGGCTGATCTGGCGGGGGTCCCCGACTCCTCGCTGTCTAGAAGGAGGTGAGGATGCGTTGGTTAGCGGCCTCCCGGTTCTGGGTGTGCAGGGGTCGCCTCCTTGGCGTGGAAGGACTGCCTGCCGTCCCGAGGGGCACGTCGGCGAGGGGCCCGGCAGGGCCTCCCTTGGGCCTCGCTGGGTGACTGAGTCTGTGCGTAGCACGGTGCCTGCAAGCAGTGGAACTTCCTCAGTGAGCCCAGCGAGGTGAAGCCTTGAGGAAATATGTCCGTGCAAAGTACACATGCGTGTGCCCTTTTCTTTAGAGAATCTGTGAGTGAGTGGTCTTACGTGCCTTGCGTGCTGGGGACCGACCACTCACGCCTGTGTCCTCCTTCAGGAGCAGGAGCTTGGCGCGGACCAGGAGGGTCTCTGGCTTCCTGCACGGCGTCCAGGCTCCGTCCGCTCGGGAGTCCCCTCCCTCCGGTGCTCCAGGTATGTTTCCGGCAGCTGCTCTTGCACCCCGAGAACAGCGCCGAGTCCCGGCTCCCCACCCCAAAGGGTCATGTGCTGGAGCGAGGGATTTCAGCTAGAACCTTCCACCGCCTCTGGGGTGAGAGGTGGGCTTCCCTCTGCCCCCCGTAAAGTTCTGTGCTGAGTGGCCCATCTCGGTGCCTGAGTGGCGTGGCTGGTTGCGGGGTGGAAGGCGTGTGTGCACCAGTACGCGAGATGACTACCTTCTTGTGTGAAAGCCCGAAGTGCAGCAGATTGTCTGCTGTTACCTGTGCGAGGGGGGGAGCAGGGAAGTGTGCATCCCGGTGCTGTCCCCGGATGTGGGGGACGGCGGGACGCGCCCGCTGCCCCTCTGGAGACTCATTCCCCCCTGGGTGCCCTGTGCAGCTCTCGGCTCCAGAATTGCTTCAGGCACCAAAACCGCTAAAAGAGCCATCAGAGGACCCAGCACTCTGCACAGTGCCCCCGCCCCCCCCAGTGCTGGCCCAGTGCTCACCCCCTGGAGAGAGGGGGGCACGGTGAACTCGTGTCAGCGTGGAAGGCAGCCCCCCCGTCTGTTCCAGGCTCCTCCTGGCCCCCACCCCGTGCTTTCCTCCACCTTCCGTTTAGTTTGCTGGTTCTGTTCCCCTGCGGGCTGGACCGGAACGTGGTCTTGCTTGTTGGACGAGAAGCACTGCGCTCCTTTGGGGCGTCCAGGGTAGCACTCCTTCCCCAGACGCGGGGGGGGGGGGGCTCTTCCAGGCTCGTCCTCCTGCTCAAGGAGTCTGGGCGTCTCCTGGGGGTGCGAGGTGTCGGCTGGCTTTTGTCACGTTGACGTTTTCATCCGCACCTGCCAGTGTTCTCACCGGCTCGGTGTCTTAGGTCTCAGGGAGAGGCGAGTGAAGAAGGCCCTTCGTTACCTGAAGGGCTCGCAGGACAGTCCAGTTCTCTGTCACTCACACTGCGGCCGAGGGTGGGTGTCGTGGGCGGGGTGGCCGGCCTCAGGGGACTGTGTTTCCACCTCGGCGTCCAGAAGTCAGGAGGGACGGACGCCAGCCCGGCAGCCGATCGTAGAGCAGGCTTGCGCGCGCGCATTCGCTCCAGGTGCCGTGTGGGACAGGCGGGCTGACGGGTGGTCTTCTGTCGGAACAGGCTCGACGGGGGAGCCAGGCTGCATGTGCTCCGGTTCCTGGGGGCCCCGCCTCCTCGGAATCTGCAGAGACACGATCCGCTCGTCACTGGCTGTTCTCGGGCAGAGTCACGAAGACCGGACGGTGGCCGACAGCCTGATGCGCGACCTCCTCGAAGTCCATCGCGGGGTGCTCGCTGTGTCCCAGGCTCACGCGGACCAGGACGAGGACAGCCAGGACGACTGTAAGCAGCCCCTGCGCCGGGCCGTCCAGGGCGACTGGGGTCCCAGCCGCGCCTTCTCTGTGTTGAGTGCGTGTGTGGCACAGTGTGAGCCCTTCTGCGTGAAGGGGCTTTCCAGTAACTTCCCTCCTCCTTTCAAAGTGTTCTCTGACGGCGACGCCCAGACGCCGGTGGTCCAGGTCGCCCATGCCTTCGGGCGGCTCGCCGTGCTCACCGCACACTGGCCAGGTGACGCCCCTCCGGGCCCCAGCACCACAAGGCTGGGGGACGAGCTGAGGCAGGAGGTGAGGAAGCTGGGCAGCTACTTACAGATGTTTCTGCAGGTGAGTCGATTTGCTGATTGTTGTGTGAAGTGTTTGTGGGCCGTGTCCTGTCTGCATCTCCAGATGAGAGCGGGGAGGGCTGGCGGGTGCAGAGCTAGGGGGGTGGAACTGTGGTCCAGCTGAGGCCTGAGCCCAGGAGGGAGTGGCTGGGGGTGGTCTGGGCAGAAATGAGGGGCAGCCACTGAGCTGGCGCTCAGGGTGCAGAGGGCCGCGGGGACTGCACACAGCTCAGCCCCGAGCCCCACTGGCATGTGGGGGGCTGTCCTGTGCACTCAGGCGAACCGCCCACATTTCCTGTCCCTGGTCCCCTCCCCTGGAAAACAGAACCGTGCCTGCGGGCTGGGCTGCTGCGTGGATAGGGGCGCAGCGTCCTGAGGCCGTACCTGTGAGAGTCCCCAGTCTGCAGTTTCTCCCTGTCACTCTCCAGGAAGGACACTCTGAACTTGACTTAGGGGTGGAGGCCTGTGGCCCTGAGAGAGAGGTTTCACAGAGGGGCCGGGGCGGAGGGTCCAGGTGGCTGGAGGGAACTCCCGCTGAGCTCAGGCGAGAGACGCACAGCCTCTGTGTGGTGGGCGTCGTTGGTACATTCTGGAACACAGGCCGGGAGGCGCTCGGAGTCTCTGCAGTTGGCCGGTGATGGCGCAGCTCAGGAGAGGCCTCTCGTCCCTCCTGGGTGTGTGCATGCTGGTGCACAAGCCTTGCCATAAGGGGTGTCCCTGTCCCCTCTGTCCCCTCTCCCCTGCTTCTTCTGGACACAAGAGAACAGCTTTATCAGCCACCTTCAGGCGGCTGCAGGGACAGGAAAGGGCAGAAGAGCCACCGATTCATCCTCTCTGGGCCCTCGCTCCCAGTCCAGTGTCACCACTGGTCGCTGTGCACATGCTGTGTGGCCTGCTGGCGGGTGACGTCTGGGAGGGAAGAGGGGCCGTGTGTGCTGGTTGTCCTGCCTCCGAGGGTGGCTGTGGCTGGCCTGCCTCCGTGCCGAGACGTGTGTGAGGCGCGGCGCCGGGGCAGTGAGAGCGCTTCGTTCCTTCATTCCCCTCTCTCCTGCTCCCCTGTCCGCCCTCCCATGCGCGGGCTGCCCGGGTCTGTTGTCGCCTCACAGGGGTGCTACTCGGACCTCCCGTCGGTGGTGGAGGACGCTCAGAGGAGAGTCACCCGGGCCGTGCGACAGGCTGCGACTCGAGTGGGACAGCTGGCGGTTCTCAGCGGGAGTTACCTGCGCCTCCCGGGGGACAGCAGGGGCCCGGGCTCCGGCCTCCAGGTGAGTGGGCATGTGACGTGCCGGGCAGTCTGCAGTCCCCGCCCCAGCTCACCGACTGTGGCTGGATGGTGACGGCCTGCGGGGGCTTTGCTCGGCCGGTCAGCCGAAGGACGCTGCCGTCCTGAGGAGTTTGTGTCTGCTGGCTCGGATGACCCAGGTTGAGGAGGCTGCACCGGCCATCACCGTGTCTCGGCAACACAGTGTCCTGCGGCAGAGGACATGTCCCTCCAGCGTGTTGGCCGTGGGGCCCGTGGTGACAGACTGGCTGGCCCGCCTCCTGTACAGACTGTTAGTTTTCATGCGGCTTCAGTCGAGTTTCATAAGCTTGGAATGGATTAGTTCTGAAAGCAAACAGGAGACGTAGCCATTACTTAATGAATTAAAAACACGAAACCCCTTCCAGGAGGATCTCGTGGGCACCGTCCGGGCCGGTGTTGGCGCGGGGCTGAGCCTGCTGTTCGGCGCGGGACTGGAGAAGGCGGAGGCGCTCCGGTGCCAGCTCCTGGGGCAGCGCCCATGGGATGAGGTGAGAGGGCCAGGGGCTCCGGGTGCCGCCGGGTGGTGGAGAGAGTTGGGTTTCTAAAACCAGTGCGGCTCCGAGAGTGAGGCTTTCGTAGACGCGTGACTTGAGTTTGTGTGAGGTTGTTCTTTCGGTGAAGAGGCTGCTGGTACCACTGTGTCGTGGCGATGTGTCCCACGTGCCCTCGAGTCCCTGCTGCCCCTCTGGTTACCACCTTGTAGACCCTTTGGGGTCAGGCAGGGGTCAGGCCTCGGCAGGTGCAGCGGCAGTGACCCCCGGTGGTCACTCACTGTGTCTTTTCCCCCCTTTGTTTGGGCCACTGCTTTCCCATGTAACAGAGCAAACTCGCGAGTTTCGGCCCCGCCCCCGGGGCTCCCACCGCTCTCTTCAGGCCCAGGCCCAGGAGGACGAGGACCCCCGACACCTGCACTGGGCCTCCTGGCCACGCCCCGCCACGTGACAGTCAGGCCCGAGCAGCCTGGGATGGGGGCATGCGGAGGCCTGGCTCTGAGCCCAGGGCCTGTGTCTGAAACCTGGTGGCACTCATTCATCGTCACTTAGCGTCTGGCCCGCCTCCTCACTGTCACATGCAGCGACTAACACCTGTGTCTTGGGTGTGAGCCTGTCACTTTGAAGCCTCACCACTTTGCAAGGCAGGGACGCTTGGTGTCCCCACGGGTCACAAGCTGGGGTCCTGTCCAGGCCCTGAGCCAGGCTGCGCTGGCTTGGCACCGAGCCCGGCGTGGGGCACGAGTGAGGCTGTGGGTCGCTGGGCCGGCCCTGCTTTCTTTAGGGAGAGGCGCTCCCAGTCTCTCGGCTGGGAGCGGCAGAGACTTGTCCAGAGCCTCGCTGCCGGGGCCACGTATCGGCCCGTCTCTGCTGCCCCCTCTGTCCTGCTGCTGTCCGTCGGCTGGGGCGGTGCTCCCTACCCTGGGGGCTGTCCAGCTGTCATCCCGGTGATGATGCCAGTGCTCCGGCTCTCGACAGAGTCCGCCCCCTGCCTGGTCCCACCGGTGCGACGAGACCTCTGACGTTCTCCACAGGTCGCCCGGCAGATGAGCGCCCGCGCCGCGGCCTTCACTGGGCATCTTGGACGTGCCATTGCTGAGTGGAAGACGGTAAGGGCCGTTCTCCACCGTCTCCGTGGGGCTTTGTTCAGGGTGGCAGCCTCCCGCCAGGGGCTGACCTGGTCAGGCGGACTGCCGGCCTCACCCTTGGCCCAGCGACTCGCAGGAGGCGGGCGGAGGCAGGGGCAGTTGCCTCGGCCATGTGCCCCCGGGCATGTGACTGTGGGGTCAGTAACAGGCGAGCTGTTGTGTGGGCGGGGGTCATTGTGGCCGTGCCCGCCTCTCCCTGCCCGGGTTCAGTGACGCTCAGCCTTTGCCTGGGTGGTCGCTGTGGGCTGGAAACGCAGGTCTGGTGTCCAGTGTGCCCAGAACTTCTGGAGCACAGGTCAGCTGGACAGGTCACTTCATTCTCGTGTCCCAGGTGGACAGAAAGACACAAACTAAGTATGTAATCTGTGTGTTAGAAGGGGGAGAAGTTTGTTTATGGCTTGAAAAATTGCATTTAAGTAAGGTAAATGGCAGATACAAAGTTAATGATTAAATACATTCTGTGATGTTAGGTAATAGTGGTGCTGTTGTTTTAGTCTATTTTCCTGTGATGGGGGGATTGGGCTTTTTTTAAAGATTTTATTTATTTTAAAGATGGGGAAGGGAGAAAGAAAGCGAGGGAGAGAAACATCAACGTGTGGTTGCCTCTAATCTGCCCCCTACTGGGGACCTGGCCTGCAACCCAGGCAGGGTTGCATGTGCCCTGACTGGGAATTGAACCGGCAGTGCTTTGGTTCACAGGCCTGTGCTCAGTCCACTGAGCCACACCAGCCAGGGCTGTGGACTTTGGTTTAAAGTAAATTAATTCTTGGTCTGAAACCATAACTGTTAATGTGCTTTGGCCTCGCTCGTAGGGACAGAGTCAGACCCTCCTTCTTGAGGTTGAGGCCCCGCCACTAAAACCACACCGACTGAGCCCCACGCCCTGCAGCCTGTCCCGTGTCTTTACCGATGTCAACTTTACCTGCACAGGAGTGTTCCAGGATTCAGGCACAGGGAGGTGGTTCTGGATGCGAAGACTTGGAGAAGATGGTCGCATGCGCCTCTGAATTTCTGAAGCTAGAGCGCAGCTTAGAGCAAACCGCCGAAGTGGTTCTTTCTGCCCTGAGAGGTGTGTGCCCCAGCGGGTTGGCGTTGCGGTCAGCACTCTGCAGCTGACGGGGTCTCAGCCGTCTAGTCCCTGGTAACTCACTGACTAACCCCAGTTACCAGCACAGGCCCCGGAGAGGCTGCCCATGCAGGCGCGCCTGCTTCCCCGGGGTGGGTGGCCCTTAGAGTAGCCCCCATGCTTCCACTGGCGCACACGAGCCATGACAGGCCTCAGCCTCCCGGGGAGACCCCTGCCTGGTGCAGGAGGGGTCGGTGAGCTTGTCCTTCTGTGCAGGGCATGGTGGCAATGCGGACCTCCTCAGGACCTGCGTGGAGAGAGTCTGCAGCACGGCCCGGGACGTGGCTAGGGACATGGGTGCTGCCTCTGTGGCCAGTTGCAGGGACCTGGAATCCGAGGCCCTGTTGCTCCTCCTCTGCTTGGAGTCTGAAGAGAGACCTGCCTCGCGGGCACCCGGGGAGGCCCCTCATAGGACTGGTGGAGCGGGGCAGCAGCTGTCCTCGGCTGGGGGGTCTGGCTCTAGTGGGCACAGGGGAGTCCCCAAGCGTGTCTTTGAGCTGCCCACCAGCGTCCCACGGAGCCCTCAGGGCCGCCTGCCCAGCAGGACCCAGTGGGTGTGAAAGGCGTGCAGGCTCCAGGATGTGCCGTCTGCCTTCTCTCTGCAGGACATGGTGCCGAGCAGGAAATGGCTGGCAGGGCTTCCAGGGTGTCGGTCTGCTGCGGGCCTCCGCGGGGCTTGGGTGGTGGGTGCCATGGGGACCTACTTTGGATGCCGGGATGCGCCCCCAGACGCTGTGGGAGATGCTGTGGGAGACCCTGGCCAGGGAGTCACAACGGTGTCCGCAAACAGCGTGTGCTGGGTCTCGGGGTCTTGTGGCGGCGCAGCGCGGCCCTTTCTCAGTGTTGCGTCTGACGTCTGAGCTCGTCTCCCCCAGAAATCTGTGTGCACTTGTCATAGGTGGTCGCTCTGCCGAGTGGCCCTTGGGCTCTGAGTATTAGGGCGCTCCCCGGAGGTTGTACCAGTCTGAGGGACCCGCTGGAGTGTCAGTGGGTGGGTCTCATCTCCACGTCCGGTGTTTATCTTCCCGTTACCCCTCCACAGTTCTTCCAGTCAGAAACCATTTAGAGTCTTTGTACAATGTGGCACATTTACACTCCCGAGTGAACTGTTGTACCGTTCATAAGTGTGTAAAATATATTTTCTGCCAGAATCACGTGTGCTAGTGTTATAAAGAGAACACTTTTAACAAATCTCGTCAGCTGCATAACTGTCTCTTGGCCTAAGGTTTTCATTGTATTGATTTTTTAAAAATGTACTTTATTCCTGACTCAAAATTGCTGCAGTAGCTCTGCCTTGACAAGGTCTGCCCGAGTACTGCAGATCAAACACACAGCTGGGAAACAGTAGTGTTATTGGGACAGCTCCTTGGATTCAGGAAAACAAAGCGTCCTGCCCCGTTTTCCTTGGTGCATCTGGAATAGATCTGCCCACGTGGTTGCAGCAGAAAGCGCCGACGCTGACACCCGACACGCTTTCACCCATTCGGAGGGCGGCCCCCAACTGGGCTGCTTAGCAGCAGGAGAGCCTCAGACACACAACTTGCTGTCTTCACGCCTTTCATCTGCAGAGGCCAGCAACACTCACGTAGTGGACAGAGGCCAGCAGCATCCATGTGGTGGACATCTGAGCTTTAGACGAGGGGAGCGCAGGAGGAAGCCCTGCCAAGTGGCAGATGTTTGTGCGGACTCTGGGAAGAGACACACCTGGCCACGAGGGCTCCCAATGGCTCACCCGGCCCAAGTGCAACAGCAGAGCCCAGCAGCCATTGCTGCCCAGGGGCCTCTCAGTCCCCCTGCGCCTCAGGTATCGGCCTGTGCTGAATTGCTTGCCCGCCCTGTATCCCTGCCACCTGAGGAGGCTGGGAATGCTGTTTCAGCCAATGGGACAAGCATCCCCCATCCACTCTGAGCTGCTCAGCTGTATCCCCATCAGCATCTTTGCTGACCAGTCAGAGCAGCTCCATTCCGACCAATCAGGACAGTGCCTTTAGGACCAATCAGACTGTGAGGATTTGGGCTCATTTGCATGAGGACAGTCCAGTCAGGGACCAGGGTTGGGGACTTGTATTTACATAAACACCTCTGGCTCTGCAAGCCCACTTTCCAGAGAAGTCTGAACCCTGCTTTTCCCCAGGGGAAGCTGGGGACACAGGATGTCCTGCTGAGACTGGAGGGGCCCCAGCCCAGGGCCGGCCCCCAGGTGTGTTGCTTCATAATGGAGCTGCTCCCAGCTGTGCCAAGTCTCAGCCGGGTGACATTGGGGAATATCATCCTTCTTGTCTCCAGCTGCAAACCCCTTGTCATGGTGGGCACAGGGTCACACCTGGCCCACGCCGGTGCCACTTACAACATTCTGCACGTGCCAGGTCTCACAGCTGCCCTTTCGATGGGACGTATTGGAAGGCATCTGTCACCATTCTGCCCTCGGACCACAAAGAGAGCCAGATGTGAGGAAGGACAGCGTGCTATGGGTGTGTGCTCCCTGGGGTCTGCCCGAAACGCAGAGCAGAAAGCTGGGCGGGCTATTGCGAGGTCACGTTGCAAGTCTGCTGGGCAGCGTTTCTGTGTCACTGTGTATCTGTCTGAGTGTTTCCCTGCAAACAACAGCGCCCCTGTGTGGGCCCACCCTCCACTGCCGGTTAACCGGCCAGCGTGCTTCAGTCTGCGGGGCCTGCCGGTCACCATTCCGAGGTTTCACCTAACTGTGGAAAGGAAAGATTCCTTTGTCACGAGTTGGGAGGCGGTCCGCAGTGCGGTTCAGTTAAAAGAAGGCTGACCTTGCAAACAGACCCAAAGGGCACTGCAGAGAAAAAGGAGAGCCTTTATTCGGGTGGCGCTTTGCCAAGTGGGGCGAAGGGGCTGCTGGTGGAGACCAGCAGTGTGCTCCCCGAGAGGAAGAGGGGGCAGCTGCCCGCCTAACATTCACTCCCAGGTTCCCAATGACGTCTGTGTTTTGCATATGAGATTTCCAAATTAAATCCTACAGTTCCATTGGGTTGGGACAAATGCAAATGAGGATGTCCTGGTGCAGTTCTGATTAGACCTGGCCGGTCACAGTCCCTTGGTGACAACCTGAAACCCGGAGCTCCCTTGTAAGAGTCAGAGGGCCGCAACCCAGGGAAGGGGGAGGCTGAGAGCTCACCTGTGGCTTTTCCAGAAACACAGGCCGGAAAGGCAGCCCGCGGAATGCCCACCCTGACTCTGGATTCTGGGGATGAATGTGACCACCTCGCTTGGCCTCCGGAACAGGCCTCCGGCAGGCCCTGGCTCTCAGGTGGGTCTGTGCCCAGGGTCCAGATGGCACTGATATGGGAAGCTTTGGAAAACCTTTGTCCACCCAAACCCCAAGCACCCTGGGAGAGCGATAAGGCCGTCTGGGAAAAGCAAACAGCAGGATAGTCACAAGAGCTAGGACTAGCACCCGCGCAGTTAGAACTGATTTTCACATTTAGCCTTTGTACTCTGCTTCTGCCCCGTAGCTAGAACTAATTTCCACATTCCGCCTCTGTATCCTGCTCTGCTATGTAGACAAGAAGACCCTGTAGACTATATAAACCCCAAGAATCTTTTGTTCGGGGCTCAGAATTTGGAGACTGACTCCTCTGAGCTCGTGCACATTAATAAACCTCGTACTCCAGAAACCCTCGGTGTCTGGTTGCTTCATTTTCCTGTAACAGCACCACGGGGCGGGGGGCGAACCGAGAGTGGCGTCTCACCGCCCTGCAGTTGTTTTCAGTTGGTAGCATTGTTTCCGGGGTGCAGTGTGGGCTGTGCATTCCTTTTATAGTCCCCCGGTGCCCAGGCCCGTTCCCTGGTCCCTGCGGTGGTTTTAGTGCCGGGCTCACTCCCAGGGCGAAGCGGTAGACAGACACACGTGAAAAAAAGATCAGCTCTGCTCTGGTCTTGTGAAAGACCGGGTTGTCCCTCACATGCCTTCCCGAGAGAGTCCAGTGCCATCCTCTGTCCCCCCAGGGACGTCGCGCCCACAGACACACGATCACAAATGGCACAGATGGCAGGGGCGTCAGAGGGGAAGTGGGCCTCTTCCCCTGAGTGACCCCCCGAGTGCACAGCCCAGAAAACGCGAGTGTCTCAGTCTGCGTGTGTCTCACACGGGCACGTGTGTTCGGCGGGGCCACACCATGCCGCCCGTGGTGGGCCTGGACCTCTTTGTGAAGCGTGTCTCAGACACCAGCGTGGCAGGTTAAATGCTCACACATGTGCATGTGTGTGGTGCAGGCAGCAACTTTTAAAAACAGCTTTGTTGTTTTTAAACTTGGTTGTGTGAGAAGGCTCAGTGCTTCCACCTACGCCTCCATCTTGGCGGAAGTCCAGGTTCTCGTATTTTTAAAGCCTGTTTGTAGTCTGTGCAATAACATTTTTTTCTCTTTGTAATTTAACAGACACTTTTGGAGACTGATAGGCTGGAAGTCAAACGAACATCCAGAGCAGACCTTAGGTTCTTCGACAGCCTTCTTTGGAAATAACTCGCTGCCACGATGTCAGTGTCCATGGCACACAGTGGAAATAATGGTGATGTCCTCTGCACTCCTCCTTCTCAAAAGGGCCCATCTGAGAACGACCTCAGCATCAGGAGCAGCCCGAAGCTGCGGGCGAAGTCAGACGTTTGTGAGCCTGAGAACGAGGACCCGTCCCCCTGCAGGAGGCTCTCAACAGTCTATTTCAGGTAAACATTGAATGGAGCCTTTGCAACTTTGAAGATTGTGTTTTTCTGAACTTCATAAGCCTGTACATTAATTGAAATCAGGTCTCCTCTGTGCCCTGTTCCCGCTCCCTCCTGGATGCCCAGCTACTCCTAACCTAGCACGGGAAGGCCCCTCAAGGTCCCCGGCAGATGACGGAGAGGAAGATGAGGCGTGATTAGTATTGAACATTCCGTATTTCCTTGTCAGAGGAGAAAGGGGAAAAATCGGTAGATGCCTTAAAACCCACCCAGGGGTTAAGTGGGCGGTTTCCAGAGGGGAAGTGGCCTGCACAGGGTGCCGGCAGGCTCAGAGAGACGTCACTGGGGATGCGCCGCAATGCTCCTGGTTGGAGTGCCCGCCTGGCCTGCCTCGGCCGTCAGGGCCACTCTCTACGTCCCGCTGTGGAGACCTCTACCCAGAAACACGGGGACAGCTGCTGCTGGGTTTTGGGACCCCCAGGCCACCCCTGTTGTGTGGCTGGTGTGCCCCCAAGCAGTCGGGCCTGACACACTCACTGGGTGACAGCCAGAAGCCCGGAGCCTGCAGCACGGTCTGAACTTGACCTCTTGACACCTGCTGCCTTCTAGGCTGCAGGAGACACTGATGGAGACTTCCGCCTCTGAAGGAACCTGTGGGGGGGAGTCTTTTTCCTTTGGGCTTCCTCCGCTTCCGTGGAAACCTAAGGAAAAGGAAAAGAAAATATGAACTTCCTTCCAGTCCCCTCTGATTGTACAGACGCCTCTCCGTGCAGGTGGAGCTGCTTCTGAAGGCAAAGCTGCAGGGACTAAGGCGAAAAAGCCTCCTTCTCCGATGGAGAAGCCCTGCTTGTGGTTCCCGAGGCGCCTCTGCGGGGTTCTGTTGGGGACGTGCAGTGACAAGCAGCCCTCACGTTGAGGGGAGGGACCCAGTGACCCTGTGTCTCTTCAGGCTCCAATCTGACCAGGGCCAAGGCCCAGGGGACTGAGGTCCATGCCTGGTGGGGACCCCTGTGGGTGCACCACCCTCTTTTAGCTTCTGGGAGTCCTTTGCTTTCAGCTGGTGGATGGGAAAAGGAAAGGGGTCCCATGTGGATTTACCAGGCCAGGGCTGGACACAAGCGGTGGCCAGAATGCAGTCCCATGTGGCAGCTGCCTGCAGAAGCTACTGGGCAGTGCAGCGCGGGTGGTGGGGGAGGGGGTTGGATCTCGCGAGCAGCTGCCTCTGGGATTCACCCCTTGTTCCAGCATTCACGCGCCATGGGTGTTTATTGAGCAGCTACTAGGGGCCAGGCCCTGTCTGCAGCTAAGGGGACCGCTGGGCCAGTTTGCAGAAGGTCATGGTCTGCGGGGGGTGGGGGGGGCCCTCTTGTGGGAGCCGTGCGAATTCCGGGTGTCACAGCTGCGGGGTACAGACGGGAGCGCATGCGTCCTGCGGGGAGTATTCCCTGGGAATGCGGAGGAGCCCCTTTCCGTCTGCGGGGTGGGCGACCCGCTGCTCATGGGCCACACTGCAGGGACCCGCCACCGAACGTGGTCCAAAGGCTGCACAACGTTGGACAGGTCGCCGAATGCGTGTGGTCAGCGGTGAGTGGACAGAAACGGCAGCTCAGCTCTCTCCGTGGTGCATGGGCCTGGTGCCGCTGCAAGGCGACCCGCGCGGAGCCACTGGAGGGCCCGCCGTGTCCGTGGAGGCGGCTGTCGGGAACGGGGTGCACCTGCTGCGTGCCTTCCTGCCCACGCGGCGTGGGGCAAACCTCTGCTTTTGATGTTCAAGGGTTAAATGCCTTCGCCAGCAACTCATCGATACTAATATTTTTTAGACGTGACTTCATCGAAGGAGTTTATGGGTTTTATTAAGGCCAGTTTGTGTCCTTCCTCCCGAGCGAAGAGAAAAGCGTTCACCTGAGGGCCTTGGAGCCGCCGTCGGTGGGAAAACCTGTGGGAGAAGGTCGCAGCTTTGCCAGTGAAACCCGCAGTCGAGGGGCAGGCGGCCTGTCGCCGCTGCAGTGCCCACAGCGGCCGCCAGGTGGCAGCGTGTCCCAGGAATCGGGCCGGAGCGCACACTGGACACTGTCCGAAACTTGGAATGAACGGAGGAGAGGCGACGGGGCGGGGGGCGGGAGAATGTCTTTTTTGGGTTCTCAATACTGGGAAAAGAATGATCTCTCTAAAACACTCGCAACAAGCTCTCTTGTGACGCTTGGTAGCCATTTCCACTCCCGGAGGCCAACAGGGACGATGCAGGGGCAATGCATTCCACGCGCCCTGAGCCCATGCCCCGACTACTGTGCTCCTTCCACACAGGCCCAGTCCAGCTCTGGGCCGCAAACCCAGGTTTTCTGCTTCTCCTGGCGGAAGGAAAATAGGGTGAGACGCTCAGGTGGGGACGTCAGAGACAGTGAAAGCTGATGGGGACGTCGTGGCCATTTCTCTTCACCCGTGGCACCTGCTCACTGGGTCTCCTGGTGGCTGGCTGTACCGCAGACCCCCCTGCAGGGAGCGTTTAAACCCCCCAGGCTGGCAGTACCTCAGGCCCATCCATTACAGTCTCCGAGCATGGGGCCCACGCATGACTATGCCCTGAAAGTCCCCTGGGGATTCCAAGGTGGGTTCAAGGTGGACCCCCGCTGGGGAAGTTGCGTGTCTGCAGGGAGAGCCCTCTGCTACTGAGAATTTGAAGTTTGAATCGCAATGGTCAATTCCGTTGGTAACGCGGCTCCTGTCCCCATGTCTCTGTGGAACAAATGCCCACGAACGTGAACTGGAAGCCACAAATCTGAAGGTGTGAAACAGCTCTCTGGCCCCTGTGCCTGAGCCAGACAACATCCGTGGTGGCTGGAGGGGCCCGCCTCCCGTTCCCCAAGTGGACCGGGGCCTGAGGCCCATTTCCAGGCACTGGTCACAGGCACAGAACTGGGTCTGCAGATGGAGGGGCTTCTCACAGTGGCCTCAGACTTTCCCATCGTGGTGGAGATGTCCTAGATGAGCACGTACTGCTTGGGGAAGATTTTAATGTCAAAGTAATTGTTTTTAAGTAAGCCTTCTAGAAACCCTGTGCTTTTTGACCTGGGCAACAGTGCTCAATTCCTGATCCCGTAAGTGACCGAGGCGGAAGTCACCTGGTGTCCGTGTTACTCAAGTGATTTTGCCAGAAGGGGGTACGGACGCTTCTAGAAGTTAAGTAACTGCCCAGAATCCCGCAGCTGCACACTCTCAGCCTTGTCTTGTGTCAAAGACCATGAGCTCCCTCGTCCTGATCACAGGGGAGGTCCCACCCCAAGGACACAGCCCACCAGGTGGAAGTGACCACTCAGATCCTGCGGGACCCTGGCAGCCCCCTCCAGGGCGACCCTGGCTGCGGGGATGTCAGGGAAAAGCTGCCCTCCCCCTGTCTTCCCTGGGTCGATCCATGGGCAGCTGAGGAAGAGGCTGCCGCTCTGGAAAATGTGGAGCCATCGTTGGCCGCTGTGAGGTGAGACACAGGCGCGGGCAGGTGGCACGTTAGCCACTGAGCGGTAGTGACCAGGCGCAGCCGTGGGAAAACCTATTCCAATTCGCTGCCAAACTGTGTTCTGGAAAAATGACCATTCTATCTATTCCACAGACCTGCTGGGTAGGGTCCTGGGGAAACAATTGGAATCGAGGGCCAGGTCCTGTTTAGTCACCCCAAGAAACCGCTACGCTTCCTCCTTTCAGGTCACTAGACCTGGGGACCCATGTGGCCCTGTCGGTTGGGGTGTCAGAGGGCTAACTGAAGCTCAGGTACAACGTCTGTTAGCCCTGAGAGGTGGCAGGCCCGCCACCTGGAGAGTGTCTTCCCAGCTCTTTCCGGGGCCCCCTTCCGGAACTCTGCTCCGTCCTCGCCAGGCTCTCTGTCCTGGGCCCCGTGGCCATGTCCATCAGAGCAGTCACCATGGTCTGCAGCGATCTCACACCCTCCC